TACATGTTTGAAAATTTAGATGATGAATTTTAAGGTAAAGTAGTGATTTAGTCCAAATAAAAAGGGTAAAACACTTGTATGACTGAAGCTTTCAAACTAAACTGCAGACCCCAACCCGCAACATAGAATGGTTCACATTTTGAGTTCGAGCTGTTATACTGCTCTATAATTTGATATAATTTGTCTGAAAAGTAGTACACTGCACTGTGAGCATTTTTTTAAGATAGAGCACGTGCTATTTTATTATTTAAAAGAAATGCAATACGAAATAACTCAGATCAGTTCATTTTGTACTCGCTACACAAAAGGAGAAAAGATTGGTGCGCCTCTCTTTTTGTCCAGTTACCGAAGTTCGTTAAATAAAAATTATATTTTCCGACAATGTACATATAGTGTATATTTATGTTATTCCAACACTTATATTTTTCGTATTCTTTTAATTGTGTGGCTCTTAAATGACCATCTTTATATAAAGCCTGGATTTGCATCCTTCATTCTTAAGTACGTTTGAATTTCTACATAGATCACACTAAATAAAAGTTGTGTGTTAAACGTCAATGACAAAGCAACAAATCCACAAAAAAAACATCTAGAGGACACATATAGATCTTTCGTCTGGCAGCACGTATACACTACAGTTACCGTAAATTATATAAAAGTACAAAATAAATCGAAATATAAAAACAAAATAAACATTAAAAAATTTAAAAACAGAGAAAAGAACTGATAGGTCCGGGGGATCCATGCGTCTAGCTCCCGTTATGTTTCGATTTACTAGTATTCAAAATTCATATTAATTACATTTAAGTTACTTATAAATATTATACTACATGAAAACTACACTGGTGGGTTCCATGTCAAAGAGTGCATTTCTTTCTAGCACAAACGATGCAAACGACTAAGCGCGCACATGTTTTGATCATTTGTTTCAAACATACGTTTGTAAAGTTTACATAAACTTTGACAAACTATGCACTCGCTAAAAATTAGTCTGCAGTTTGTCGTTTGTTAGTACAAACGCTACATTTGTTTCTAACTTCAACCTTTAATATATTAAAATTAATCGGGTCCAGGACCAATCCAGTATATCTTATTATAATCCTTCGCAATTCATCCATTTTCTATGTGCATATATTTAGAGTAATTTAGAGCTGATATAACTCTGTGAATGATACATATTTTTTCTTGTGGAATACATTTTTCATAACTCATACTTGCATGCTTGTAGTATGAGACTTATGTGTGTATTTTAAGAATATAAATTCATATCTGGTATGTGTTTTTATTACCAGTATTACAAAGAGGTGTTTCGGTTATGGTCATGTAGACCTAGGCCTATCCTCATCAAGTATCCCTATATTTTACCTTTCTTGTAATATTTTAGAATGGTTCGAATTTGATTTCACTTATGGGCCGGGATACATCTGTTTACCAACAACACGTGCATGCATTATTGAATGTTCAAAACAGGGTCAGAAAACACGGATTAAACGATGCATTTGTTTCTTCTTTTGTAGCGTTTAGCAAACGATAACAAACGCCACACAACGTTTACAAAATTTTGGTTAGAAAGAAATGCACTCATAGTATAATGACAATACCTTACTTTCATTTAAAAAAATGAACTCATCCCGTAAACCCACAATACACAACTTATAGTATATATATGAATAATTATGAAATACAAAATGTATATATAGTGATACAATTTTGCTAAGTAAATAGAATACAAATACACACCACTTTACATAACTGACACAATCTAAAGGAATACTCTCAGAACTCTATAAGTAAAGAAGCGAAAAGTTTCTGTTGACTACTAATTTAAAACAAACTTCCGAACTGTACATGTTTTTTTTTAAATGGTTTTCGATGCAGCGCTCACATATTTTTTATTATCTTTTGATATAGTGTTTAGAAAGAAGCCACTATATATAATATTGTAAGAATCTTAAACTACATGTACATACTAAGCTATAATAGATTCAGATTCATTATTTTATTGAATATATAACATAGCATATATTAAGAATGACGGTCAAACATCAACAGCTTAAATACTAATACGTATACATAAATTCATTAATTCTTTATTAACCTTTAGCCTTACGGCACCTTTGAGTGTAATATTGTAAAATAGTCATGTACTTTCATACGTTATGGATCATTGATTTTGTTACCTGTTGACCCGGTTGATTACTAGCACGTGCCATTGAACTCAATCATTATAACTAAAACGGAAAATTTCAAATGTATGCCATAGCTACTATATATGCATATGTAGGAAAATAATTAGTAGGATACATTTTCTTAATCAAAATCTTTATACGGTGGTAATTTATATATAGTTTTAACACTGTCTCGACACAGACTGAATGCAGTATCAGGAGCTTCATGTACTATGGCGACCTTGGTGGTGTTTAGACGCACCACTGTGTAAAGTAAATCATTGTTTAATAATACCAAGGAATTGTATATTTAAATATACAATTCTTTGATAATATATTGTACTACAAAGATATGGTAATAGAAGCTTTTCAAAGTTTAATAGAGTAACTCGCATGGAAATAAAAATAAAATCAGCAACAACGGTAATAGTAAACTAGCACATATCAACAGAAAACGAATTAAAGCATCTGACATAAAAATAATACGCAAGTGTTAATTTGCCTCTGCTTCGTTTCAGTGGATTGTCTCATTGGCAATTATACCACTTCTCCTTGTTTTTTTTAGGTTACGTTTAAGATTTGCCGTTACTGATTTTCAAATACGAAAAACATTTTCACACCGGGTTCACAACATTTTAAGGTTAAATGTATAGCAAACATTTATGTGAGTATACAAATAACATACGTCCTTGCATTTAAGTATATAAATAAATAAACTAAACTAACATTTATTAAAAAAATAAGCAACATATGTAGACGAATAATTTATTACTTTAGTTCCTCAACAAAACAACAACAGAAATAAAGAATCAACAGAGAATTTAATCTTTAATTATTTTTTTTTTTATTTATTCGAGAGATACATTTTAAAATCTAATACATATATATATTAATCTAAAATGCATTATCAAGCAGAAGGGGCGTAACTCGTAGTATCATACCAACATACTGAACGGATCTTAACATGGTCTGACAATTTTGAACGTTAATTTTGAGATCTGGTCTGATTTCGACTGAATCAGTCGTAACGGATCTTAACAGCTCGCTAGAAGATTCAGTCTTGTTTATCTTGACATGCCTTAACGGACTGATTTACCTGATGCGACTATCGATCGGAACGGCGTCTGAAAAGTTCTTAAAAGTCTTGACGTTTTTCTCTAGCGGTAAATCCAGTCGATTAAGATATGATCAGACCAAAATGACCGTTTCAGACTGAAATCGTGCTACTAGTGTAACACTATAAGACATGCATATTTCTATTCAATACATTTATTGAAATGTCTTTTGATCATGGCTTCCAAAACGGTCATATATTCCCGACTTGACTGAAATTTATATAAAAAGTCCGGCTGCTCTCAGCCTCAAACGGTCAAATATCATAGGTTTGCCACTTTTGTTATTCAAGGCATTTTCATAAAACGGTCATTTCACTTTTTTTACCAACTATCGATCGGTAAAAATGTCCGTTTGGGCATTATAGTTTATAATTGTGGCAATCTATTTCACAAAGATATTTCGGTCATATTTGGGTTTAATTAAACAGATGCAGCATATTTCATACTTTGAAGTGTCTCAGTTAGTCTAATCATCTGGGTACACAATTGCACGGCTTGGTACATCAATAAAAAGTAGAAAAAAACATTTGTTCTTTTATTTAAAAAACAACAAGCTGTCAAACAATTATCCCTTCAATAAGTAATATTGAAGCCATAAATCATTCACTGATTACAGGTCATTACCTTTGATGAGAGACCTTAGCTTGTCTTAATCAAAAGAATTGATGATGCATAACAATGAACATAAACAGGTGATAAAGGTGATCAGGTAAACGAGGTCAAACATGAAAGCGTGTATGGAACAACATCCTATTTAATTACGCTTTGTAGATATTATTGTAAATGAGCATTCAGTTTTAAAAAAGTATCCTTAGATTTTAAAATAATTCTTCAAATAAGAATATTTATAAATGAATTCGAATTTGTATGATATTCATTATTATATTTAAAAACACTGTACATCGTGTTAAATACCGGGGTACGCTAAAGGGTATTCAAAGTTATTTTCTTACATTTCAGCGGGTTGCATCTAATTAATTTAGTCTAAAAGATTGAAATTATAAGAAATACGTTAATAAATATGATTTGATGAAAAATTTGAAAAGGTTTTAAACTAATAATCGTCAGAACCACGTTGTTTGAACTAGTACACGTGTGCGCATGTGTCTATTGTCCGCTGGTGGGAAATTTAATTATGCATCCTAATTCTTCAATAATGCTAAAATTATCATTGATACCTTTATCTAACGTTCATTTTGAGTATTTTCTTGAAGAAATAACTTGAAAAGGCTACTTAACTCAATCGTAAACTTACACGGATATTACGTATCCGTCTCTGATCCGTGATTTACCATTATCAAGTCAACATCCGGCATTAGGAAAATGTGATTTTAAAAACGAAAGTAAAGCTTTTGAAAGCGTTATTTTGCACAAATAAAGAGTCTAAAGCGGAATTAAGCAGAATTATTACGCTGATGTTGCACACTTCGAATGCTGCACTTTCAATATAATACTTTACGTCAGAACATCGAATTTATATCAAAGTAAAGTTTAATATCGTTTAAATGTCAATCATTGGTTATATCATATATGATGGCCAACTGATTATCATAGTTGCCTAATTTACTAAGTCTAAAGGGATAAAAAAATCGGGATAAGATATGAAATGTCCGGCTGGCTCAAAAAAATTTTGGAAGCCCTGCTTTTGATGCTATATTCATGAAAAAAACTTATAAAGTATCACATTTATCACTAAGTATCTATAAATTGTGCAAACCTTTGACCTTTCATCAAACCCAGTCATGATGACCAATACATGTTCCGCAACATAACTACTGGCATCCAATGGTATTGGTAAACAGGAAACAGGAGCTGCTCCCTCTGTCATGGCAGTGTGAGTCAAAGAACCAATTAAAAGCCAGGACAAAGTCCTGATGTGGCCAATACAATCTGTAAATTCTTTTGGTCTAGAAAATAAAGAATTAAACTCCATGTATTAAAGGTAAAACCCCTTAATTCAAATATTCATATGAGATTGAGAGAAGCCTACTATTCTATTGCCATATATTCCATTCCTGAAGTACAATGGTAATTTTGGAGTCAATATCATGCTTTTCTTTTACCATTAACTGTGTTTTTTCTCTTTCAAATAGACAGCTATGTTTGTTAGTGTACTAAGTAAAATTGATGATGTCAAGGTGGACAAGATAAAAAAAAATATTAAATTTATTCAGAGAAATACCTGCCAACTTTTGAAAATCTACATGGCTTTAAAATACATAACAACATTTTTAAGGGTTACAATTTTTATGGCTATTTTGCAAACACATTTTCTCTCTCAAATAGTGTCTTGTTTTTCCTTATTGTGTACCAGTGATGAACGAACATGTCTTTCTTTCCTTTTTATAACTGCACGATTCTTGTACTTTTTTGTAATAATAGATATATAATATTTATCTGACTCACCCCTGCTGAACTGTAGATGGTGGGTGATATAGCCAGGGCAAATATCTAATTATTGCCCTATTTGTGTCTCTGTTGTTCCCACGAGTGATTTCTAATGCTATGTATTGTGCCATCCCTGACTTTAGCTGACTACCTAAAGTATCTTCATTTAAACTAGTACTACCACTCTTCAAGTTGTTCTATTGAGAAAGAATATGAAAGCATATCAACAGAAACAAAACCAACTATCTTAATTAATTTTCTAATTGAAAGTGCTTAAGTGCCAATCGGCAGTGGTATAATTTGGTTGAAATGCACAAGAAATTAACAATTAAGGGGAGATAACTCTGTAATTTGCTATCATTCTAACCAAAATGTATCTGGATACTTCTCGAATTACCAGACACGCATAAATTAAAGACCTACCATTTCTAACTCAGGATGAGGGTACCTTTAAAATAGGGTGGTTAGGTTGGTGGGTTTTAATCGGCCAGGTGAAATTTTTCTAAATTGCCTGATTGTTACAAAGACTGGCACTTTACGATTCTATTCTTTCTTATTCAAACTGTTTTTAAAATTATCAGGAGTTGAAATAAAAAATTTCTCATGTGTAACTCAACCTTATCTAAGGTAAAGATGCAAGTTCAACCTGAGCAATACCGGTACTAATTCAAATGTAGGACAATTGTCTAAATGTTGTAGCTCTGTAGCTCTATATATCCTGTGAACATGTTTATATTTGTATACTGTACAAATTAAGCAATATTTGTATTTTTTCAGTGTTATTTGTACAAAAGATTGATGATTGCAGGATGAAAAACATTAAATAAATATTAAAACCAATGAGTGTTTTAAATGGAAAGCCAAAATCATATAAAATGACCTTTGCCTAAGATAGTTTCAAGTGAAATTAAATAATTCCTAAGCTGAAAATTTCATCATTTCTTTTAAGTCTGATTTGTCTTGATTTCAATTTATGAGGGAGAAAAAAAGAATAGAAGATTGACTCATCAGAATCAAAATCTACTAGCAACCATATTTCTTTTCTGATTGGAACAAACTGAGGAACTTCTTTAAAGACATTCCATGGATAGTTCCCTTCAGATTGGATATTCAATTTCAGAGAAAAAAGCTTTTATTTGTGCTACAGGGGGTATAGAATAAGGGGAAATAAGACGATGTGGTATAATTGACAATGAAAAAACTCGCCACCAGAGACCAAATGACATAGAAGTTAACAACTATAGGTCACCGTACGGCCTTCAACAATGAGTAAAACCCATAATGCATAGTAAGCTATAAAAGGCCAAGAAATGACAAATGTAAAACAATTCAAACGAGAAAACTAACGATCTGATTAATGTACAAAACAATGAATGAAAAACAAATATGATATGCAACTGCAAACGTCAACCAATGAATTAAAGGCTCCTGACTTGGGACAGACATATAAAGAATGTGGCAGTGATAAACATTTTTGCAGGCACCCAACTGTTCCCCTAACCTGGGACAGTGATGTAACAGCACAACATATGAACAAACTATAAAAATCAGTTGAAATGTGCTTAACTCATCAGATCGATACAAAGCAGAAAAACAAATAACAAAAACACAGACTGGATGTGGCAGGGAATTTATACATCCCCACAACAAAAAAGACACGAAGTACAGATCTGAGAGCACTCACAGTTACTGACAGCTAGTTTAAAGCCAATAACAACTAATAAAAAAATCATGTATGAAAGACTAAAATATCAATCAGTACTCTTCCAACATCCAAAGGATTTAGTGTAAAGACGTCATTTACAGTAGTAAAGGGACTAATAAGGACTCGATTGATGTATGATTTATTTACTTGAAAGTTGATCTATTATAATTTTGAGACAGAAACATGCTGCCCCAATGTTAGTTTGTAATTTCCATATTTACTAAATGGTCCGAACTCTGATGTCACATGAAAGGCTGTCAAACGTCAGAGCAATCTCGGTCTAGTAAAAACTTAATATTACTACCTTGACTTTGGATAGTGTATGTTTCTGAGATAAAGCTTTATATTTTATATTCTTACCTTGACTTTTGATAGTGTATGTTTCTGAGATAAAGTTTTATATTTTATATTCTTACCTTGATTTTTGATAGTGTATGTTTCAAAGATAAAGCTTTATATTTTATATTCTTACCTTGACTTTTGATAGTGTATGTATGTCAGATATAAACTCCAGACATTCATTAAGATGATCTCTCATAGATTCTGCTGCACAAGTGCTAATTAACATGTTGGCATGTGTCATGTATAACATTCCTTGTTCACCTAGAATGTTGGTATTTGCAATGGTCCCTCCTGCATCTAACACTACAAACTACAAGGTAATTTATTATGTAAAATAAGTCTCACACTTACACTAAAAGAATATATTTGGCTATGGATTAGATGGTCAGAAAACACCATCAAATAAAACACTCTTGCATATATTATTTATTTTCTAGTTTTAAAATTAAACTACATGGTCATGAACCAAATAAACCAAATGGGGCATCTGTCTGTCTTAAATTATTTGTTATTCAAGTATTTATTTCTTATGGTCTATACAACCCCACTGATTACAATATTTATCTACTGAAGAACTATAAAATGCTAGGTTTATCAAACTTTTTAAGATATATGAAAATTAAACTTGTTGGTAGATAAATATTGTACTTAACTGAGTTAAGTGATAGAATCTGTTTCTATAATGATTCAATGAAAAATACCTATTACAATATTCCAAATGGATATGGCAGTAAATTACACAAGACAAATTTACTCTGCATGTGTTTTATCAAAATTTATCAAACTGGTCAGAACAAGTATAAATGCACACTAAATGAGAGAAAAGCACCTTTTATTACCACTGAAAACAAATTCTTAAAAAACAATGGTATAACACATTAATTCTATGATAATAACTTGTCATTCAATCTTACCTGTACAAGCAACAAGAAATTTTCATCAGGCAAACTAATCTTGAACTTCATTGCCTGGACCAATTCAAACACAACTGTTCTAGTCAGGTATAACTTGTCCCTCTCCTACAAGATAAATAAAACTCTAAAAGTATTTTGGGGTCTTGTGTTTTTGGCTTGCTGTCCCATTAAAAATGCATATCTCTTTTCATTCCTGGAAGATTCATTTTAAATAAAATCGTCCATGTTCCAAAAATGTACTATACAAGAGAATTGTGCCTGTGAAATATAGATGATATGCCACAATTGGAATCAACCGTATTAACCTAAACACAAAACTTCATAAAATTCTGGTTTTAAATTATGGTCAGCCCATCTGCCGAACACTTTCTTTTTTTCTTCAGAAAGCCTATAAAATTGAAGACAATGGTACTGGAACAGAAATATTTTTCAAAAATAAGCTCTTCAATTCATCACTGTCAAGACAATTAAGAATAGGGATCAAAGTAACCCAAGCATAAATCATGGCTCAGTGAAGCCTAAATGAAGTTGAAAGGTGTTAAACTATAAAAGAAAGATTCATTGATATATATACACTAGCTTTATGAGGAATGGACATAGCTGCAGAACTTAAAGCATAAACTGAAAATAAGTGTCTATTTAATCCAGAAATGTGTGGTACTATAGAATACATGGGGAAATATTCCAGTAAACCCTAACAACTTTACTGAAATCACTCTACTATAAAAAGTAAGTCAAAATGACCCAATAAAGTTAGACACCTCTTAAGAAAACTAAAATTGACAAACCTCATGAGGTTTCTAATGAAAGAACTTAATAAAGTACAGACAGATAGAACAACAATGGTTGCACTATATGCCCTCCTGTTTTTGTTGTTGGTCATTATAAATAAATCCATCAGTGGATCAACTTATAGACAACACCAAAATGTGTGCAAAATAGTTACTGTATATTATTTGAAAGTAAGTTTTCAAATGTTACCTACCTTGACATATGATCTGTTTCCAAGGGAACAAATATCCAACATGTGTTGTAACTTAAAGTTACAGTTCTCTATGGCAAAACTCAACAACTTGGAGAATGGCTCAAGAATAAACTGTATAATAAAAATACAATATAGATTTAAAATTTGAAAATTACATATGTATATATAAAACGGCTATTTCATATATAGCTATACATTTAGGTGTACATACATATGTATAATATAAATGTGATCTGTCAACATAAAAACATGACATGATAATTTCATATTGCAAACAATAAATTGTACAACTATTATGGTTAGCTCTAAGGCTGATATGGACATTTTGGTTTAAAGTGGTATTGATATGTAAATCCAAATATTCTAATGTACAGAGTAGCTGACATGTAGACTGAAAAATTATTGTGACTTTTAATTTCCTATTTCACAAACTATAAATACTATAACAGTGACTCACCCTTGCAGTACTGACACCAGACACTTTCAATATAGCTGTTATGATTTTGAGTACTGGTGTCATGTCACATGGATTTGGTAAAACTGTTGGTAGCTTCCTCAGGAAGATATCAAACTGACATATAATACTATTCCACATTGGGGCTGAAGACTCCAGGGATATACAGTTAATATACATAGATAAGTTGTTCATCAGTAACATAATGTTGTCTGATGGCAAATTCTTTCTACTGTTGAGTCCCTGTAAGCAATTGAAATATTATAAGCATGTGTCATAATCAATCACCTAGCAGAGTTTTATATTTCCATATTTTCAACATTATGGGTGTTTGAAAGTAAATTTATTATTTCAAAAGTCAAATAAAATTGTTTAATTGCTTAAAATTGCAAATTCAAATCTGAAATCAGATAAATGAAATCAAACCTGACTTAGAAATTAACGACATTAACAAAATCCTCAGTTTAGATTTTCACTGTGTACACAAGAATAAATAATACCTCAAGTAAAAACTGTATTGGTGCTTGACATGTCAGTTCTGTAAAATCTACCAAAGCTGTAGCCATTGTCTTGAAGAAATAAGTATCTGTAACAATAGAAGTATATAGTTATAGGATTGTCACAAAGTTATTCACCGATTACATTTTGATTGACAGATTTATTTATATAGCTAGAAAGGTGTAAATCAAATAAAAATAAAGATATTGATAAAGAAGAAAGAACAGGGAATCACCTGATTAGTTGTTCATTTAAATTGTTTAAATTTAGGTCATGGTGATCTAATTCTAGTATGGACCTTCATCACTAAACATGATGCATCAACTGACAAAAGATCATGCATCAATATATTTTATTATACTTCATGTCAAAATGCCAGATTTTGATTGGTTAATACGATGGAGACAATTTACTCTATCACATGGAAAATACTCTATTACCCTTCACAGAGACGCTTGCTCAAGTGTGCGCTTTAATAAATATGAATGATTGTTATGTACAAGACGACATAGTTTATTACTTTGAATTTGAAATTTAATAGACAGTAATAACAGAACATTCAGTATAATAAATTAAATAACACATATGTGAGAGGGTGATAGAGCAGATTTGTTACCCCTCGAAAAGACATTGTCAACCTCTGCTTCGCCTCAGTTGACAATGTTTTATCGGGGTAACAATCAGCTCTATCACCCTCTCAGCTATGTGTTATTTATATAATAGTTGCTTAGATCTGAAACTTTATTCAAGATTAAACAAAAGCCATTTATGTGTTAAGTGAACTTAAAGGTGACCTAATTCTAGTGTGGACCTTCATCACTAATATGATACATCAACTTATTACAGATCCTTTCTCTATAACTTGTCTTTGAATTGTTTTAGTTTTGTCATTTCGGGGCCTTTTATAGGTGACTATGCAGTATGCGTTTTGCTCATTTTGAAGGCTTTACAGTGACCTATGAATGTAAACTTCTATGTCATTTGGTCTCTTGTGGAGAGTTATCTCATTGGCAATCATACCACATCTTCTTATTTTCATAAACACTAATTTAAAATTTAAATGTCAAAATATTAAAAATCAACTGCTGATATCTTATTTAAAAGGGAAACATATGATTGTATGTATTAAAAATATTTTAAAGGATTTTGTTTCCAAATTCTTAGTGTTATCACAATAAAATATGGATAAACAGTTTTCATAAAAACCGTTTTGAGTAAGTATACATCTTTTAACATCAAAATTAGCCTTTATACATTTCAATTCAATGAAAAAAGAACCAGTAAGGAAAAAACGTCTATCAAAGTTAAAATTTAAAGAAATATCCCTATAACTTGATAATAGATCAATAACCCTTGCAATAAAAGTTGTTGGAAACTACTACATTGTACTAAAGGCAAGCTTCAACTGATCTAACTTCAATTCTTCTATTTAATTACTGCAATGAATATGGTCTTTTTTGTTTTTCGTTTGTTTTTAGCTTAAATCAAGTTGATGGTTTTTTCTTTTGATTTGTTTCACATTTGTCATGCTGGGGCCTTTTATAGCTGACTATATGGTATCGGTATGACTCATTGTTGAATGCCATAATGTGGTATATAGTTGTACCCTTGTCCTCTGGTCACTGGTGGATAGTTGTCTCATCAGCAATTGCGCTACATATTCCGATTTTTATATAAATTCTAGTTTTCCAAATGAGTTCTCTCTGCTTATAATCAGAACGGTGGTTGTTTTTTTGTCTTTTGCTTGTCTCTAAATTTTCATTTTGTTCTATTTTATATTATTTAACATATCAACCTGTCAATTTATTAAAAATCAATGACTCTTTCCACAAATATCAAAATAAAACAAAAGGATGTCAGAGTGACATCAAACCGGATCTTTTAATATTTATTTGTGTTCTGGCATTTTTCAATATCACAATGACCATAACTCCTGAACGGTAAAAGTGACAATCATCAATATTGAACTTGACCTCCATTTTGTCATCAGTAACAACATATTAAAATTTGAAAAGCTTTGGTTGAAAGGTTCATGAGTTAAAGCACGGACACAATTGGAAACACCATTTTTCAATCTTTCAAGAACCGTAACTCCTGAACGGTGAAAGTGAAAATCGTCAATATTAAACTTGACCTCCATTTTGTCATCAGTAACAACATATCAAAATTTGAAAAGCTTTGGTTGAAGGGTTTTTGAGTTAAAGCACGGACACAACTGGAAACACCATTTTTCTATCTTTCAAGAACCATAACTCCTGAACGGTGAATGTGAAAATCGTCAATATCTAACTTGACCTCCATTTTGTCATCAGTAACAACATATTAAAATTTGAAAAGCTTTGGTTGAATGGTTCATGAGTAAATGCACGGACACTGTTTGGCAGCCGCCCACCCGCCCGGATGCCCGCCTGACCAATTTTTCCTTCGGAAATCCGGTTAAAAAAGGGTATCCCCTCTCCTCCCTTAACTGTCACACTCACCTTCAAAATTACTTTGAAATAACATAGGAAATATACCATTGGGTGCCAGTTGATGTAAGACACATCTTAGGAACTGTCTGGCAATGCTAACACTATTACCTGGTACCATCAGATTACTGAAATGACAAAAAAAAAATACAGATGGTTGGTATTAACATCTACTTAATTTGAACTTTGGTCGATAGATGTCTCATTGACAATCATACCACATCTCCTTACTTTCAAAATCTTCAGATTACCAGAAAGTTAGTAACAATTATGACTGAATCAATTAGGTAAAAGATTGCTTATTGCATAAAACAATTTAAAATGATAAGATCATGATTTAAATCACATGATGACTGTTGAAATTTAAAAAAGAACACAATATTACAAATAAGTTAAAGGCTGAATGGCAATGAGAAAGCACCCAATGATACAAGTTAATCAAATGTAAACATTCACATTAAGTTTTGCAGGATTTTTTATCTATTATAAAATAGAAACAAGAATGTGTCCATAGTACACGGATGCCCCACTCGCACTATCATTTTCTATGTTCAGTGGATCGTGAAATCGGGGTCAAAACTCTAATTTGGCATTAAAATTATAAGGATCATATCATAGGGAACATGTGTACTAAGTTTCAAGTTGATTGGACTTCAACTACATCAAAAACTACCTTGACCAAAAACTTTAACCTGAAGCGGGACAGACGGACGGACGAACAGACGAACGGACGAACGAACGCACAGACCAAACAAGCATTCTGTGAGTATTGCATGGCAATACATAGTCCCCTACCGGTTACAAATTCAGTGTAATGGAACGAAATTCTAACTTGATCTATAACTTGTCATGGTGTAAACTACATAAAAATATCAAGTCAAAATCTTCAAGCATGACGAAAAAAACTTAAAAACTGATTATTTAAGTGAATTTTCTATGTCCAAAGACCATAACTCTGCACAAAATTATCAGACTGGAATAAAATTCCAACTTGATCTGTAACTTGTCATGATTAAACTATATACTAATTATCAAATCAATATCCTCAAGAATGACAAACAAACCTACCACTAAATTCTTCAAACAATTTAGCAAAGAAAAGGAAAAAAATCCAAAATGTCATTTGTCTTTTAAAAGTCTTTTAAAAAATGAGATACTTCCCTTTGAACAGAAATCTACTAATTAATAAGTATTTCATCAAAATTTAATTCTAGGGAAAGGGCTTTAACTGAACAAAGAGAAAAGCTAAAATCGTGAAAATTGAACTTGACCTGTAACTTGTCATGATAAATCAATAAACCAAATATCAAATCAATATCTTCAAGCACGAAGAAAAAAAGTCTGGAAAACTGATTCGCCGGACTGACAGATGGACAGACAGACGGACAGACGGACGGAGTGCAAACCTAAAGTCCCTTCTACTTCGTCGGTAGGGGTCTAAAAACATAATGCCCCTAGTTGGGGCATGAAAACAAAAGATATGGGGTATCCATCCATGACACAAAATTAGTACATGTACAGTAAAAAACACACTTAAAGCAAAGGAACAGTGCTTTTATTGCTGTTCTTCATTTCAAAGTCACAGTGAGGCCTTTAATACAGAGCCAAAAAAAAAAAAATGTTTATAAGAAACAGTGTATCACACAATCATATTAAAATGCATAAATCTACTAACCTTTCAGCTTGCCAGGCATATGGACTGCTAGATGCTATCCTACAAACATACAAGTAAAACTTTGAAAAAATAAAGAAAAACATCAACACTTACTCTTAAAAAAAAACCCAAACTTTGTGCATAAACAAAGCTTATTTGTACTATGTGATTATCATCATTTATATCTACACTCATATAGTAAAATGCAACATAAAAATATCTGAAATACAATGATCAATTCAATAAATATGATGTTAAAGAGTTCTTACCTAGATACACACTGTAACATTTCTAACAGTAGTGGTGTAGCCAATGATGGCTCTCTGTGTATAAAGGTTGCCAAGACAACAATACAGTAACCAATGACATCATCATCGTACTGTTCCAGGATAGCACTACATTCAGCACATCTGTCTAACATAACATTATCACCATATCTAGAAGCTGATGGTTTTTTCACAGTCTTCTTTGCCAGCAGTTCGCTTTTTCTACTTCTTCTTCTGGAAGATAAAAGTCATTTAAAGACGAAAATGGTTATATGAAAGAAAACCGACAACAATGTCTAATATGTTGTTTAGAAATAACCCATTTGTCTGCAATTTATCATAAAAGAATGCTTGATTCCCTCAGAGTATTATAATACTAATAGTGCAAATAAATGTATCACATTAATTTAATGCAAAATTTATCAACTCTCTTTCTAATTTCAAATAAACCAACTAAAAATGCTCTCCTATATGACTTTTGATAGTCATTGTGTATGATAAAAAAAAGTACTAACGATTTAGTAGTGGTCGTTTCATCTGGAACAGGTTCATTTAGTTCTGGAAATATGGTCTGTAATTCTACAGTAGTCAGACCAGTCTTCCTATTCTTCCTTTGTCTAAAGTTAGGTTTTGGTCCCATCCCCTTTGAACTCTTCTTTTCAACGTGATCATCTGTAAATACACAATGTAAATATGAAAACAAATTGATGGATTTCTTCAATTAACTTAAAATTTTCCTTCTTAGAAAATAAAAGAGTGCAACATTTACCTTTTCCATCAGTTGTGGTTTCTGTTCTAGTCCTGGATGTAGTATGTTTATCTGAATCTGTATCAGAGGTTGTCTGATTCTTGTCACTGTCATCAGCACTCTCAAGTTCAGAGGTCAAGTCATGGCTCATGTCTGTAGTTGAGGTCACTCCTGTCCATGAACTTGATACGTCTGTAGCACTACTGGATACACCAGTCGACAACACTGGAGGACAGGTTACCCTAATTCCATCTCCTGGTACCACTGATTTGATTTTTCCAACACCTTTCTCTGGTTGCCTAGAGAATTCCTGTAAATTTTTGGCCATTACTTTTTCTACAGAAGTTGTTTTGGTGTTGTCATCAACTGGACTTGTTTCTATTTTGGCAGGTGATGTAGAAAAAGAATCTTTTGGTTCTTCCTTCTTCTTTGGTATATCTACTGCTGATGTAACATTTTTGCGCTCTACCTATTTGAATAAAAGTTAGCATAAAATTATTAACTAAATCTTTATCAAAATCAAAGGAAGCATAAAATAACTCTGAATATTACAGTAAATTAAGAATTATTGTGAGGTTTTTATTCATACAAATAATGGGACAGGGTGAGTATCGAAATAATAAGAACTCGCAATCTGATTTTTTTTATACCTATATCTGTACAAAGTTTTTCCTGAAATTGCAAAACTACTCCTGCATTCTTTATCAGACTTCAAAAATCACAATAAGAAATGAATGCAATAATTTCTGAATTTACAGTACTTTTAAGTTATACCAATATACTCAATAAGTAATGCTTTAAACCAAAAATATATTTCAGGTGTTATATTGCACAGATTCATACAAACAGGTCAATTGTTTAAATCATCTAGAAACTTTATTAAACAAATATATAAACATTCAGACAATTGTAATTATTGATATCATATTTTGGTGAAAAGAAAATACGGTGGATTTATTATTATTTAGTGGGTACTAATCATCACAGATTTCGTTGTTAAAAATTAGACATGGAGTTAAGTGTTCAACAATACACATGTTTGTATTCAAATAAAAAAAAACAAAAAACAAAATCAAGTACCCATGAAAAATCCAAATTAGTATCTTGAGATTTGGATACTGGTAGTATTTTATAGTGCAAGACACACTTGGACAGTTGGACTGGCGGACCGTCAGATAAAAGTATACCATAACATGTTGAGAGTATACAAATTCATCAAGCAGAGAATTTCTACTACTGAGAAAAATAACAGATAGATAAACATGATGTTAAATGATCTTGGAGAAGTAACATATACAACTGATCAGATAAAGTTATTTTTACTCCATACTCCTTGTTTATATGAAGTAAAGAACAAAAATAAGGTTGACATACATGCATATGATAAGCTACAGCTGTACCAGTAGGAATGAATATTTACAACAATACATACATTATCCCTTGCTGCTTCCATGTTTGGTTCACTGTACTCTATCAGTCTCCTTGGTTTCCTAGCAACTCTTGTGAGAGGACGTTTTGGGGTTTCCATGGCTTCCTCAATCACCTGTTCTCTGATTGGAGACACTTTATCACCCTTTTTAAAATGAACAGCACCACCATCAGGACTAAAGTTAACAGTATCATTTAAATTTTTAGGACTTGATGGAGGTGTATCTGTTTCCTGGATGTTTTCTAGGTCATTCAATTTACTTGGCTCTGAAAATACACATTATTTACAGATTTTAAAGACTGATATATACACATGTAACTACTAACTCCTTAAAATGTGAATATATACATTTGTTTTTTTTTTCAATTTATGCCTATTAGTTTAATCAGATCTAATCTTCACATTGAGACTAAGTCGTCTATTTGTAGCAAGCACACTTAGGAGTGCAGATCACTTGTTCAGCCCTCAGCTGGGTTAAATAAAAATAAAACTTAAACTTTGATTTTGCTGCTTCTTTGCAAAGTACATGTCATTTAGGAATAAGTGCATAGGTCAGAATAAAATGTCCAGGTAAGGTGACATGTCTCCATGTGGACTGATACTTTGTAGGCTATCACACCAAAAATCTGTCAATATATTACAAAGCAGATATTTGCAGCGGGATGTTACACAAACTTTAATCATCAATAAATGGATCCTTACACAAGCAGATTAGAAATGATAGACACCCTTCTATGACTTACCTGTACTCTTCAGTATAGTAGTTTTTTTTCAATTAATCTTTCAGTCTGTAATCTTTACTCACCTTAAAATTTAAGTATAGCAGGACCAGGTGTACGTGTTAAAATTCCTCTTGAATTGTTTAACACTCATTTCTACTCCAAAAAATCGACAAATAAGTGGAATAAATCCTAACTAAGTGGAATAAATCCTTTTTTCATGTGACTTTTAACTCACCTCTACTCCCAGTATAGTAGGACTAGGTGGTATAAATTTCTTCATGTGACTTTTGACTCACCTCTACTCCTCAGTATAGTAGGACTAGGTAGTATAAATCCTTCCTCATGTGACCTTTAACTCACCTCTACTCCTCAGTATAGTAGGACTAGGTGGAATGAATCCTTCCTAACTTTTGACTCACCTCTACTCCTCAGTATAGTAGGACTAAGAGGTATATATCCTTCCTCATGTGACTTTTGACTCACCTGGAATCCTCAGTATCGTAGGACTAGGTGGTATAAATCCTTCCTCATCTGACCTTTGACTCACCTCTACTCCTCAGTATAGTAGGACTAGGTGGTATAAATCCTTCTTGACTTTTGACTCACCTCTACTCCTCAGTATAGTAGGACTAGGTGGTATATCCTTCCTTGTGTGACTTTTGACTCACCTCTACTCCTCAGTATAGTAGGACTAGGTGGTATAGATCCTTCCTCATGTGACTTTTGACTCACCTGTACTCCTCAGTATAGTAGGACTAGGTGGTATAGATCCTTCCTCATGTGACTTTTGACTCACCTCTACTCTGCAGTATAGTAGGACTAGGTGGTATAAATCCCTCCTAGTGTGACTTTTGACTCACCTCTACTCCTCAGTATAGTAGGACTAGGTGGTATAAATCCTTCCTCATGTGACCTTTAACTCACCTCTACTCCTCAGTATAGTGGGACTAGGTGGTATAAATCCTTCCTCGTGTGACTTTTTACATCTATGGTGTTGAGCATCTACTGTATTGATGACAATTCTAATCAATGTTTGTATAATGGCTGATACAGGAGAGGTATAGAACTGATACTGTAAACAAATTGTTATGTGATGTAATATCTCTCTGCATTAATTCTATAAATTTTGGTTAATATTTACATGGATAACCCAAATCCTTATCATTATATCTATTTAAGTTTGAGTGTTGATATCTCTATACATAAATTGTATTTCTAATTCTACAGTTTTATCATATCCATAGAGGGTCTCCAACAGCCCTTATTGAGACTCTTACTAATACAGTAAAACCAATAATGGCAACATTAGCTACATAGAACCCACAGCTGTGGCCCACTTAACTTTATCCTCATAACTAGAGGCTCTAAAGAGCCTGTGTCGCTCACCTTGGTCTATGTGCATATTAAACAAAGGACACAGATGGATTCATGACAAAATTGTGTTTTGGTGATGGTGATGTGTTTGTAGATCTTACTTTACTGAACATTCTTGCTGCTTACAATTATCTCTATCTATAATGATCTTGGCCCAGTAGTTACAGTGGAAAATATTTTGTAAAAATTTACAAAAATTTATGAAAATTATAAAAAAATTGACTATAAAGGGCAATAACTCCTTAAGGGGTCAATTGACAATTTTGGTCATGTTGACTTATTTGTAGATCTTACTTTGCTGTACATTATTGCTGTTTACAGTTTATCTCTATCTATAATAATATTCAAGATAATAACCAAAAGCTGCAAAATTTTCCTAAAATTACCAATTCAGGGGCATCAACCCAACAACGTGTTGCCTGATTGGTCTGAAAATTTCAGGGCAGATAGATCTTGACCTAATGAACAATTTTATTCTTGTCAGATTTGCTCTAAATGCTTTGGTTTTTTAGAGATATGAGCCAAAAACTGCATTTTACCCTATGAACTATTTTTTAGCCATGTCGGCCATCTTGGTTCGCGGGCGGGTCATCGGACACATTTTTTAAACTAGATACCCTAATGATGATTGTGGACAAGTTTGGTTAAATTTGTCTTAGTAGTTTCAGAGGAGAAGATTTTTGTAAAAGATTACAAAAATTTACGAAAAATGGTTAAAAATTGACTATAAAGGGCAATAACTCCTTAAGGGGTCAACTGACCATTTTGGTCATGTTGACTTATTTGTAGATCTTACTTTGCTGAACATTATTGCTGTTTACAGTTTATCTCTTTCTATAATAATATTCAAGACAATAACCAAAAACGGCAAAATTTCCTTAAAATTACCAATTCAGGGGCAGCAACCCAACAACGGGTTTTCAGATTCATCTGAAAATTTCAGGGCAGATAGATCTTGACCTGATAAACAATTTTACCCCATGTCAGATTTGCTCTAAATGCTTTGGTTTCAGAGATATAAGCCAAAATCTACATTTTACCCCTATGTTCTATTTTTAGCCATGGCGGCCATCTTGGTTAGTTGGCCGGGTCACCGGACACATTTTTTAAACTAGATACCCTATTGATGATTGTGGACAAGTTTGGTCAAATTTGGCCCAGTAGTTTTAGAGGAGAAGATTTTTGTAAAAGTTTACGGACGACGGACGACGGACGCCAAGTGATGAGAAAAGCTCACTTGGCCCTTTGGGCCAGGTGAGCTAAAAATAAGGTTTGTATAATAAAGTTTCAATCCCATGATGCTTGAGATCAGAATCCAAACATGATATATTATTATCTTAAATATTATCATTTTTAAAAATAACATTTCTTCATTTCAAAGCAACCTTCACTCCAATTATCACAAGTATTGTTAAGGATCTCTAGTGAGTGTTTTCTTAATCTAAATATTTGACAAACCTTACGATATACTGTAAACCAACTAATTTTCGCGGGTAGAAAAATAACGCGAATATAAATCGTCGTGAATATGTAAAACTTGGATCTTTCCTTATTTTTAAAACTTCATCAAGCAAATTTCAAAATCACGAAATTAAATCGCCGCGAAATGAGCTAGTAAGGGCTAAACGCGAAAAAAGTATCCGCAAAAATAAGTTGGTTTACAGTATTCACAAAACTTGATAACAAAACATAACAGTTATACAAGATTAACATGTAATTCTTTATATTCTAATTTTGACTATTGTGAGAATATTCACCTTTCATTGGACTTACTTTATACAGTATAACTAGCAGTGTAGTCAGCCAGGATATTTGTGTGTGAGGTTCCAGGTACCACAGGGTATAGTTAGGAGGTTGATAATCACTGGCATATCTCTGTGGAGATGGTCCATGCTGCAGCAGTAATAACGTTATTGGAAGGATCTGATTTCCAAGTTTGAAGTTTCGATCCAAAACCTATAAAGTTTGAGTAGAGAATCAGTCTTAATGACTTGTTCATTCAAAATTCAAAAACTAAGTTTAGAGGGAGCAGATCTATAGGTTATTGAATGATCAAGAAAAATCACTGACTTCACAATAAGGACATTTGTGTCTACATGCTTCACTTATCCTTATGATTTACATGTGAATCCTTTTTAAATCATGATTCTTTAAGTTTAGAAAAGTGCAAGTTATGGTGCAGACTGGATTCCCTAGAAATGCCATGGTTATTTTTAGCTCATCAATAATAATAATGGATATAATACAATGAGATAAGAGATTAGATCTGTTTCTGTATTCAGGATTTCACAAACTTATATTTGGGTTTTTTCTGTTTTATAAACAATATTTGTTACAGGATGGTCAACAAGAAATTAAATTGGTGTTGCCTTATTTGAAGATATCTAACTAGTGTTTACATAAATCTAAATTGTATATAAAAGAATTGATTCTTAAAATTCAGACAGCGCTATATTGATTTAGGTCTCTCTGTTTTATTCAAAAGTGCAAATAATGGATGTCATTTGATTTATATGTTTAAAATAAATACTCCTTTTAAAAAGATGTAATGCATTTTCTTAAAAGATTTTTGTTCAATGAATTAACTTACGAATGGAACTCCACTCAGGAAAGAATTGAATACAGCTGACGTTCTGAAATGAGAAATCAATATGACATTAACATTTGATTAACTAATAAGCAATACACATACTGAATTTCAGCAATTTTAAAATGATACTGAGTTACAACATATAACTAGTTGTTAACTTATGTATGCATAATGTATGGTCATCACTATATCAATGTCATATCATAGAAAATATTTATGAAATGAATTAAATCTTAACCTTGTGAAGCAATGCCTGATTAGGAGTGGGTTATATTTGGTGTAATTTATTGATTTGTCTAATATTTTTGGTAGTTCATGTTATCCTTTCTATAAATTATTATCAAGGAATGTCAGAATCCTTAGAGGTGAAAAATGTAACATGTTGATGTAGTAATAATATAAAAGCGTTTTTCTTTTTTTCTCAAGTTTTTTAAATATAAAATTACACCTCTTGCTGAAGGATTTTTCTTTTTCGCAAACCTGAGTTTATTTATGTGGCAGTACAGTGTAGGATTTCTCTGTTAACAAACCTGAGTTTATGTGGCAGTACAGTGAAGGATTTCTCTGTTTACAAACCTGAGTTTATGTGGCGGTACAGTGAATGATTTCTCTGTTAACAAACCTGAGTTTAGGTGGAGGTACTGTAAGGGATTTTTCTGTAAACAAACCTGAGTTGATGGAGGTACTGTAAAGGATTTTTCTGTAAACAAACCTGAGTTTAAGTGGAGGTATAGTGAAGGGTTTCTCTGTTAACAAACCTGAGTTTATGTGGCGAAACAGTGAATGATTTCTCTGTTAACAAACCTGAGTTTAGGTGGAGGTACTGTAAGGGATTTTTCTGTAAACAAACCTGAGTTGATGAAGAGGTACTGTAAAGGCTTTTTCTGTTAACAAACCCGAGTTTAAGTGGAGGTACAGTGAAGGATTTTTCTGTTAACAAAACCTGAGTTTATGTGGCGAAACAGTGAATGATTTCTCTGTTAACAAACCTGAGTTTTGGTGGAGGTACGGTAAGGGATTTTTCTGTAAACATACCTGAGTTGATGAAGAGGTTCTGTAAAGGATTTTTCTGTAAACAAACCCGAGTTTAAGTGAAGGTACAGTGAAGGATTTTCCTGTTAACAAACCTGGGTTCATGTGGATATACAGTGAAGGTATAGTGAAGAATTTCTCAGTTAACAAACCTGAGTTTACGTGGAGGTACAGTAAAGGATTTCTCTGTGTGTTAACAAACCTGTTTTATGTGGAGGTACAGTGAAGGATTTCTATTTTAACAAACCTGAGCTTATGTGGAGGTACAGTGAAGAATTTATCAGTTAACAAACCTGAGTTTACGTGGAGGTACAGTAAAGGATTTCTCTTTATTAACAAACCTGTTTTATGTGGAGGTACAGTGAAGGATTTCTATTTTAACAAACCTGAGCTTATGTGGAGGTACAGTGAAGGATTTCTCTGTTAACAAACATGAGTTTATGTGGAGGTACAGTAAAGGATTTCTCTGTGTGTTAACAAACCTCAGTTTATGTGGAGGTACAGTGAAGAATTTCTATTTTAACAAACCTGAGTTTATGTGGAGGTACAGTGAAGGATTTCTTTGTTAACAAACCTGAGTTTATGTGGAGGTGCAGTGTAGGATTTCTATGTTAACAAACCTGAGTTTATGTGGAGGTACAGTGAAGGATTTCTCTGTCTGGTTGTAGCCTAGCAGTATATTCAAATGACGTAGTACAACATTCTACAAAAACATTATACAAAATAGATAAAGAATATAACCTAAATTTTGTATGCATATGTATCTGATTAAATGGATGCTTGTTATATGAATATAATAAAATGCTCCACTGGGCGCATCTTGATACGACCGCAGAGGTCGAACCCTGAACAGTTGGGGCAAGTATGGACACAACATTCAAGCTTGATACAGCTCTGAATTTGGATTGTGATTAAATATTTGAAACAGCATAGGTTTCTGACACAGAATGAATGTGGTCATTTTTAATTTACCTATTATGGTCCAATATCCAAAATCTAAATACATGGTTAGATTCAGCATATCAAAGAATCCAAAGAATTCAATTTTTGATGAAATCAAACAAAGTTTAATTTTGGACCCTTTTTACCTCAATGTGGACCAATTTGAAAATGGGGCCCAAAAATCAAAATACATGGTTAGATTCAGCATATCAAAGAACCCTATATATTCAATTTTTGTTGAAATCAAACAAAGTTTAATTTTGGACCCCTATTTGGACCAACTTGAAAACTGGGCCCATAATCAAAAATCTAAATACATGTTTAGATTCAGCATATCAAAGAACCCCAAGAATTCAATTTTTGTTAAAATCAAACTAAGTTTAATTTTGGACCCTTTGGACCTTAATGTAGATCAATTTAAAAAACTGGACCCATATTTAAAAATCTAAATACACAGTTAGATTTGGCATATCAAAGAACCCCACTAATTCAATTTTTGATGAAATCAAACAAAGTTTAATTTTGGACCCTTTTGACCTCAAAATGAACCAATTTGATAGCGGGGCCCACAAATAAAAAATCTACATACATGGTTAGATTCAGCATATCAAAGAACCCCATATATTCAATTTTTGTTGAAATCAAACAAAGTTTAATTTTGAACCCCTATTTGGACCAACTTGAAAACTGGGCCATAATCACAAATCTAAATACATGTTTAGATTTAACATATCAAAGAACCCCATATATTCAATTTTTGTTAAAATCAAAGTAAGTTTAATTTTGGACCCTTTGGACCTTAATTTAGACCAATTTGAAAACTGGACCCAAAATTAAAAATTTAAATACACGGTTAGATTCGGCATAACAAAAAAATAAATGTGGTCAAAGATTTTACAAATCTAATTAAGATAACTGTGCAATTAAAGATTACTTTAAAAAAATTGACCCCCCACAATTTCTTTTTACCACCCCCACCCTTTTTCCCAAAAAAATTCTTTCCCTCAAGATATGGTCATAATCTCAATTCAAATTTCCGATGGACTTTGCAACCATAATGACCCATTTAAATTTACCATAGTGCTAACTTAATCTATTTTATAATAGAATTTAAAATATGGTGTCAAATCTTTCATATGGATTTTTTTGTAAAAAAAAAAAGATGCAACATTTGCAGATATTTTTACTGGTCTTCCTTTATAAATATGCAATTCTTTAAACACAATTTAAAAGCAGTGTAAGGGAGGTAATCAAAACGTTGTATTTGGATTACCTCCCTTACACTGCTTTTAAATTGTCTTAATTGTTCATTAACCATTACTTTATACATAATTTAAAAGCAGTGTAAGGGAGGTAATTCAAATGATGTATTTGATTTATCTCCCTTACACTGCTTTAAATTATGTTTTGTACTAAAGTATTTGTCCATTAACCAGGACAACCTTGTTTTTCCCCCTTATTTGCCCCTAATTGCTAAATGGTTTGAGCCATAACCCCCCAAAGCAAATCCTAACCATCCCTTTGTGGTATGGAAACTTGTGGTATAATTTCAGAGAGATCCATACACCGTTCCACAAGTTATTGTCTGGAAACTAGAAAATGCTTATTTTTGGCCCCTTTTTGCCCCTAATTCCTTAACTGTTGGTACCATAACCCCCAAAATCAATCCCAACCTTCCTTTTGTGGTATTTAACCTTATGGTAAAATTTCATAGAGATCCATTCACTTAAACTAAAGTTATAGTGCGAAAACCAATGTGTCTTCAGACGACGACGACGACGACAACGTCATACCAATATGCGGTCGTATAAAAAATGCACCCAACCATATTGCCTGATCTTCTGAGTTAACCCATGGTTAAAGAAGGTTTTTTGTTGCTCAATCCTTAATTTTCTATGTACTTTTTTGAAGAACATTAATCTTCTTTGTTTTATTACAATGGTGTTTTCAATTCTTTTTTAATGTAAGGCTTTTGATTTAACCCTTTGGATTTTGTTACTTTTCTTATGCCCGTTTGTAGTTTTATATGTTGATAGTATATTTTTTACTGAAGAGCTTTGCAATAATAAAAGAATTTTAAGTAAAAGATTTATGTTCTAATGATACAATCCTCAACATTCAATGTTTATAACATACCTGTGTTTTCATATTGCTCTTGTCCTCTTCATTTATATCACAGCTGACCATAAACTACAAATAAACAAAAATAAAATTGCTTATGTACTTTTGATAACAAATAGACTTCCTAACCTTCTTTTGAACTGAGGTTGGAATGTTTGTTACTCCTGAAATTCTAACACAGAAAATCAGTTAATTTCTATAACTGTTTACTACTGCAAAGTAACATTATTTTTTTTCCAAAAGTGATAAAGCTTTTAAATTGTAACGCTAACTCATAATTTTTTACTTTAATGTAATGGACATTATTTTTCAGGAAAATTACTAAATTTTGTATCTGAATTTTAAACATAATAGTTATCCATTCTTTGCAGATCAGATTTTATTTTGATAAATCTTATGGTACCTGATTTCTTATTTCAATTATCTGAATACTTCTCTGCATTAATGTAATACAACCATATCTTTGAAGGAGCCTGAAAAGCTCACCTGGAAAATGTATTGTGGTCTGATTTGTGCTCGTTTTATTATCCACTGATCTAACATGCACCAAAAAATATTTTTTTATGAAATATAAATCTTGAATGCATGGCTGTATTTAAGTTCATAAAATGTATGCATTACTTAAAATAAAAGAAACTACCATAAATTTTAAGAAACAGTTTGCACATGAGTGGTGACTTCATCCATATTTGTGCTGATGTTATTAGTTTCCAGGAAAACAATAAAATGCACATGCTGACAACAAAAAAATGTGGTATGATTTCCAATATGACAACTATCAACTAAAGACCAAAGGACAAGGATGTTAACAACTACCGGTCAGCATAAGGTCCTAAACAATGTCAGAGCAAAACCAATGTGTAATAAAGTAACCAATAAAATGTCAAGATTTCATCTGATCAAAAACAAAATGTGGAGACTTTTAAGGCACTTCTATACATTATTCCTGTCAATTTCAATCTGTTTCAGCTATTTGATAGGAAAAGAAAATCAACTTTGAAACGTGTAAAGTCATAGCTAAAGCTAACACTGTCCTAATATGAGAGTGAAATAAAAACCAAACAATCCCAAACCTTCATCAGAAGAGCTACTAGTTGGGAAACTGTATCTCTGTCCACACCATCCATATCCATAGCCTTCTGTAACAATGCTGTAAAATTACTGTCCTCATCGGAAAACTCCTTCACATTTCCTGAAAATTTGTTAAACATAATAAAATACTGTTCTGATATGTATGACTGATATAAATGAACTCTTTTTTTGTACAAGTTCTTAGCAAGACTTTTTGTGTTCAATTCTATGTGAAGCATTACTATTTCAATGGTCATGTTTGTAATTGATTGATAGGGATTTTTCATAGCTTTAACACACACTGTCTGTATTGTAACAAAGACCAGTATATTAACACATTATTATCATCTACATAAATGTTAAAAATTAGTATTAAATTCAACTATATTCATAATAATATGGATATGCAATAAATATCAGAATAAAAATACATATCAATTTATTTTATCACCACTTAATCAAAGAGTTTGACAATAGTGAATTCAGATGCCTAAGTAGGGAGAAATATTTCATTAATTTCAAAAGGATCCTCCAAAAATAGTAAATAATCTATTGTCTTGAGCATTATGACATTCCCACTAGTGGAGCAGAACCTGCTTATCCTTCTGGAGCACCAGAGATCACCCAATTTTTGGGTTTGGTCAATGTTGCTCAGTCTTGTATTCCGTGTAGTGTTTTGTAGACAGTCATTTGTCTTTTTGCTGTTTTTTTTCTTTTTGACCATGGTATTGTCTTTTTTTAATATGAATAAATATAAGTTAACTTATCAAATGATAGTCGTTATTATAAATAATTACCTGGAAACACATTACTGAAAGCCCCAAAATTCATCTTAGTCATTCTTCTGCCCAGGTTAAAATGTGGAGCTGAATGCTGTCTAATACAGGACTTCTGTCTCTCTAAATCAACTGTAAAATAATGTAAATTTTAATATGTTGAAAATAAACCATTGTTACTTTAGTTTGGAGAATTTGGTTTAATGGGATTTGCATTGCACTAATGTTGAGAGAAAGATGGTGATAATCAAACATAAATTACTTGACATCTATTTATTTTTAGGCAGTTGGAACTTTAAACATCATCAAATAATCATTTTGGACAACTATCAAACGCTAAAAAAGACAAAATATGATTAAACAGAAAATCTCTGACTAAATAAATTATCGATACTTGAAATAACTACATCAGGATAAAGATCAATCCTTTTGGTGGGAAAGGCTCCAAAGTAACATAGATATAAAGTTTTATTACTTTTCTAAATTAAAGCTCAGATTAATTAGCAGGGAGAGGTTGTTAGTATTATCTCTATATACACTTGTCCATTCATGTAATTCATTCCTGAGGCTATTTTGTCACATCAACATTACCAGCAATGTGGTTTATAAATTTAAAATAATCCAACCTTATTTCATACTAATATTACATGTATGATGCAACAGTAGCATGTTGACTAGGGAAAGTTGAACATGTATGGACACAGTGGCTATTTTGACATAGCAGTATAAATTTGCTTTATAACATAATAATATGCTAGAAACAGTTATGTTCATGATTTGCTCTGTTTTGTGAAATGTATTATACAAAAAGTGACTTTATATCCCAAGAAACAGATTACATTGACCATAAAAGCTACCATAAATCTGATAAGGCAGAAATACTTTAATAAGTAATGAACTGCATCAAGAGATTTCCCTTGAATTATAAAAGTTAGATATTTAAGATTCAAAAGACCAGGATGCAGCTAGAATTTTAAATCCAATAATAGCAGGTTAATTGTGTTAAAATTTCCACAACAAAATTCCCGGTAAAAAAAAAAACACATGTCAATACACAGTTCTCCTTATAAAGAGACTTCACTTAATGTTTGCAGTATAAATATTTATACAAGAAATGTAATAATCAAAATCTTAATTTATATGAATATATATATATATATATATTGATATCCTGTTAATAAAAATTCTAATTTTATTAACACTTCCTAATCTACACAATCTTATAGAAAATGCAATAAGATGGACAGATATGCTGCTTATTATTCATTCTATTGATATACTGAGAATAAGATATGATATTGAATTCACATGATAGAATGTGACAAAATGATGTGTAATTACCTTAAATGGAAATGTTAGTATCTAGTGATCACTTCATACTTTCATTATTATTAATCATGCAAGGACTGTTAATATTGTTAATAAAATAAAAATTATAGCAAACAAATAAAATGAATTAAAAAATCTGCAAATGGCAAACTGAAGAAAATATAAATTTAAATACAGCAGAGTACATTTGTTTTTCATCTGAGATGTAATGTTAGTTAGTCACACTCACTAACTTACAATATTCTAGCAATTTACGTCTACGCTGTGCTAATTTCTCTGAAATATTTATGGTCATCTATGAAACAATATACAGATATGCTTCATTGATATATCTTATATATGATTGTAATGCAATGAACTGCATGCCAAGTTTTTACATAAAGATGCAATGTAAACAATATAGATCCGAATAATAATAATATTCATGTAAATATAAACATGAAAATTTTCCCATTCTGAATGAAATTATAAGCACAGAATATCTTATGCAAACTTTAGTCAAGATTTTTTATCTAATAAATTGACCTACTTTCATTTGGGATCTGATAAATCTTAACCTACATGGAAGGGTTAAATACCCATATTTTAGTGCCAGAAACTTGCAATCATCAAAATAGGATGTCAATAATCTCTGAAGCTGGAAATCTGGTAACAATGACCTACTTTCATTTTCAAAATGTTTTACTTGTTAATTGTCTGATGCCAACTCTTATTGTCATGTACATAGTGTTGTGATTGAAATAAAGGAAATTTCCAATGGTTTTTGTTACCCCAAAAAAATTGTTTTTGATTTAAACATTCAGATACAGAAGTGTCTGTTGAAATTAACAATGATCATCTATTAAAATAGAAGTACTATTGCAATATCATTTTTTGTACCAATTCTTTAAAAAGTTTAATTCTTTATTTTCTTGGAGTCTACTAGATCATTTAACAACCAAATCTTAACTTTATTTAACATGCATGTTTTAGCTTTTTAGCACTTTTGTATTTATTCCACCATTTATCCATCTATTACTAGATAGGGTATTATTTGTATAAATTTCAAAATACAACTGTTATCAAAACTGTCAGACTAATAATAACTTTATGGGAGCATAGTGAATTCTTTACTTACTAAAAAGAATTTGCTATAAAAAATAGCAGCAATTCATTGATTATACCTTTAAGACAGAACTTACGTTTAGGTGGAGCTGTTCTTGTGACAAGATGCATGGGAACAGATACAGCACGTCTATATGGGGGTTTACAGCTCTGACTTACAGAACGAATACTGTCTGTCCTGGCAAGAGCAAATCTTGCACGGTTTAACTTCTTTAAAAATGATTCATTTTCTCTATCAGCACTGAATATGTCTAAAAAGATAAAAAATGAACAATAAAAATTACTTATACCAAATCTATAATATTTTATACAGTAAAAATACAAAATATTGTGCATTGTGTTATATCTGTGTCAGCTTTTGTTCTCCATATCCAATGATTTCTATATGATAAAAACACACTCAGTTTTTCAGAGGTGAATGCTTTGCATTACAATTTATGCCCATAGAGAATAGAGCAATTTGAGACTTAAGGAAAGTCATTTAAATCAGTGCAAAGTTTTCTTCTTTTGAGGACTGCCTTTATATTTTCTGAAATAAATAAACAGGGGTTCAAAAGTTGATTTTTTTCAAAAAGCTCATTAAAGAATACCTAATTGTCTACAGTTCTTTATATACAGGTATGCCCAATTTACAACCTGAGGTAATAGTTTCTTTTTACCTAATAAAATATATTCACGATGCATTTGATATTTAAAGCATTGAATACAGCCTTAAACTTAAAAGCAAATTATCATAATTCAGCTTTAAATAATTTGAAAAAAAAATGAGATTTTAGTAAAACTTTCTTCTGATGTCATGAGAAACTAAAGTTTCATTGTAAACAATAAAGAGAAAAGTGAAATAAATCAATTTCATGACATAGTGTGAAACTAAAGGATAAATATTATCACCACTGTTTTCAAGGTCAATTTGTGCCTCCAAGGACAAAGTATCTAATCTGCTTAGAAAAAAGTCCCATGTAAGAATCTTGTCATCCTGTAGAACATTGGATAAGAGTCTCATCCTCTGGATAATCATTATTCTGTCGCTAATCACATGATCAAACTGAAACTCCAGACATCGGCAAAGACACTGAAACATGAAAAATTACAATGCATAAAATCAACACATTAGTTTTATTGGATAAAAACACAGCAGTTCCTTATTATAGTCATTATACTATCTGAGATTTGTTTATGAAATAAGCATTCAACAATATAATTTGACAAAAAAGATGAAAGCATAAAACTTGTTCAAAGAAGTTAGTACGGTAAGTGCCATATTTAGCCTCAAATATTAAGTCCATTGTCTCCAGATAAAAAAATGTTTTAAGTTGATATAAAGACATGTAGGAAAGTGAAATGAAACTATTTTTGTCAAACTTTTATGATGAAGCTTTTGACATTCACATCCCAAATAGACCAAAAATAGAGATTTTTGTGAAAGTTGATAAAATCGTCTTGATTCAACCAAATTTAGGCCTAGGAAACATTGAGCACATGCTTTGACAAACTTAATATCAAAGTCAGATGTGTAAATTGTTATAACGAACATAATGATCTTTTTTGTCAACGCATGTGCTCTATGTTTCCTGTCCTAAAAATCAATGAAATGACAATTTTTTGTTAATCTTTTACCTACCCATGAACATTAATACCCCATGAATAATATAGTAATTCCATTGTAGTTTTAAATACAAAATAAGGTTTCTTAAGAAATATTCTGAACTTACTCTGATAGATGATGTTTTGATAGTCTCTAGATATTGTACTGCTCTCTGTGCTACAGCAGAATTCATATCCTCTAATGAACCAATCAGTAAACAGAAGGCATGAGCTAATGCTGTTTGTAATACTTGATTGTGAGAGATAGAATCTAAATCAAGCAGTCGACACAGAACTGTCACTTTCTCAACTGAAATAGATCATATAACTAAATTTTAATATTGTGTGCCTCAATTTTTAAAGGCTTTTTAGTTGATTCTTTTTTTTTTTCAATGAATATCACCCAAAAGCAGTATTAAATATTGTTCAAAGAAAAACAGCACACTAAGAAAACACATTATTATAAAAAAAAAAGATAAATGAGGAATGTGTCCATTGGACACAGATGATGCCCCCGCTTGCATATAACGTTATAAAGGGACATAACTCAAGAACGGTAAAAGTGACGCCACCAAAATTCAAACTTGATCTGTGTTTTGTGGTTATAAGCATGGGTATAAGATTCATAACATTTGGTTGAGGCAAACTAAAGTTAGAGAACGGAAACCAATTTTGGGACGTACAGACGTATGTATGGATGGAGGGACGGACGCACAGACGGACGAGGGTAAAACTTAATGCCCCCTCCACTACGGCAGGGGCATAAAAAGTGAAAAATTATCATTTGAGCTAATTTCCTAATGCTTATAAAGTGAGACTTTGGTTGGATTGCCTGCTTTGTTTGCATAAACGTTTGCTCATGAATTTTAATTAAGATTGACATCTGCAAACAATATAAATAGGCCGAGTTTACCGGTATACATTATACTTAAATTTGATTGGGTGTTATCCTGGAGGTTAGGAATCTAAATATAATGTATACAGGTTTAACTCCGCCTATTCATATTGTTTGCAGATGTCAATCTTAATTACAATGCTTGCACAAGCATTTATACAAACAAAGCAGGCAAGCTAACCAAAGTCTCACTCTACAAGCATTAGGAAATTAGCTCTGACTAATTCCTGTATACTATTTAAGTGTATACCAGCAGCAAATCTAACTCTCCAGTCTTCACTAGTATATGCATCTTCAACAATTTTCCAACAGATATCAGCACCAGTAGGTAAGGTAAGACAGTGAACCAGTAATGGGACAGCAATAAATGCTAGCTGTGAATGTTGAGCTATCAGGCATTTCCACAAGCTACAAAATATTGTATTAATTACGTTTTATTATTTCTAATACAAATTTCTGTGTGGAAAAAAGTAAATTGAATGTTCTTACTTAAAGCATCATATTTTTGGATGATATTTTATACATACTTAACTAAAACTTGGAAGTTAACATAAGGAAAAGTTGTTTCTTTTATCTTTTTTAGATTTAAAATTTATTTTGTTCTATATCTAATAATCCAATTCAATATATGTATTTGAAACTATTAAAATATTACCTTGGTATCAAATGTCTTACTAGGGAAAACTTGACATAATTAGGATACTGGTTAACAGTGTAGTTTAGACTTTCAGCATGAAGTATAAGATATTTCATTGATGTCAGCAAAGAGTAGGAAGCATCTGTATCTGTTGTCCTCTCTAATTCCTGCAACATAAAATGTTTTCACAGCACTTATCAAATGTAAAATATCTCTTATTGATTACCACATTTATAATCAGCTGTTTACACACATAATTTGATTTCTAAAGAAATAATAAACATAACCACTCATTGATATTCAAACCTTGTCATGTTTTAAAATACATCACAAAGGTAAATTACAGAAACAGAGAAACAAAGATTTCAAGAGGATATGAAACAATTTTAACAGATGAGGCCATTGTTTTACATGAAACTTTGTTATGAACTTAAAGAAGGAAGTTGAGTTGATGAAGCAGCATCAATTTAATATCAAACTCTGAAGGCATGATTCAACTATAGTGGCATGGCTTTAAAATCAAACTTTGTTAGAAACATGGTCTTACACTGACACAGTGAAGGCATGCTACAACTATAGTGGTGTGACTTTAAAATCAAACTTTGTTAGAAACATGGTCTTACACTGACACACTGAAGGCATGCTACAACTATAGTGGTGTGGCTTTAAAATCAAACTTTTTTAGAAACATGGTCTTACACTGACACAGTGAAGGCATGATAAGATACAACTGCAGCAGCATGGTTTAATATCAAACTCTGTTTTAGACTTACAAGCAGGAAGGCATGATACAACTGAAGATGCAGTGGCATGGCTTTAATATCAAATTTTGGCTCTGATTTCTCTTTCTCCTCAGAATCATCTTCCTCTGTTGATGTTGAATCTAAAAAAATACATGTAATACATTCTTTATTATACATTCTACTTTTAAAAACAGATTGAGTATTGTTTTATTTCTGAAAAAATTGTTAACATGAAATTCTGTTTTTGATATATATTTCACAATTGCAAACTAATTTATACAACCTTTTTTTTTTCCTCAAAAACTTACTTTTCCTTGACTGTGAGTTAGATGAGACTTGTTTCACTTCCTCTACCCGAGGGACTTCTTTGGTTGGAATCTTAGCAGGATCCCTGGGACAAAAGTTACACATAACCTGGGACATCAATTGGTGCCACAATGCAATATTGTGGCAGAAGTTACAGGCTTGTTGCTGGTCATCAGAACAAGTGTGAGTTCCATCAAGGTCTTCTTTTAACATGACAGCTATCATCTGCATTACCTGTTTACTGGTCTCATTATAGATACCAAGGTACTTGGGAAATTCCTGGAGCTCAAGCTACAAAACAAAGCAAAAATTACTTCATAGCTATAAAATATTTATAAAATTCAAAATTATACATGGAAATAACCATATACAAAAGGAACGAAACTTTAAGCTTTTCAAGTCAAATTCTATATGTTGGGAAGAGGGTAAAGTGGATGGAGTCATCAAGGAAATTTCTATGGGATAGCATATCTGGTTTTAGAGAACATAAAGCACTGAGCATTTTAACGTTATAAAGGGACATAACTCAAGAACTGTAAAAGTGACGCTACCCAAATTTGTACTTGATCTGAGTTTGGTGGTAATAAGCATTGAGTATACGTTTCATAACATTTGGTTGAGGCAAACTTAAGTTAGAGAACGGAAACAAAAAATTCAGCAATTTTTCCATTTGTAAAGGAGCATAACCCTAGAACAGTAAAAATGACGCCACCAAAATTCAATCTTGATCTGTGTTTTGTGATAATATGCATTGTGTATAAGTTTCATAACATTTGATTAAGGCAAACTAAAGTAAGAGAACAGAAACGAAAAATTCAGCAATTTTTCCATTTGTAAAGGAGCATAACTCTAGAACGGTAAAAGTAATGCCACCAAATTTCAAACTTGATCTATGTTTTGTGGTAATGAGCATTGTGTATAAGTTTCATATCATTTGGTTGAGACAAACTAAAGTTAGAGAACGGAAACGAAAAATTCCAGCAGTTTTTCCATTTGTAAAGGGGCATAACTCTAGAGAGGTAAAAGTGACACTACCAAAATTCAAACTTGTGTTTTGTGGTAATAAGCATTGTGTATAAGTTCATAACATTTGGTTGAGGCAAACTAAAGTTAGAGAATGGAAACCAATTTTGGGACGTACGGACTCTCCACTACGGCGGGGGCATAAAAATATTTATTTTGCCCAATCAATAATAGTTTTTTATAATTTATATGCCATGTACCTTGGAATTTAAAACAAAATCTTGTGTACCTAAAACACTTTTTAAAGAAACAAAAGTCTTAAATACATGTACCTCTTTCAAATATAAATCTAGCATCATGATATAGCATGGTAATACAAGCTCAGTCTCCCTCTCATAAACCTCATAAGCCTCTACAACTACATGTGTTTTCTCAGGACTCAATGGTGGAGGTTTCTCTTGTGTTGGAGAGCCTGGAAATACAGTCTGATGACCCATAGCTCCTTCTGGTTTCTTAAGGGGTCTCTCTGGTATGGGACCAGTATTTTCAACATGGAGATTCTGTACACCACTCAGAAACATCCCAAGAAGCATATGCATTGGAATAATGATATCGAGTGTTGATAAGATCTGAAACAGAATGAATTGAACTTCATTTTGATTTTTTTTGTATAACATTTAACTAGTATATAAAATTATCTATGGTCGAAAAAAGATGTGAATTAAACATCATTGAAACAGAAACCCTAAAACACAACGTAACAAGAAATGGCACTTAGAGGGTATAAACTTCTTTAACAATAGAAATGTATCTATACTAAAACACAACGTAACAAGAAATGGCACTTAGAGGGTATAAACTTCTTTAACAATAGAAATGTATCTATACTATATGTCAAACTCTAAAATTGTTCAAAGGTTAGCAAAGTTGTGAACAAATTTGACAGAGATTATCAAAAATATGCCATCAAAACAAATTCTTTAAAGGACAAAACATACTTGGACAAATAAAGAAAATAAATGTGGATAGTGTCCACATGTGGACACAGATGATGCCCCCGCTTGCATATCATACATTTATAAAGGGACATAACTGAAAAACGGTAAAAGTGACGCTACCCAAATTTGAACTTGATCTGAGTTTTGTGGTAATAAGCATTGTGTGTAAGTCTCATAACATTTGGTTGAGGCTAACTTAAGTAGAGAACAGAAACTAAAAATTCAGCAATTTTTCTATTTGTAAACATGCATAACTCTAGAACGGTTGTGTATAAGTTTTATAACATTTGGTTGAGACAAACTAAAGTTAGAGAACGGAAACGAAAAATTCAGCAATTTTTAATGTTTATAAAGGGACATAACTCAAGAATGGTAAAAGTGTTGCCACCAAATTTCGTACTTAATCTGTATTATGTAGTAATAAGCATTGTGTATAAGTTTCATAACATTTGGTTGAGGCAAACTAAAGTTAGAAAACAGAAACAAAAAATTTGTACTTGATCTTAGCTTTGTGGTAATGAATATTTTGTATAGGTTTCATAATGTTTGGTTGGGGCAAACTTAAGTTACAGAATGGAAACTTAAAATTTTGCAATCTTTCCATTTAAAAAGGGGCATAACTCAATAATGGTTAAAGTGACACTATCCAAATTCAACTTGATCTGTGTTTTATCAGTGGAAGTCAAAATTAAACATTGCATTGTATAAAGCATTGATTGTAATCATGGACAACAGAAGATAACTCCAATTTTAAAAATTACTTGATATTAAGAAGAAAATAAAAATTTTGCAATTTTTCCATTTATAAAGGGGCCTAACTCTAGAACTGTTAAAGTGACGCCACCAAAATTCAAACTTGATCTGTGTTTTGTGGTGATAAGCATTGTGTATAAGTTTCATAACATTTGGTTGAGGCAAACTTATGTTAGAGAACGGAAACTAAAATTTTGCAATTTTTCCATTTATAAAGGGGCATAACTCTAGAAAGGTAAAATTAACGCCACCAAAAATCAAACTTGATCTGTGTTTTGTGGTAATAAGCATTGTGTATAAGTTTCATAACATTTGGTTGAGGCAAACTTAAGTTAGAGAACGGAAACCAATTTTTAGACGTACGTACAGACGGACAAGGGTAAAACTTAATGCCCACACCGCTACGGCGGGGGCATAAAAATTTCAAATAAAATTCATCATAAAAGACATATTTCCTGTCATGGAACAATATCATATAGATTAAATAAATATTGTATATACTTATTTAGACTTATTCAACCTATTAATAAAATCAGTCTGGATTTTCCTATTTAGTTTCCCAATAGGTTTTTTAATAGTGTCCTATAATATTGTATATGTTGATAGTTGTTATAACAAAAATTAACAAATGTTAGTGTTTGAAGAACTCTTAACCAGTTATTTTGAATAAGATGTTTTTTGTTTGTTTTTTTTTTTTTGCTCATCATGCTCATACATGTGTCCCTTAAAGATATCATAAGTAGTTAACAAAGTATAGAGTGCTGCTAATAGTTGGCAGTAAGGGTCCATCTAATTTCCTTGTTATATGTGTACTCATTTATTAAATACTGAAGCCTTCTTCCCAAACTTAGCAAAAACAGCAATAAGGCTGCTTTTCTTAAATGTATGTTTATTTTCAGTATTTCTCTCTAAAATATCCTCCCATACAGTAAACTTCAAATACCAAACTTCACAAATAATAAAACAACTTCACTGGATGTGTTAGTTACCTGTAACCACTGTAAAGCTTGTTCTTGTACATAAGCACTAGGATCTGTAAATCTTTCTGATATAAAACAGTACATCTTCTCCAGAGTAAAGGGCAGTGGACACATGTCAATGTCAAATGATTTACTGCAAATACATTCAATAATGACTGATATTTAAAGTTGCTTTCATTTGATAACTTATAATACATAGAAAGGGTGTACTTCTTCTTGTTGAAAGAAGCACAGCAACATGCAATCTGGAATTTAGTAATATTAAACTTTGAAAACAACTTTTCCTGTAATAATGCAATATTTTCATACAAGATTCTTTAGTTTTGTTTGAATTATCCACGAAAAAAAAGTATAGAGTTACAAGGAACGAAATGCAAAGTATACCAATTTGTTCAAAGTTCTATACTCAGTTAATATAAGAAGATTTCTGATATGGTCACACATGAAGTGACTTCCAGATGGATCTGAAAACTGACTACAGGCCGGCTAGGGTACAACTTACAAATATTAAGTGTAAGACCAAATGTCATAACATTCACCAATAAAATCTGAGTAATATGTACAGAAAATGATCGAAATATGGACAGAAGGGTGAAGGGACAGACAGACAAGGTCATTGCAGTACACCACCCATGCCTAGATTGGGACTATAAAAACAATATACATTGGACTTATTGTAAAATTTATATCCATTTATTTTTTTAATTTCAGCGAACAGCATTAGATATGACCAAGCATAAATTGGTATATTCTGGACAAAAAATTTTCAAATGTATTTTAATTCTGATTTTTGCAATATTTACCTTAACAGAACTTTCAGTTCATGTAAATCCTCTGCTGGAACTTCAGTTCTTATTGCTTCTAACCAATATGGCATCACATAATCCCAAATCTGTCAACAAATGATAACACTTTAAAGGTGCATAGGGAAGTTCATACAAATAACATCTGATGTGTCATTCTATTATCAGGCTGACTTCTTACACATCACATCTATTGAAACTAGCATACATATGGCAAAATAATTTTCTCCAAGCATTTCCTATTAATTAACTTTGAAAGTAAATTTGGACATTAAGCTTTTGAAATAACATGTGGACTTTTGAAACATCTCAATATTTTAAATCTTTAAAAACACTGACTTACTTCAAATGTAATGATATCATAAGGAACCAAACAAAAGAAACAATTCAGTCCTTCTTTAATCTGTGTTGTTCTATTTGTTATATAATCCCTGAAATAGATAATTAACAAATTATGTATATTGTATCATAAAAAAACTCTGTATTGACATAGTTATATTCAACATAAAAAGGACAACGAACAAATAAGTAGAAATCATCATCATTTGTATCTTGTAAATGTTGTTCAATTACAACTACCATCAATCAGTAAACTCATAACTGTCTCCTATAGGGTTATAGAAGGATAAGGATGCTTTGTGTTGTTAGGTGGCTGTATATTTACTGAAGTTCATCTTTTGCTCCTTTGTATCAACTGTGAAAGTATTGATATTAATTGGGTTTAGTGATTTCATGGTACAACAAAATCACTTTTAATATCCTAGGAAAATCTTGTTATACTGTGAATTCATTATTATTCGTGGGATACCAATTTTCGTGGATTTCGTGGACATAGGTGAACCACGAATTCAAATGTTCAATGAAGTACACATTTTCTATAGGCTTATGTGCAGACTTTGGCAAAACCAAGAAATAAAATATCCACAATGTTTCCTAAATCCATGAAAATTGGTACCCATGAAAATAAATGAATCTACAGTAGCTATTTTCATAGAATTAAATAAACAATTCACAAAATGAAATCAATGATAATCTAAAAATCAAAAATTGACTACTTTTATAGCAAAACCATAAAAAAACAATTCTTCATCAATCCATAAACAAAAATATCAAATGAAATATATCCTAATAAGACATAACATACTTTTAACACCATCTTGCAATGTATTGAAGAAATAACTTACCAGAATCCACCAACCCTGGCATACTCTACAGGGTGGGGGAGTAAGCAGGATACTATGACTTAGAAATAACTTACCAGAATCCACCAACCCTGGCATACTCTACAGGGTAGGTGAGTAAGCAGGATACTATGACTTAGAAATAACTTACCAGAATCCACCAACTCTGGCATACTCTACAGGGTGGGGGAGTTAGCAGGATACCATGACTTAGAAATAACTTACTAGAATCCACCAACTCTGGCATACTCTACAGGGTGAGGAAGAGAACAGGATACTATAACTTAGAAATAACTTACCAGAATCCACCAACTCTGGCATACTCTACAGGGTGGGGGAGTAAACAGGATACTATGACTTAGAAATAACTTACCAGAATCCACCAACTCTGGAATACTCTACAGGATGGGGGAGTAAGCAGGATACTATGACTTCAAAGTGAGTTTTGGATACTTCCTCAAGCCAGTCATAAATGTACTGTAAACATAAAATAATACAGTATACATGGTATAGTAGATTATTTTTGCAAAGTTCTTTTTTTTGCTTATTTCAACATTTAAAATGTAAAATGTGTGATTTTCTGACTTGTTGGAAAGATCCAAATTAGATTTTTATCTTTATCATCTGATTGTAATAATTCACTAGGTATTTGCATATGGTATTACATTTTAAACTATAATAATGCCTTTTTACACCTAAAATCACTTTAAGGAAAGTCCATTATTGTTTAAAAATGTAGTGTATGGTATAGGCCTTATTTGGCCTACTTTTGCACTTAAATTTGTGATCTTTATTTAGATCTCCTTTATATGTAAATTATGTCATAAAATGAAAACTAGATCATGAGTTTTGCTGTGACAATAAATATAGTTATTTCCTCATAGCAATACCACTTTTATAAAATTTACAAATTGTAGATTATTTCCATACTGCCAAATATACAGCACATGAAAGATCCATCAAGAAAATTTCCTAAAGTGTGTATACGAAAAAGACATCTCTTATAAATATTTATGTGGTTCCTGCATGAGTTCCATATTTCCTCCTCATTTTAAAACATGTTAAAACTATGCAGTTTTGTTATACTTTTAAAAAAATTTAAGTTCACAACATCTTTCAACTACAAAAATCTGGGTAGTTCTTGATGATATTAAAAGGAATTGTACATTTAAGACATTGCACATATGTTTCCATTATTTTAACATTTATTTTATATTTATTCATTTCATTGGACAAATAAGGCACTTACAACAGTTTTTCTTTTATTAATTATTCCAAGAATGATAAACTTAACTTACAATCATGAGTTTTAAAGAAGTAATCCAGGTATGTTTTGACTCCCAAATCTGTGTTTTCCTAATGGAATCAAAATCCTTAAGTTTTCAATAAAACATGTTTACGATTTATTTTGTTGTTTATACTTACATCTGGCTTTAGTCTTTCTAGAGCATTTCCAATATTGTCTACAAATAATAACACCACAAAAATAATTGATACCACAATTAGACTGATCTTCAAAATGTACTATATCCATCAAAAGTGAGATTCTTTAGAAGGTAATTATTTGGACAACTGAATAATTTAGTTCTAAAAGTTTCTCTTAGTTATAATGTTTTGAGCACAAACAAGAATCAGTAAGAAAATGAAATATTTATAGTTCAGTTAAAGTTCTTTGCGCTACAAAGTCTGTATGAAGCACTAAAAAGATCACTATGAAATGACAAAACTATATTTCATTTTAAAATGATACATACCGTCAGGAAGATATGCTGTAGCATCAAACCACTGAAACAACATCCCAAGCAGACGTCCAAGTACTTCCTGTTTGTGAAAATTTAATCCAGAATTACAAACTTAAATGGAAATTTTTACTGCCATATAACAAAAAGAGTGAAAAAAGAATTTGTTTATTTTGATGTTCAAATTAGCTTCAAATGCATAAATCCATTAGTCCTTTTTTTGAGGAATTAACTTTTGAAAGCTGAAGTGCAACTATATAAGCTATCAGATTTTTAAATGGCATTGATTTAAAAAAAAATAAGCAAAGATTTATTTATAACTATATAACAATCCATCAAACTAGTACTTCTTACAATTTCTTTTGTACAAGTTATTTTGTCTCTGAAAATATAACTTTTAAAACTTCTCATTGAGGTCTGTTTTCTCATGATAAGATTTTACATTTTTACAAATTTCCCTCTTCCATGCTGTTTAAACCAAATCATGCATGCACATATGATCATGCTGTTCTAACAGAAGAAAACAATAAAACATAAAATGTAAATAAGAGAAACATAATTCAATGTACCTTGTCATTTTTGTCACTTTTCATCTAACACAGCATGCAGGAATCACAACAAACAACAAAATACAATATGTATAAGTATCTGTGGTAATATTTCATTCACTGGAAGACAATTGTGTATACATTTTAATACTCTATATATTTAAAATATCATTAAAGACATTTCCTGTTTTACTTTCTACAGATGTAAATGAACATATATCGGATTTTCCATTAAAAATCTTAAAATCCTCCACAAATCTAACAGTGCCCTTTAAAAATAGTTTGCCTAATATATGAATGGCTATACAGTAAATATTTTTAACCTTAATTATTATTCTTCTGTAATTCATTTTGAAAAGATATTCAGTTCTGTTTATAGTCTCTCTTTATGTTAAGCATATTATAACAAGAATGTGTCCTTAGTACACGGATGCCCCACTCGCACTATCATTTTCTATGTTCAGTGGACCATGAAATTGGGGTCAAAACTCTAATTTGGCATTAAAATTAGAAAGATCATATCATAGGGAACATGTGTACTAAGTTTCAAGTTGATTGGACTTCAACTTCATCAAAAACTACTTTGACCAAAAACTTTAACCTGAGGCGGGATAGACGGAAGGACGAACGAACGGACAGACGGTTGAACGAACGAACAGACACACAGACCAGAAAACATAATGCCCCTACTACTATCATAGGTGGGGCATAAAAATAGCATACATTTTTTGGCATATCAGATGCTTTATCTGCAATTGCTCATAATAAAGAATACACAAGAAAAGGACAACAGACAAATACATGCAGGTTAATGTTTAACCAAACATTCTCTTACATCATCTGAGAATCAGATTCTACTGCTAATCAACTAGATGACTTTCTAACTCTTGCACTTTCCCGTTAATGTTACAATGCTTAAATTATTACGTCACAGTAAGAATCGATTGTTTGACGAAGTCATTTACACCAATTGACCTCAGGTCAACCAGTGTAACTCATTCGTAAAAAATAACTTGACATCAGTGTATAAAAAATTATAGTTGTCTTCTCTCTACTGTTAAGAAATAATTCAAGACAGTTATAAGTTTATTGGTTGCTTAAAAACATGGTTAAATTTTGCAGCAGGATAATTTTTACACCTCAAAAATGATAACATAAATTGTAGATTGTGTTATTCTAATTGAAAAAATATATACAGTCTTTGTAATTGTTGCATTTTCCCATTTGGACAGCTCATCTTGTGATTTATTTTTTTTGGAACAAAATTTCAATTAAGGTTATGATAATTGTAGAATAAAGATGTTTTATACTACAACTATTCTATTTGCATAGTCAAAAAGCATTGACCACATAAACTTAGTCTTTATACTGTCACTGAAGGTATATATATAACTAGAGGCTCTAAAGAGCCTGTGTCGCTCACCTTGGTCTATGTGAATATTAAACAAAGGACGCAGATGGATTCATGACAAAATTGTGTTTTGGTGATGGTGATGTGTTTGTACATCTTAATTTACTGAACATTTTTCCTGCTTACAATTATCTCTATCTATAATTAACTTGGCCCAGTAGTTTCAGAGGAGAAGATTTTTGTAAAAGATTACTAAGATTTACGAAAAAATGGTTAAAATTGACTATAAAGGGCAATAACTCCTAAAGGGGTCAACTGACAATTTCGGTCATGTTGACTTATTTGTAGATCTTACTTTGCCGACATTTATCGTTTTTTACAGTTTATCTCTATCTATAATAATATTCAAGATAATAACCAAAAACAGCAAAATTACCTTAAAATTACCAATTCAGGGGCAGCAACCCAACAACGGGTTGTCCGATTCATCTGAAAATTTCAGGGCAGATAGATCTTGACCTGATAAACAATTTTACTTCATGTCAGATTTGCTTTAAATGCTTTGGTTTTTGAGTTAAAAGCCAAAAACTGAATTTTACCCCTATGTTCTATTTTTAGCCGTGGCGGCCATCTTGGTTGGTTGACCAGGTCACGCCACACATTTTTAAAACTAAATAACCAAATGATGATTGTGGCCAAGTTTGGTTTAATTTGGCCCAGTTGTTTCAGAGGAGAAGATTTTTGTAAAAGTTTACTAAGATTTACGAAAAATGGTTAAAAATTGACTATAAAGGGCAATTACTCCTAAAGGGGTCAACTGACCATTTCGGTTATATTGACTTATTTGTAAATCTTACTTTGCTGAACATTATTGCTGTTTACAGTTTATCTCTATCTATAATAATATTCAAGATAATAACCAAAAACAGCAAAATTTCCTTAAAATTACCAATTCAGGGGCAGCAACCCAATAACGGGTTGTCCGATTCATCTGAAAATTTCAGGGCAGATAGATCTTGACCTGATGAACAATTTTACCCCATGTCAGATTTGCTTTAAATGCTTTGGTTTTTGAGTTAAAAGCCAAAAACTGAATTTTACCCCTATGTTCTATTTTTAGCCGTGGCGGCCATCTTGGTTGGTTGACCAGGTCACGCCACACATTTTTAAAACTAGATAACCAAATGATGATTGTTGCCAAGTTTGGTTTAATTTGGCCACGTAGTTTCAGAGGAGAAGATTTTTGTAAAAGATTACTAAGATTTACGAAAAATTGTTAAAAATTGACTATAAAGGGCAATAACTCCTAAAGGGGTCAACTGACCATTTCAGTCATGTTCACTTATTTGTTAATCTTACTTTGCTGAACATTATTGCTGTTTACAGTTTATCTCTATCTATAATAATATTCAAGATAATAACCAAAAACAGCAAAATTTCCTTAAAATTACCAATTCAGGGGCAGCAACCCAACAACAGGTTGTTCGATTCATCTGAAAATTTTAGGGCAGATAGATCTTGACCTGATAAACAATTTTACTTCATGTCAGATTTGCTCTAAATGCTTTGGTTTTTGAGTTATAAGCCAAAAACTGCATTTTACCCCTATGTTTTATTTTTAGCTGTGGCGGCCATCTTGGTTGGTTGGCCGGGTCACGCCACACATTTTTTAAACTAGATACCCCAATGATGATTGTGGCCAAGTTTGGTTTAATTTGGCCCAGTTGTTTCAGAGGAGAAGATTTTTGTAAAAGATTACTAAGATTTACGAAAAATGGTTAAAAATTGACTATAAAGGGCAATTACTCCTAAAGGGGTCAACTGACCATTTCGGTTATATTGACTTATTTGTAAATCTTACTTTGCTGAACATTATTGCTGTTTACAGTTTATCTCTATCTATAATAATATTCAAGATAATAACCAAAAACAGCAAAATTTCCTTAAAATTACCAATTCAGGGGCAGCAATCCAATAACGGGTTGTCTGATTCATCTGAAAATTTCAGGGCAGATAGATCTTGACCTGATGAACAATTTTACCCCATGTCAGATTTGCTCTTAATGCTTTGGTTTTTGAGTTATAAGCTAAAAACTGCATTTTACCCCTATGTTCTATTTTTAGCCGTGGCGGCCATCTTGGTTGGTTGACAGGGTCACGCCACACATTTTTAAAACTAGATACCCCAATGATGATTGTGGCCAAGTTTGGTTAAATTTGGCCCAGTAGTTTCAGAGGAGAAGATTTTTGTAAAAGTTTACGGACGACGGACGACGGACGACGGACGCAGGACGACGGACGACGGACGCAAAGTGATGAGAAAAGCTCACTTGACCTTTCAGGTCAGGTGAGCTAAAAATAAGATGTGGTATGTTTACCCATGAGACAACTCTCCACCAGGGACTAAAAGACATAGAAGTTAACAACTATAGGTCACCGTGCGGCCATCTACAATGAGCCAAACCCATACCACATGGTAAGCCATAAAAGGCCCAGAAATGAAAATTGTAAAATAATCCAAACAAGAAAACTAATTGCCTGAGTATAAAGCCTTGTTTGTCATGTTGATAATGCATTTCTATAGAGATTTCTCTATGACAATGTGAAAAAATGCAAGTTATATTATTTTTTTCTTTTTCTGCTTCAAATTTTGTTGTTTTTTTCTCAAAAATTTCTGTGGAACTGTTTGAAGAGATAACAACCATATATTGTCTCTATATAACATCACATCCTATCTGTTTCTAAGCCTTGAACAAATTTTACTTTTTAGAATTAAATCTGCTATAGAAATCATTTATACATGTATTACAATACAACATGACTTTAAATGGTTTTATTAATTATGTCCAACATTCAACTATGACTTTCGTCCCAAAACACACGTGCACACAAAACCAACACATACAGGTACACAACTGACAGATAAACAACTTATTACATACTATAGGTATATCTTCTTGAGGTCTACAAAGTTCTACCAGTAACCATATACCATATCTACTGAGTAACTTCCTCTCACCAGCCTCCTCCATCTCATACAAATCATCATCATCACTTACATGTGCTCGATGTTCTTCTCCCATTTCTACCATTCTCTTTGATTCAATCGGCTGGGCTTCTTTTAACAAGCTGAAATTAACATTAACACTGATAAAATCAAAATATATTTTAATGATCAATTTTCATGAAAATTCTTCAGATATAAATTATAAAGAAGTAAAATATCTAAATGTCAAAAATTTATAAACAAATAAGGAAATGTGGTATGATTTCCAATGAGACAATAATCCCTCATAGACCAACTGATAAGAATGCAAATAGGTCACCATAAAGCCTTGAACAATGAGCAAAACCCAATAGTTAGGTGAAGGCTGTGGCATGACAAAAGGTGAAACAATTCAAAAACGAAAAAAAAAACAGATGCACCATGAGCGCATGATACGCCGTCGCTTTTTTAAAGAATAAAGTTCAATAACTTCTCAATGTCATTTCAGAAATTTATGAAAAACTAAAGGGAGGTTATCTTAATAGATATAAACCAGTCACCAAAGTTTCATGAAAACTGCTCAAAGCACTTTAAAGATATTGTCTGAAAACTAGAAAATCACCCCCTTTCTATGAATAAAATCCCATAACTCGGAAACGTAAATTCAAAATTTATAAAAATCGAAAGGGAGCTTATGTCAATAGATATAAACAATTCACCAAACTTTCATGAAAACTGCAGATAGCATTTTTGAGTTCTTGTCCGAAAACTGGAAAATCCCCCTTTTTTTAATGAATAAAAACCCCTAACTCGGAAACGTAAAATCTAAAATTTATAAAAATTGAAAGGGAGCTCATGTCAATAGATATAAACAATTCACCAAAATTTCTTGCAAATTGGTGGAATTGTTTTTGAGTTATTGTCTGAAAACTAGAAAATCACCCCCTTTTTATGAATAAAATCCCATAACTCGGAAACGTAAAATCTTCAATTTATAAAAATCGAAAGGGAGCTTATGTCAATAGATATAAACAATTCACCAAACTTTCATGAAAACTGCAGAAAGCATTTTTGAGTTCTTGTCCTAAAACTGGAAAATCCCCCTTTTTTTAATGAATAAAACCCCATAACTTGGAAACTTAAAATCTAATATTTATAAAAAACAAAAGGGAGGTCACGTCAATAGTTATAAACAATTCACCAAAGTTTCATGCAGATTGGTTAAAGCGTTTTTGAGTTATTGTCTGACATGTTGACAACGGACGGACAACGGTACACCATAATACGTCCCTTAAACAGGCACATAAAAATAAAGTTAATTTCATTAACTAGAATAAACTCCTTTTATTAAATTCACTACCAGTATTAAAGTATAGTCTACTCTCTTTATCTCAAAGTCAGTCGGACCAAAGAAATATTAAGAGATACTTGCAGTTTAACTCAAACAAATACGGGAAGTTTGACAGACCAAGTGACACAACTCATGCTAAGCCTGGGTAGGCTAAAATAAACCTGATGAAAATGGTAAGGGATCGATATTCTAGTCAGAGATCAATGTATCTGCATGTAATGGTCATTTACTATTATAATAAAACTGTATAATTAAGTTTTTGTCTCTATGTTATTTCTTTGAACAGTAACATCTTTTTCTGTGGTTTTTAGCCTAGAGAATAATTTCTAATTGATCTTGTGATTTGAAGTTGACAAAGTTGTTCGTTCTCGTACGCAAAAGATTTTTAGAAAGTTAAGATTACTTTTCAATTCAATCTTTTCTAGCAAGAGAAAATAAGAGAGTGTAAAGATGCTGATTGAGCAATTTTGAGTTGTTCACTTAGTCAGCACTTTATGCCCAACCAAGCTTATTAAAGTATGATTAAGGTGAATTGGTTATAAAACATTTTAGATAATTTTTCATAATCTATAACAATGTATCGCTAATCATGTATTATGGTAATCAAAGATAATCTTAGGCAACACTCATCGTAAAATTATGCCAAAAATTTCATTACAAGTGTATTGTCAGATTAACTCTTCAATCCAGATAAATCCCTGAGGATATGTGTACTGTATTGGTTCAAGATATATAACGCAACTAACCATGAACCATAAATTTGGTTCAGTCAACCAAAATTTCGACACATCAGGAGTTGAAATACACATATTTCTATGGAACATAGTTCGGGATCACGGGAAAACTTTTGACTCATCCAGAATTTTAAGTCAAACAAATTCTAGAAAACAAGTTAACTGTATGTGATATGTATACAGAGAGGAAAACTTCATGTGATGTTGACTAGAGTAAAATATTTTTTATTAGAGAAATGAATAAAAAGAAAATATTTTCAGTATAAACAGGGTTCTCACTAAGGATTTTTTAAGGTGAGTCCAGTCGTTTTTGGCCATGGTGAGTCCCAACAGTAAGAAGAAGATATTTCATTGCAATATAATTTATCATTTTAGTCTCCATGACCTAATAGAGAATGAAATGACATTAAATTTAGATTACTTTCAAACTTTTGCTAGAAAATGATGGTATGTGTGTTCAGTTTATACAAAATATTTCAATCTTGATGCATCTTTGGACTCACCAGTTTTGAAAATGGTGAGTCCAAACAGATTTTCATGAGTCCAGGACTCATGGACTCGCCTTAGTGCGAACCCTGCTAAAGAATTTTTTTGTTTGAATTTTTTTTTTCCTTTCATCACTTCAAAAAAGAAGTTATCCTTCAAGAAATACAAGGAATTATTCAAGGTCATGATTTAAACAAAATAATTAATATCTGCATATGTACTTGTATATACATGACGTTCTAGTAACACAAATCTTTCTATTTTATGAATTGAATAACTAAAATCTCCCTGACATAATTCAAATACCTAGTAATAGCATCCATGAGATATCTCTGAACCTGTTGACTACAATCCCAGATCTCTGGTATACTAAGATGATACACATGTTTTCTTCCCTTGGGAGTAAGATGACGAGATTCATGACATATTTGACAGTAACGGATTGGTCTATTACCATTATAACTGGCACATTCTATAGAGAAACAGGTACATACTGCAAGGGTCTCTCCTGCTCTACAGTTCTGTAATAAATAGGATATAATGATTCAATTTCTTATTACTTTGTTTGTATCTAACTGTTCTGAGAGAAAAAAAAAACAAGAATGAATTAGATTGCATGGAGAAATGTGTGATAAATTAAACACTGACAAATTAAATAAGTGAGTAAGAACTTAGTAGTTTACTTTATTTTTCTCAATCAGGATGGGAGGGGGGTGAAATCTCATCCCATCATCACAAATGCATTTTAATGGAATAGCTTTTCTTTGTACTTCCTATTTTATTTTCACACTTGTAAGGCAAATCTGGTGATCTTAGTCTTGTATCTTACATCATTCCTGTCAACTTCTGAAGAAGAAAATGTCAGGTCATAAAGCTACGAACTATTTCGGTCCAATTTTAATATTGAGAGTTTTTTTTTTATAAACTATAACATATACATGTACCACTTAGTTTCCTAAAAATAAACCCTTTTGTATTTGTTAAGAATATAAATATTTATCATTAATAAATATCTTTCTAAAGCAATGCCCTTTTATTGTTTTATTCACACTAGTTTACTTCTTATTATTGAATGTCATAAACCCCAGCTATATATGTAATTAGAAATCAATATTATAGCTAATATGCTCCTATACACAGGAGGAAGATAAATAAAAAGAACTTAGTGTGTTTCCTTTCAGTGAAATATCTAGAGCATATGGATTTGATTTAAAGCTTTTACATTTAAGTTATAACAAAATTATTCTCTCTAACAGAAATGTATAAATAGGTTCAAATTGTTTTAAAATGATTTCTACAGGATATTTGATATTTGTCAAGCTTGACTGGCTTCAACTTTCTGTGGTACAATTAACAAACAATCTACGAATTGTTACTTTTCAATCAAATGTAATGTTTTGATAGCTGTCATTGGCACGGTAAGTAAGCAAATTCTGGGAAACCATTTTGAAATCAAAATAATTATTTGCCCACCTCAACTGGAATCGTATCGTATTTTAATTTCAAAGGAAAAACACCGAGAAAATCGAAAGTATATTTGTCTAAATACTGGAAACAATACCAGTCAGAAATATGGGTGAAAACGGGTAATTTTCTGAAATCCTGGGTTATTTGAATACCCGGAGGGTATTTAAAAAATCCTGTGTGAAGGGGGAAATTCTCGGGTTACACCCACAGAATACAGGTCAGTTGACAGCTATGTCTTACATATCTGCTAGAAACTTTATAACAAATGACAACTTAAAAGGTATCATCAATTTTCATAAACATTTGACTTCTAGGATTCCTATATGATCGGCAAATGAGAAATTGTGATATTCTGTCAGTTTTTCACATTTCAAATATACAAAAATGATCTTACCCTTTACACATGCTAGACTTACTCTTACACATGGTCAAACATTTAATACTTTTTCTTACAAATGATAGGAATACATGACATAACCTTTTCAAAACTTATGTTAGGCAAATGTAATACCACATAACTCTCACATATTTTAAATGCAATGTTTGTTTACAATTGTGATTCTTTTATCTTAATTCTACAAATGGAGACCTTTAAATCTTATTTTCACATATTATAGACACATTTGAGCTTTTTACCTTATTTGCACATATAGCAGACACATGTGACTTTTATACTTTTTTCACATATTGAAGACCCCTGAAACTCTTAAACATTAATCTTACATACTGTAGATGTGATATTTTTCCTGCATTATCACACTTGGTAGACATGTGTGACCTTATTACCTTATTTTCACATATGGTAGGCATGTGTGACATTCTTACCTTATTCTCACATATGGTAGACATGTGTCACATTCTTACCTTATTTTCACATATGGTAGACACATGTGACATAGGTAATAATATGTCCGTCATGTATTCACTATGATCTTTCCTGAGAACGTCAGCACAGTCACTACAGATATAAAGTGGTGGAGGCTTGTCTCCAGAATGTATTGCTAAAGCTGGATTCAAACACATCTAAATAAACAAAATGCAAATTGGTCAAATATTGTCAGCTTTTGGTTAATCAGTGGACATCTACAAACATGATAGAAATCATATTTATTATGCATTTTACTTAAGCAAGATTTTGTTGTACATAAGTCAATTTCTACACATTTTTATTTAAGGGTATGTACTACTATACCACTTAATCATTAAGCTTTATCCAATATTATAATCAGAAGGTAAACACTTTATGAGAATGGAAGCCATATATTCATTATATCATTGGCTGCACTGCCCTCCAACAATTTGTTGCCAGAAAAAACAACAGCATTAAATTTTTATCAGCAGTTCCTAAACACTCATGCCAACACGCCCTTACCCCCTCCCCCTTACCTAATTTAAAGTCAGTTAATGCATATTAAATCAATTTAAAACAAAACTGTTTGATTAAAGGTGTTATTGCTCAATATTGTGATCATTAACCATTTAGAAAGCCTGAACAACTTTAGAAGGAAGCATAGCAAAGAATGGATGTTTGATTACAATGCTTAAGCTATACCTTTTAATCAGAAAGCTGCAAAACTACTCGTTTCATTCAAATGAAAATGAATGTTTAATCTAATGATTAGTTTATCATTTTTGACAGATTTGCTATGAATTAACAGTAACTATTTTCACTTTTCCCTAGAGGGTCATATAGACAACTGACCTTATGACCAACAGGTGCACAATTGCTGATATCTTCTTTCTTTAATCATTAGGGTCTTTTGCTGACATTTAATTTTGTTTAAGGAAATGGAAGCCATCAATTAATGATTGAACTGTGCTTGTGAGTAAGCTTTTGATTCTTGTTGCAAATGATCCAAATGCTGTATGATTCATACTTTTCTGGAACCTGATAGAATATCAACTTACAGTTGGTGATACAAAATGCATAACCCTTTTTTTCAGCTGGATATTTGATTGGAAAAATAACCAAGTAATAAATTACGATTTGATCACATCCCTTTCTGCAGTGTTCAATAATACACAATAATATTTTATTAGTACCTTAACAGCTTGACAATTTCCATTGTTTACACATCCTCTCCTCTGACAAAGAACTGGTGGCCATGCTGAAATCAGGTATTACATAGAATAATTCATATCTTATAGATTAATCAAACAGTATTTTGACACCTGACAAATGCAAGCTATGTTAATTTATTCGACTAGATACCATACACAACTTAAATGGTACATCTTTTTGTTTTTAAAGAGCTATTTTTTTCAAAACCAAATTTATCTTTGTTTAAGTTTAGTTCAAACATGTGCACTAACTTTCAAGTTGATGCAAACACAACCTCATGGTAAACTACCTTATCCTTAAACTTTGTACATTTTTGTCCTTGAAATTTCCTCAAATTGAAATTTGGTTGGCCTTACTATTTGTAAGATTTTGAATATCTATCAAATCTGGTCTTTTTAAAATCATGATAGTTTAAAAGTCTTGTACCAAAAAATACCATACAGAGTACAAATTTTAAATTCTCAACACAGAAAATATGCATAAGTTACCAATATATTTATAATGTATTCCTCTCCTATCAGATAATGCAGGGTTTAATTGTGGCCAGTAGTAGAACAGAAGATTAGCTGCAGGAGCTCTGGCAGATGGTGGTCCATATGCTATAATACTCAGTATATCCTGAAAGAAAAAAAACTTTATGAAAGCATGGAAACAAATTTAAATGCAATTCATGGGTCATACATTTTCTACGCACATTTATAGTAAAACAATACTTTTGTCAAACCCTTAATTTTATGAATGTGTAAGTAAATTTAAATAAACACTTCATTACCTTTGAGTGGTGAAACTATGTTTCTAGAATTAACTAAATAAAATTAAAATAGTAATTCATAGAGGACTTTTCCTAAAATGATTCATGGGAATAAAAATGTGTTGTGTAGAAACTATACATAAATGACTACTAGTATTCAATTTAATTGTGTGGAAAACCTTGATGAAAACTATTTAGCAAATATATAATTTATACTGACCTTAACTAAATCTCTCTTGATACTCATGAAGCATTCTAGTATCTGTGAGTGATATGCTGAAAGTCAAGGTTCTGATTTTAATACAAGTATCAAGATAATTATATAATAAAATGCTTTGCTGGGCGCAGCTTGATACGACCACAGAGGTCGAACCCTGAACAGTTGGGGCAAGTATGGACACAACATTCAAGCTTGATACAGCACTGAATTTGGATTGTAATTAAATATTTGACACAGCATAGGTTTCTGACACAGAATGAATGTGGTCTAAGAACTTAAAAATTTTTAATTTACCTATTCAAACCATATCATTATTATTTGCTTTTATATATAAATCAGAAATAACCAATTTAAAATGGAAAATTTTAAAGAAAAAAAGGAAAAAAAATCCCCCTCCCCCAAATTTTTGAACCCCCTTATGATTCATCACCCCCAAACTCAATCCCAGCCTTCCCTTTGTGGTATGGTCCCTTGCAGTACAATTTCAGAGAGATCCATACACTTGAACACAAGTTATTGTCTGGAAACTAGAAAAATGCTTGTTTTTTGGCCCCTTTTTGGCCCCAAATTCCTAAACGTTTAGAGCAATTACCCCCAAACTCAAACCCAGCTTTCCCTTTGTGATATGGAACCTTGTAGTACAATTTCATAAAGATCCATACACTAACACACGTTATTGTCCTGAAACTAGAAAAATGCTTTTTTTTGCCCCTTTTTGGCCCCTAATTCCTAAAATTTTGAGGCAATTACCCCAAAAATCAATCCCAGCCTTCCCTTTGTGGTATGGTACCTTGCAGTACAATTTCAGAGAGATCCATACATTTGAACACAAGTTATTGTCTGGAAACTAGAAAAATGTTTATTTTTGGCCCCTTTTTGGCCCCTTATTCCTAAACGTTTTGGGTAATTACCCCCCCCAACTCAATTCCAGCTTTCCCTTTGTGATGCCTTGTAGTACAATTTCATAAAGATCCATACACTAACACACAAGTTATTGTCATGAAACTAGAAAAATGCTTGTTTTTTGCCCCTTTTTTGGCCCCTAATTCCTAAAATTTTGAGGCAATTACCTCCAAAATCTATCCCAGCATTCCCTTTGTGTGATATGGGACCTTGTGGTACAATGTCAGAGAGATCCATACACTAACACACAAGTTATGTCTGAAAGTTACAAAAATGCTTATTTTTGGCCCCTTTTTGGCCCCTAATTCCTTAACTGTTGGTACCATAACCCCCAAAATCAATCCCAACCTTCCTTTTGTGGTATTGAACCTTATGGTAAAATTTCATAGAGATCCATTCACTTAAACTAAAGTTAGAGCGCGAAAACCAATGTGTCTTCGGACGACGACGATGACGACGCCTATGTCATACCAATATACGACCACAAAAATTTGTTTGCGGTCGTATAAAAAGTCTAAATATTTATTCAGCAGAACTCTGTGCCTAGGTTATCATTGCTGCTTTCGGTGTAAAAGTGTAATGTTTAATTTCCTTATGGAAAAGCACTCAAATTATTTTATGAATGTTCATCTATTATAGTAAGAGATTCCTGCACTTTACCCTATGAATTAGAATATATATAAACTACCTTAAAATGACATGTATTGTAATCCATACTGTATAGTGACAGAATTTATATTTATCTTTTCCTTATAATGCAGTACATCTTTATATATTTGGCTTTGAACGGCCCTGATGTAGGTAAATCTAGAAAAGTGCTTCAGACGCATGAAATCTATAAAATGTTGTTTTAATTATTTTACAGTAAATTTTTCTAATTTTCATCCTCTTTAGTTGTCTCTTCAAGGATTAAATAATCTTGTCAGGTTTGGTGTCTTTGGGATAACTTCTTTTGTTATGTTTTTAGTATGATTCCTTTATTTGTACTATAATGTACTACTTACAACCATTATCTGTGTGCTGCAGAACCATTGTTATAATTGCTGCAGCTGACTCACTGGCATAGGTAGGTTCAAATCCTCCATCATACCCTATAATTTAAACAATTTTTTTACTACTGTGTGTTGCTGGGTGGCTGCCATATTGATAGTTTCTCAGTATTTATCTTAATTATACTGGCAAAATTATATTTCTATATCTGGCCATAAACCTCAAAAATTACAATTAAGAAATTTTTGCTACATGTTCTTTGAAACTCAAAGGTCTTGCTGTAGGTCTTACTTTTCAATTGAAATTCATTGCAATGCACAGATACATATACATTTTCAAGTACGTTTACTTATTATATCAGAAGTGAAAGGAAGATAATCTAGACTAATAAGAAATACTATCCAACATATGTAGTCTTTGAGTAATGTTGACCAAAAATGAAGATATTGATGAAGAGGAAGTTCAAATTACTGTGTCAACAAAACTATATTTATAAATGATAGATCAATTAAGTATTGGAGTTACGAAGAACAGCTGGGTAGGTTATAATCCAATTGAACATTCTGAGTGTCATCGGTTAAACATTTCTACTTCACAGGTCTTGTGAGAAAGGGGGGAGATATCCCAGTTTAACTCTGGATCAATAGTGTCTTTGTGTCTATTAGACAGTAGGGGCAGATAAATCTGTTAAACTTACCTAGTGTCATCGGTAACATATTACTACACAATAGGTCAATAGTTTCTTTGTGTAATGTAGGAGGAAATATAGCAAGGGTAGATGCCACAGTGTAAGGGAGAGAATCTAATAAGTCATGCTCAAGGAACGGAACAAGACAACCTAAAACTTTCAATACATTTTCTCCAACTTCTGAAAAGATAAAGTGTAAGATTTGAATAATATATCAATTATATTTCTTATCAATGTTTCTCATTTGAAAAACACAAATTTCAAAACTTATGGCATAACTAGGCAAATGGCATTTTCTAACAATCCTTGTTTAAATGGCATTTTCTCAAAATCATTGTATAAAAAGTATTTCTCACAATCATTGTTTAAATAGTATTTTCTCACAATCATCGTTTAAATGGCATTTTCTCACAATCATTGTTTAGATGTTCTATGTCTTATGTAAGAAGAAATAATTATTTTTTACATCATAGATTTTCAATTATTTAATAATCCTCATGCTTATTTCATACAAATTATCAATTTTAATCATGAAAACATAGATCCTTTAAAGACATCATTATATAAACTAACCCAACTGCCTTATTTGCATAGTGGGAACTAACTCTATCATATCCAGAACAGCATGATAAAGTCCTGTGTAGTTCAGGTTGGGAAACACTGAGAGTCTAACACTGTCCCTTTGTCTTGGACCATAACTTTCAGCTGGAATGTTGGGTACATCTTTCAGCACACTGTAAGAAAGGGTATCTGATCAAGATATATAAATTGTAAACAACAAGTTACATTTTTCTTCATGTTGTTTAAAATCAATGGTGGTCAAGTCATTTTCACAACTTATCTAAACATGGCACAGACCAGATCTTGATATTTGATATGGAAAAAAACCCGGAATGTATAGCATTTATCCCTTATATTCATATTACAAACAAGTAAATATTCTTTAGAGTTGGTGGCCTTCAGCTGTTTTCTGCTCTTTGGTTGGGTTGTTGTCTCTTTGACACATTCCCCATTTCCATTCTCAATTTTATTTAAAGTGTATGCTATTTCGACTATGATAAAAGTCCTCCCGCCTCTTACACTCTTACAGCTTGCTACTAGCTGGATGTGTTTAGTACAAAATGAAAACTGTAAAATATCCATACAATATTTTGTGGGTATTATTTTCCTTTATTTGTGGATATAAACCACAGAAAAACATGTCAATTAATAACACTGTTACTAAAAAACAACAAAAATAACAAGTTATATGATTTCACTTGCAGTTAACACATGTACTTTCTGGAATAACAACCATCCAGTATTCTTGCCTTGTGACCCAAAATTTGAAAAGATAAAAAAAAAGAAAACTTTTGAGAGCATATAAACCAAAAGGGGCTTATTTATTACACCAAAAAATTATCTTAGTACAACCTTAGTTTTAGCACAATTAATTTTATGAACTTGAATTTTACAAACAGAATGTATCATCTCAATCATGCTTTATTTTTATAATTAAGTACCTTTATTATTACTGACAGGTTTATATCTCATTAATGCAACGGTTCATTCCTCCTATTCCCACTTTTTATAAATCTGGTAAGAAAAGTTAAAATTTCATGTGGGAATAGAGGGAAAATTTTCGAAACAAAGGATTTATACTGTATAAACATTGTTTAATCAACTTTTGATTGACAAGTGTTTTTTTTGATAGGTAATAGGTTATTTTTGTGTGTGTATGAATTTTGTGTTTTTAATTAAAATAAATATGAAAGAAATGGAAACATATATAAGTAAACTATTTTTTTCTTTTATAACACAAATTCAACAGTTGATTCAAGCAAGCATTATAATATGAAACAAACAATACAAGTTAACAGCACTAAAACAAATCATACATTGTAGCACACACATTAGAAATTCACTGTATACAAGTCTATTAAAGTTTAATAATCTATTCAACGTGAAGAAGGTGGGAGGCTGCATCACCAAACTGTACAGCTATGACTTCCTAGTTGTGGCGTTTAATCTTAAGCTCTTCTAATCTGTTGTTGATTTCGACATACTTTCGTTTTTGGGCCACTCTCTTCCCACCGGCTGCATTTTGATCATGGTCAGGGCGTTGAAAGCTTTGTCATGTTTCATTAGATTTATACATGAGTTTAATGATGTTTGGATGTGGGTCCCGGACATATTTCTTCAGTTTGCTGTGCCATCCCTCTAGATGTTTAGTCCTCGGTCCCTGTGCTGTGTAATGGTCCCAAAGGTGACTATTCTGTTCGACCGAGTATGTTGTTACATAGTCTGTAAAGGACTTGTAGTTGATGTTAGTATCAATCTGATCTATGTCGGTTAGGGTATTAAACCACACATCTTCGACCTCAGCAGAAGCCTGCAGGGGCGGGTCCAGGTGAGGGCGAAATGGGCGTACGCCCCCCTTTTCCAAAAAAAAAAAAATAGCTATCGTTATCTGTTAATATTGTATTGAATATGGCAATTTATCATATTCATTAATTATTTTATGTTTTGTAGCAAAAAAAAGGTCCAAAAAATTTTTCGACTCGCTCCGCTCGGCAACATATTTTATTCTACACCCCCCTCTTTCAAATATCCTAGAAACGCCCCTGGAAGGTACATGTGAAAGGATAGCGGCACGGCGTAATAGTTGGTGAATGTTGTTGTCTTTCTTGTATGGAACCTTAATCCCTGTTTCTTGTGCTTTTCTTTAGATGCATTGTGTGTAGTGGAAAAAACTTTTGTGTTGATGCCAGGAAATACAGAATATGCTGCATTTCTGATGGCGACTTCATAGTCCAGGAAGATAGTGGTAGGCTGAAATCACCATATTATCATATTTGCAGCTGCTAAGTGTGTTAGATTATTTTGAGTACTGAAGATTAACATACGCCCAACTGTGTTGTCGTCTGTTAGCAGGAATAGGTCACCTTTGGTAGTACATGCCCAAATACCATCTATGCCGAATTCATCAACAGATTTTGGTAAAACTATTAGGTTCTTCTTGCGTTTGTTGTACATGGAAATCTTGCAAGATGGGAAAGTTTGTTATAAAATTATCTATCATCAATTTATTTCGGATGACTATTTTTTAAATTTACAAATTCAATGATTATTTAATCTTACTTCTATTTATCTGACTTATTCTTTGTTCTTAAGTATTACAAATAAAAAGTGTATTACATTATTATTTTGTTTTAAATAATATTATACTTAAACAGTGTAAGAAATATGTTTTCTTTTAAAAAATACAGGTAAATCTTAGGTGAATTTTTAATTAACCTTGATTGTTATAAAAACAAATTATTTATCAAAACATCTATTGTTATTTGCATGTGGGAATAGAAAGAATAGTGATTTTTAAAAAGTGGGAATAGGAGGAAGACACCAATGCAACTAACTACATAAGTTTTGTATTATTCAATTATATAATTAAGGGTCTGCAGAAAGGAATTACTTGTATGGCAAGAATTTGCTCATATTAAACTAGTAAACTGACATGTCAGCAAGGGTCCCTCTTGCACATTTTTATGTGAGGCAAAGAGACTGATGCATACAAAGCAAATGATCATAAGCAGTCAATTTCCATAAATGTTGACACTAGCAATTAATTCAGGATGTGCTCCTGATTAATATATGTTTATTAAAATCACAGCGCTATGTATTTTGGTGTGCATTTTCATAAATTGTGGTCAACCATTTATTTAGTCACAGAGAATAATTTTGTAATAGCAAATGATACCTTTTTCATTTAAATCCTAGCAAAAAATTTGATTCTCAGAATTTTATCATTTGATTACAAAAACTAAGTTTTAAACACAATTTTAACTTGAGGAAACAATTGGGAATGCATATTATGCCTATATTACATGTATATCATTTTTTTATGACATCCTTCCACAAGATGCTTCTCAAAATTTGTAATTTTTTAACAAAAAGTAAGTTTTTACCTTCTTTTGTCAATTACTTTGAAATAACTTAATATATCAATATATCAGTTTTTGTTAAAATCCTATTATAAGAAGAAGTTTCTCAAAATTTGTGATTTTTTAACAAAAACAAAGTTTTTTCCAAAATTAATGAGCCCCCATTTCACCAAAATATAGTATGCATATCTACATATTATGCACAGCAGCTGTGCACAATTTCATTGACCTCCTACCTAAACTTCTGGAGTTTTTGTGTTTACAAACGATGTTTCTTAAAATTTATGATTTTTAACAAAAACGAAGTTTTTCACAAAATTAATGAGCCTAATTTTATCAAAATATAATATGCACAACAACTGTGCAATATTTCATTGGCCTCCTAGGTATACTTTTGAAGTTTTTACATTTACAAAAAATTGTTGACGAAAAGACGGACAAAGTGAAAACTATAGGGATCCCGCATCCTAGATGCAGGGCTCTAACTCAATGCAGGAGCACAAACTATATTAAATAAAGGGCCATGGCTGGTTATAGGATCATGTCAAAAGAATTTAATGCTAATAGGCTTTACTTCATGAGAGTGCAAAATCATTGTAAAAACTTTGCATTATGTATACACAGTAACAACAGTCATACATGTACATGTGTACTAGAGTCATCTTATTGTGTGACAATTTAATCCAAAGTCGGGAAGAGTGCTCAATCACTCATGGAAAGATTGGAAAAGTAGTTGGAATAATTTTAAACTATATTTAGGTATGATGTGAACAAAAAAGAACATTAATATATTGGCACTCATACCACATCTTCTTATATCTATTAATATAGCACTATTGCTGACAATTGCATTAACTGCAGGTCTTTAGAAGGATAAGCACTTTTTCAGTAGATAAAATGAGCTAAATGTGAATCAATGATAGCAGATCCCTTAATTTGCACAACAATTTCATTTAAATTGCAATTTCATATCTTAACCAAATAATGTTCCCTATTACATTTCCACAGGTTACGTTTTATCTTTAGAAACTGAAAAAAGTTCAAAATAAAGATTTTTCTAATAAAGTTCATCAATTATCCTTGTAGAACATGGGACCAACAGATAAGATAGACTTGAAACTAAGATCTTTATTATCTCCAAAAATTAATATAAAAAGGTTGTTTTGGGGGCATTTTGTAAGTTGAAACATATGTATATCATTTTTCGACTAAGAATTGCTTATTGATTTTGAAAACAATTATCATGATAATATGACACTGAAGATTAAAATTTGTAGAGTGTATATCAATTCAATTTATAATTGAATGTTTACCGATAAAAGGCATTGAAAATGTACTTTTTCAACATAAACAAATTCTTAATTGCTAAAATACATTTCCTTTTATTCAACACTTGAAAAGCTTTTTTTATATGTAGATTTAATATTTTGTCTTTTCTTTTGAAAAAAAAAAGATCTTGTTAATTCTTTATCATTTATCTTTCAGACATAATTTATAGAATCACTTTATGTAATGCAAATCAAAAGTAATAGACAATGAATAAATCTATCATTTCTATATATCAAACATCTAATAAATATATTTGTGTATTCATAAATGAGGTCAAGTATTTGTGTATTGTATAATGAAAGGTCTGTTTAATTATGTAAGACTGAGGTTGATTAGCAATTTGGTCAATATGATTGGCATTTAAGGAGGTGTGACATTGTAATTAGGGTCCCACCTTGTCTCTGATTGTTTGGTGATCATGACAGTTGTCAATAATACCGGTATTGTATCATTACTCTTACCTAATTGAAATGACAAAATAGCCTGCAAATTGACAAAAATTAAAGACATACATACTTGAATTATAACCCAAATTTTTCACAGTTCATATGTGTATATGTACACAGACATGAGAAATATAGGGAACTATATTTCAGTGTGTAAACATTTTGTAGATTTAGTAGCTAACCTGTGGTACTTTTTGTTTGGGAGGCAGGTGCCTTAGGAAAGACTTGGAATAATCATTCCAATCTTTCCAAAAATCACTTACCTTAGCAATGTCTGTGAGAAATATTTCAGTGTATTTTCAATTTCATTTCCAGCTGGTAATGGCTGTACATTATTTATCAAACGAGATCTGTAATCTTTCAAGTTTCTTATTTTGGATGTAACTACAACAATAAATTTTAAATTTGCAATCCAAGAGCTGTATTCTGTCATACATGTATGTGATTTAAACTAGTTCTATTCTCCCTTTTTTTAATCTCAATTACTGGCAAAAACAGACAAAACTTTTTCTATTTTCTGTTATTATTTTCTTATTGACATAAACAGACTCAAAATTGATCGCCCTGAAGATCATAAAAAACATTTATTAAAATCAAATATGTCAATAAAGGTTTTGATTTTGTAAATATTGCCGGTATTTTTAATGATCATTCCATTAAAGAACAAATTCCTGGCTATTTTGATAATACTGAGCTCCCTCTTATTTGTTATGTTTACAAAAAATCTACCTGGAAATATGTGTTTAATTATATCGAAGTGTGTAAAGATGTTAATATCAGTGACAATACACCTACATCATGAAATTGCATTAATTCAGAATACATTTATGGCCCCAGTTCCCATGTTATAACAGGAGACCTTAACATTGTCCATGACCGAGTGTTAAAACCATTCCTCAGTAAAAGACCTAAATATCGCCCCGTGTCAATTATTAATTGGAATGAGTGTCGTAACATCATCCACGACTCACTCTGTACTTACTGCACGAAATGGATAAAACGAGAAAAAGCTGACAAGAAATCCTTAGATTCTTTTTTTAATTCAGTAATGAACATAGTTGATATTCGTATTAAACATTTTAAAGAACATTTTACTCCTAACAACAACCATAATAGCCCTATTTCTCGTATCAAACATAAGCTAAAAGAACTCGCCAAGGAATTTGTTTTTGTCCTGGCTGATAAGGCTGCCAATAATATCATTATTGTTTGACGTAAATTTTACATTGAGGTTCTGCAAAAGGAAATAACGAATTCACCAACATTCCAACTGACTCCATTTTCTGAAAATGACATTTGTAACAAACATAAACTTTTAGCTACCTCTTTACAAGCAGAACCAAATACAATGAAAGTTCCAACTATGTACTGGCTTCCGAAGCTGCACATAACACCTTACAAATATAGATTTATTTCGTCTTCAAGCCATTGTTCCACTACTAAACTGTCTATTCTACGTATTAGTACACTTGGTACAATCAAAAACCTGGTAATAAATTGTTCAAATAAGGCCTTTGAAAATAGTGGAATTTATTACTTTTGGAGTGTCAAAAATTCTTTGGAAGTACTTGATAAATTGCATGCTTATATTGGTGATTTCGAATCTGTTTAAAGTTTTGATTTTTCTACCCTATATACCACTTTGCCTCATAATCTCATTTAGAAAAAATTCACACACCTAATTAAATGGGCATTTAAAAAGTCAGAATGCGAATATATATGTTCAAACTCTTTTATGTCATTTTTTAGTAACAACAAACAAAAGAACTATGTCAATTGGACCTGCTTTGATACGATAACTGCACTTGAATTTTTACTAGATAACATTTTTGTTCGCTATGGAGATTCCGTATATTGTCAAGTTATCGGAATTCCAATGGGGACTAACTGTGCACCACTTATTGCGGACCTGTTTCTGTATTGTTATGAGTTACTATTTATGACTAAAATCAGCAAAGACCCATCGAAACAACATCCGATACAAAAATTTAATAACACTTTTAGATATTTGGATGATATATTGGCTCTCAATAATGACAACTTCAGTATGTACACTAAAGAGATTTATCCTCCTGAACTGACTTTAAATATAGGTAATACTAACAACGAACACTGCCCTTTCCTGGATCTTGATATCTATATCTTTAACGGGAAGCTTAATACCAAAATTTACGATAAAAGAGATGATTTTTCATTTCCTATTGTTAATTATCCCTTTTCAGATGGTGAAGTTCCCTTGTCACCATCTTATGGTGAAGTTCCCTTGTCACCATCTTATGGTGTTTATATTTCTCAACTTGTTCGATTCGCTCATGTATTTAACACCAGAGTTTTCGATATCACAAACTAGTCAAAACATTTACTAAATTTTATCATCGGTACACATGGTACAAGGACATCATTCGTAAATATAAATCAACATGCAGACATCTTATAAGTTCAGGTATTTCACATCCAATCTTTTATGGTAATTTCTATACAAAGCACAAAAATGTAGTCATTCACCTCAAAAGCTAACCAAACCTTTAAACAGACTTATTCAGAAGGGATATAGTTACGATACTGTTGTCAGGTCATTAAAGATGGCATATTTTGGAATTAATATTAATTCAGTCATAGGGTCTTTGCATCGGAAATAAACACATTTATTCTAAAACCAGTTGTTGGCATGATATGGGTTATGTTCTTCTCATATATTTTATGATGGTATGATACTAAACCCCTAACGGGAGGGATTGTGCTTGATTTTCATATGATGAAGACATAATCTTTCAATCAGTTTAATTGGAGCTGGCATGTCAGTAACTGCTAGTAGTCCTTTGTTAATTTATGTATCATTGTCATTTTGCTTAGTTTCTTCTGTTACCTATTCTGACATCGGACTCGGACTTCTTTTAAACAGAGTTTTACTGTGCGTATTGCTGTGTGTTTGTTTATTCTACATTGGCTAGAGGTATAGGGGGAGGGTTGAGATCTCACAAAACATGTTAAACCCGCTGCATTTTTTGCGCTCTCCCAAGTCAGGAGCCTCTGGCCTTTGTTAGTCTTGTATGTTTTTTTATTTAATTTTAGTTCATTTATATGTTTCGGAGTTTAGTGTGATGTCCATTTTCACTGAACTAGTACACATTTTTGTTTAGGGGCCAGCTGAAGCCCGCCTACGGGTATGGGATTTTCTCGCTGTGTTGAAGACCCATTGGTGGCCTTGGGCTGTTTTCTGCTCTTTGGTTGGGTTGTTGTCTCCTTGACACATTCCCCATTTCCATTCTCAATTTTACAGTATAAGTATTCAATTGAAATTGTATTTACACAATCATTCAAACTTTATTTTGCATTCTACTAACTTGACCTTTTTGCATTTAGCTTGTTAGAATGGTGTGTGTGTCTTATGGTGAGAATAGAACAGGGTAGCAATTAAAATATAAGGTACATTCTGAAATAATATTCATTTATTTAAAATAAATTTTGTAAATCTATTCAAACAATCTCTGGGGGAATAATAAGTGGTTTTCATAGTTCTAACTTTGTAAAGACACCTTTGATTGAAAGTGTGGTGGGTGTACATAGTTAATGTACACTCATTTCATTTCCCTTTTTTTCTGTACCTTTTGTTATTAAACTAGTTGAAAAAGAAAATTTGGAGGGTTGGTCATCTTTGTTTATACATTTTTAGCTTTGTTTTGTTGTTTGAGGAATTTAGTTTTTATGACAGAATTTTTGGTAGGATCTTTATGCTCTACCACAGTTAGCTATTTCTATGAATTCATTTACAGTTTTTGAATTTTCTAAACTCAGATTTAGACTTCTATGGTATATCCAATTGTCTATTATTGACATCTATTTTTTTGGGGTAATTGCGATTTTCGCGTACTAATATCTTATTAGTCTGTTTTGATAAAGGTACAGGCATCTTTTCTTTTAATTCTTAAATTGTTTTAATTTTAAAACTAATTGACAAATGAATCATAGTGCTCAGATTTGCATTTATCTTTTTTGTCTTGTTCTCCTTATATGCATGTACATGTACATTTCTCTGAGTTGATTGAGGATTTCTGAGAAAGTGGCCGGTTCATTGTAAGGGTTCAAAAAGCCATATCATTTCCATTTTTCTTGGCTTTTGCCAAATAGGTCAAGCTTAGGCTAAATGTTTTTATCACATTTCCATTTAAATATATGATCTTAAATTAGGGAAAATTTTTTGTGAACTTCTCGTTTAATTTTGTGCTTTGACTCTTTGTTGTAAAATAGGGTTTTATTGATTGGTGTGTGTATTTATGTTTATATTGTGCTTAATCTTTATTGTTCATAATACACCTTATCGCTATTTGTCCGCCATTACTGGACATCACAAAGGTTCCCGTAAAATTTTGACGTCATAATGCATTAATGGAATATGTCTGACACCACAAAGAAAAGTGATTTTTGTATGACGTAAATAGTTCAAGTGGCACAGATTCTCAGGTCAAGAGGTGCAGATTCCCAAATAGCAATAAGGTGTATTGGTATATAAGCAAAGAGAACTTTAATTGAACGATTGGTGTTTGACACCTTTTTCAGCATCGTTGGCTATTTCCCCGGAGGTCAATTTTTATTGGTTGAGGAAGCCAGAGTGTCCGGAGAGAACCTCTGACCTTTGGTAGGAAAAATGACAATCCTAGTTAATTTAGATTAGACATGTTAGAATATGGGCATTTTTCAAAAGAGATCAGATTTGAACCTGCTCGGAACAGACTTTCTCTGAAGTACTGTACTGTTCTTTTTAGAAATAAAAGTATCTGGCTAGTATAACTTGTATTGTAATTTGGGACTTATTTTGCATCCAACACTTGTAGGGATCTTTGTTAACCAAGTTCGGTTACATGTGGGTCGATTTTGGTTAAACCTGAAAAAAGCAATTATTTTCATAAAATTTTATTTGCATCATTAATTTCAAACAGCTATGACACTCTTTTATGGTAATAAACTTACAAGTTGCTGCTCTGGTAGTCATGTTGTTGAGTTTTTATTAATATAATGCCTTGCATACATTTAATCTCGGCATCTTTAGAAACAAAAGGGTAAAATCCGAGTAAACCGAATGGAAATGTTGCGGATGCAGAGCGGTAACAGACAAAAAAATGTACGAAAATTGTTCCACTTTAGTAACTTAGCACTAATTTTCTAGAATCTGAAATATAAATTTATGCACTTTTTTTAATAAAAAGGTTGTTTCGTTTTGTATAAACATTTAAATATTAAACTTGAGGTTTATTCTTGCAAATTTATTCCAACATTTTTTCCAGAACAAAATAATCTGTAAGAAGTGTTCACAACACCGCTTAGGTTCTCGGGTAACTACGCGAGACTTCCTTGTTGACAAGCAAGCACTCTTTCCAAGATGGCTAGATCAGACTGGGTTTATGATGAACTTCTTACATTTCTTGGCAATCCATTATTTCAGGTTCCAGTTTTAACCTTCATGGAAGCAAATTGCATAAGTATGTATTTTGTCAGACAGTCACAGCACAGTAAGCTCGACACAATTCTTGTAGGAATCACTCCCTCACTCGATATCAGCCCACAACTCCAGTAATTATGTTCTTTCGTTCATTTGGCTGACCTTACGTTAAATCTACGGATTATCAAGACGTACGTAATACCAGCAAAGAGACAGCTAAATGATATATCCATAAATATCAAAGGACAAAGATTCCTGTTCAGGAAACAAGATAATTCAGCAATGGAGCCAGTTCGGCCTTGGTCGTTTCGGCGAATTATAGTTATCTCATACCATTGTAAACTCATACCAATGTCAACTCGTACCACTAAAAAAAAACTCGTACCAATGCAAACTCGTACCACGGCTAACTCGTACCACAGAGAAAACCGTGGCAGATTGGCTTTGTTGTCTCTCTTGAATAGACTCTTTTTTAAACTTTTACTGACAACTATTTGATTTAATTTTTAATCATTCCAAATCGGTAACATTGAATAGATTTGTGTATTTTTCTATTGTTTCTAAAAGGAATTTTATTTAATGAAAGAATTTATTAATTGTGTTTTAAAGGTTTAAAATTGTTTATGACCAACAGTTAGAAAGTATGAAATAATATATGTTTATATAATATTCAGCACTTTGTAGCAGAATATGACCATGCTTTTATTTGATATAAATAATAGGTCATTATCATTCTTCTAATTTATAAATATCACCTGTAGTGGAAGATATGCATAGGTCTTTTAGGAAAAGTAGCCAATATATGAAATGGCACCTGAGATTACTCTCGGTTTTAAGTGGGGTTTGTGTTGCTTAGTCTTTCGTTTTCTATGTTGTGTCTTGTGTACTATTATTTGCCTGTTTGTCTTTTTTATGAGTTTGACTGTCCCTCTGGTATCTTTCGCCCCTCTTTTTTAATGATGTGTCTAATGGTATTGTGAATGACCAGTAGGCGTAATGGTAGTGTTGGCAGAATAACAAAGAATATGTTTCATTTTGATGCTTTATTTACCACAATTTCAAGAACATTCATGTATAAAAATTAACAAAACATCAAATATTACTATTTTTTTCTCTCAAGAAATACACCTTATGTTTTATTCACATATATATCATATATTATTTCACATATATATCATATATTATTTTGTCTAAGTTTTCATTAAATTCTGGTATAAAATTCAAAGATATTTTAATTTTTTGTATAAAGCTTAAAAAAAATAATCATAAAACATTCGTATTTATGTCTAAGTTTTTATTAAAATCTAGTATACAATTCAAGTAATTCAACTTTTTTTGTTAAGTTTACCCCCAAAAAAATCATAAAACATTCGTATTTTTGAATATATTTTTAATGGTACGAGTTTGCAGTGGTACGAGTTCTGATTGGTACGACTTCCCAGTGGTACGAGTTTACGTTGGTACGAGTTTACGTGGTACGAGTTTACAATGGTACGAGTTAACTTGCTTCCGTTTCGGCCATGTACATGTACCACTTCAGCTATGTATTAAAAGTGGTTTCGCCCTCAGACTACCTGCGTTATAGTAGTCTCAGTTTCTACAATATTTTTATTCAATATTAAAAGAGATTTTGTTGTACATTGTATATAGTTTCATTTGGGTGCGAGACAACTCTGACCGTCTATGAAGTCAACTGGGACCATCAGTAAGTAAACTCAGAACCGTCTGTAAATTCAACAAAGACCGTCTATAATGCCAACTCAGACAAAGTATAAAAATAAGAGTTTTGACTGTATAAATGTTTTAAAGAAAAAGATTGTGTCTCTTTTTTTGACGCCCATTTTGAGTATACAAGTCAAATGACAAAAAAGACAACTCAGACTGTCTTTGGACAGACGTATATATAGACAATTCAAAATCACAACTTTTGGACCAGGGACAATTTGTATTGACATATTTATTGTTGAAGATTGAATGACGCTTTTTTATAACATTTTATATAATATAATATATGTTTATACATTGTTAGTATCATAGACCGTCCGATTTGACTTTAAAATAACAAATTCAACATAGACTTTTTTGGCTTAAATACAGTTTTATTATAATTTGATAAAGAAAAGTAAAAATTTGAAATCACATTAAACAAATTTTTTTATTGCTATCACATCGTCGACGTCCGAAGACATTTGGTTTCTGGACAATAACTTTAGTTTAAGTGTTATGGTTCTCTATGAAATTTAAACAAAAGGTTCAATACCACAAAAGGAAGGTTGGGATTGTAATTGGGGGTGATGGTCCCAACCGTTTAGGAATTAGGGGCCAAAAAGGGGTCCTAAACAAGCATTTTTCTAGTTTCAAAACAATAACTTGTGTAAAAGTAGTATTTTGGTTGCTCTGAAATTGTACCACAAAAAAAAAGTTGGGGGGGGGGGGGGGGGGCATTTTTTTCTTCAAGATTTAAGAAAATTTAAAATATTTTTTTTGGAGGGGGGTAAAAAAAAAATCTGCGGGGGGGGGGGGGGGATGTCATTTTTGTTTCCCTTAAGATTTAAGTAATTGTCAATTTTCCAAAGAAAAATTGGGGGTCACAATTTATTTTGCTAATTCTTTGTATACAGTCTGAAAACAGATTTACTACGTATTGCGCAACAGCACAGTGTATTGCACTACAGCAAGAAATCTTCAATTGAATATAAATTCAAATCATATAACCAATTTCAAGTTCTTGGACTACATTTATTCTGTGTCAGAAACCTATAATGTGTCAAATATTTAATTACAATCCAAATTCAGACCTGTATCAAGCTTGAATACTGTGTCCATTTTTCCCCCAACTGTTCAGGGTTGACCTCTGCGGTTGTATCCAGCTGCGCTTGGCGAAGCAGTTTATTTTTTTTATTATGTTTTGCAAATTCAGCAACATGTAAATGATATTGCCATGTAAAATATAACATCTAATAATTTTAAAGCATTTATATAGTTCAAATCCTCTTTTAATACTTTGTCTGAGTTTCTTTATAGACAGTCCGAGGTTAACTTAATAGACGATCCAAGTTCACTTTATAGAAGGTCCGAGTTGACTTATTAGTCGGTCCGATTTGACTCAGTCCTAGTTGTTTCCAGCCAGAGTTGTCCAGCATTCTTTCATTTATATACCTTTTATAACTTTAAAAAATTATTTTATTACACTTTTAGTTATGATTTTTTATTTTTTTTAAAACAAACATAGTGTGTTCATCTGTTTACTAAAATAGTCCTCTTTGTAAGTAGTATTTAGAAATTAATTAGTTTATTGTATATAACACATATCATTATTTTTAATAATTGCTGTGATCATAAGTACACGCTACCATGCGACTGGGGCAACAAAGTCGCTTTCCCGTCCGTCACTTCGCTTTGCCCGACCGTCAAAAGCTAAATCTAGTCGCCCTGTTGTTCACAATACTCGCTTTCAGTCGCTTTCGTCATCGACAATATTCAATTTTTACCAAGTCGATGAAACAGCAATTTTTCATTTAAAAGTAAAGAAAATCAAAGACATAAGCAATTAATTTTCTTCAGAAAAGAGGTTAAACATGTTAAAGCATTGATTTTAAAGTTGGTTGCATGTTATTTCATAAAGACAATTTTTTATCACTTCCGGTACTTGTTACTTGAGAGTGTACATCAAATCATTCTAACTTTCGGCAAAATAAGTTTGTTTCTTCATTAGAACGTGATGAAATTTGACTGAAGTAAATTTGTTATCCATGTATTGCATTAAAAACGTCATATTCCTTTCCTAATAGCGTGTCAAACATCGTTTATTTTTGTAAATTTTCTTCGTCCGCCATTGAAATATTGTACGAACTACTGATCGAAGTCGGAACCAGACCAGCTATGACCGAAATCAGGATTCTCACAATAATGACTACGGATGCATGAATGGCACAGCTGACAGAAGAATATTGATCCCAAAAGGAAAAATTAAGCATTCCACGCGCATTAATATACTTTTGGTTAGATCTACTGGATAAATATATTTCAATGTATATGCATTGTTTCAATTTATTAATTAATTAAAATTGCTCAACTCTGGGACTATTATACTATGTCCATTAGCTTAACTTATACAACTTTTTAATGAGAAACACTGAATTTCATTAACATGATAACAGAGTACATTTTTAATTGAATTTTGATTGATATAAGAACTTTCTTTTCATTTTTGATATAAAAAAAAAATCTTTTTTATTGTTGCTAGATATTTACTAGTAATTGTTTTTTTCTGACAAGAGGACTAATATGATTGTGCAACTAGATATGATAAAATTAAACAACTTTGAACTTGAACTGTTACTTTTATTGTAAACCCAGGGACAAATTGAACAATATAAAAAAAAAAAAAAAATACATATGGCCCTTTGTATTGTAGTAAAAACCAAACATTGTAGCGCCCCCGAGCAAACGAGCACGTCTCATTCAAATCTCACCACTTCTCCCTCTCAGTTTCAAATAGAGAAGTCACTTCTCCCTATGATTTTGAAGTAGTGTGAGCCCTGACCTGGGTGACAATGTTTTATTTGGTTATGTTTCAGGGTATTTCAGATTTTATGAAATTTTGTTTAAAGGCACTTTGAATTTGTTGAACTGCATCTGAAGATAAAAAAAGTGAAATATGAACAATTCATATTTTTCAGATATATATTAAAATAAAAGTTGAAAAGGAGGTGTTATATAGTCTAGATAAAAAGCATCGATAAAATATATTTCATTGAATTTCAGTTTCACGAAATTACGTCCACGGAATTCCACAGATGCATGTACGTTTAAAATGCATTTTTTTTGTTGCTTTTAACCCTAATCAACATTCTATCAATTTTAAGGTTCTATTTAAAAAAATGTTATTGTATCTTTGACATTTTCCTTACACTGCATCATATTTATCTTTATAAGAAAGTATAATCATGATAATCATATATGAAGAAATATTTACTTACTCAGTCAATAAATGTAGCTCTTATTTCATTATTCAAAACATTGATAGACACAGACATTAAGAAAAAATGTACATGTATAATGGACCGAAACGACCAAGATACATGTATTTGATAAGCAGTTGTATTAGCATTGGCACATCTCATTTCCAGGAAGATCATTTGGCCCTGCCCCTCAGTCATGGTTTATTGACTTTGAAAGTTTTGCTTTATTTACATGTTTAAGTTTGTGATTAGGTCAGTTTAAAGGAAGTCTGTTAGTACTTGGTAGTCAATAATTTGTTGGTATGCTTTGTATAAGAATTACACATTTCTTTTAGATTATTCAGTCCACCCCATCAGTCTTCTTGTCTTTTGACATGTAGTTTACATGTTACTTAGGTCAGTTTAAGATGAACCATTTATGTTTAGTCAATGATATTCAGTATGCAGTTGTATAAGTATTTGTGCATCTCATTTCCATGGATATTATATGGCCCTATCCCCTTAGTCATGGTTCATTGACTTTGAAACTTTTGCATGTTTAAAGTATTGCCATTTTTATTTTAACCTTTGCATTATACTATCAAAATTACATACAGGTGGGACCTATCTCTGTTTTTATGCGCCCGTTTACGGGATGTATTATGGTATACCGTTGTCTGTCCGTCCGTCGTCCACATGTCGGACATTAACTCAAAAACGCTTTAACCAATTTGCATAAAACTTTAGTGAATTGCTTATATCTATTGACGTGAGCTCCCTTTCGTTTTTTATAAATTTTAGATTTTATGTTTCCGAGTTATGGGGTTTTATTCATTAAAAAAAGGGGGATTTTCCAGTTTTCGGACAATAACTCAAGAATGCTTTCACCAACTTGCAAGAAATTGTGGTGAATTGTTTATATCTATTGACATTAGCTCCCTTTCGATTTTTACGTATTTAAGATTTTACGTTTCCGAGTAACAGGGTTTTATTCATAAAAAAAAGGGGGATTTTCCAGTTTTCGGACAAAAAACCAAAAATGCTTTCAGCAGCTCTTATGAAATTTTGGTGAATTGTTTATATCTATTGATGTAAGCTCCATTTAGAATTTTATAAATTTTTCATTTATCATTTCTGAGTTATGGGGTTTTATTCATTAAAAAAGGGGGGATTTTCCAGTTTTCTGATAATAACTTCAGCAGTTCTTATGAAACTTTAGTGAATTGTTTATATCTATTGATGTAAGCTCCTATTAGAATTTTATAAATTTTTCCTTTATCATTTCTGAGTTATGGTGTTTTATTCATTAAAAAAGGGGGGATTTTCCAGTTTTCGGACAATAACTCAAAAATGCTGTCAGCAATTCTCATGAAACTTTTTACATTTTCATAAATTTCTAATATGACATTGAGAATTAATTGAACTTTATTTGTTTATAGTCTGACAACAGATTTACTAAGTATTGCGCAACAGAACAGTGTATTGCACAACAGCAAGAAATCTTTAATTGAATATAAATTCGATTCATATAACCAATTTCAAATTCTTTGACTGCATTTATTCAGAAACCTATAATCTGTCAAATATTTAATTACAATCCAATTTCAGACCTGTATCAAGCTTGAATATTGTGTCCATTTTTGCCCCAACTGTTCAGGGTTGGACCTCTGCGGGCGTATCCAGCTGCACTCAGCGAAGCAGTTTATTTCCATATATTTTCATAGTTGTAATTTAAAGACAATAATTTAACAGTAAATATATACATTTGTACCATTTGTAAATCAAAATCACTGTTAAAGTTGTACCTTGTTTCATTTATTTAAAACTTCAGTTATTAAGCAATATACAGTTACATTCTGTACTGTAAAACTTTTGAGAGATATTCTAACATGTTGATTTTAATATTTATAAAAATTCTTTGATGAGCAAATGAATACATAAACATAATTAATTCCCCAAATTTGATAGCTAGGTTTTCCAAAGTGAAGCAAGTGTTTGATCTTCCATTTACTGCTTTATGCAGATCTAAAATTTGATTCAATTTGGAAAAAACCTATCAAATTTTTGGAATCCATATGGCATAGGGCATAACAAAATTTTCGCCCCTTTTCTGCTCTGTTGTATATATTCCATTAGCCCCTCTCTTTTAAAAAATCTGGATCCTTCACTGTTTAAAACTTTTGGAATGTATATTTATTTATGAACACCTGAATTATCGAAGGAATAGTGTGAAATCTGACTTGCTAATTTGAAAATTTACAGATATAACTAGTAACACATTTGACTTCTAATATCTTGTTTTACATTGATACCATGAATTTTTACTGACAATTTCAGAATGAAAATGTCCAACTTGCCAAGAAAGCTATTTTCAGTTAATGAAACAATGATACGTAAAACATACTAAATAAATCGAAAATATCTCAAACAGATATAAAATGTCAGTATTGATTGGTGCTTTTATGTTTTCCCCTGACATAAAATGCAAATATAAAAAGTTTATTACATAATAATAGATCAAGATACAATAGATTTTATATTAATAGAATTGAATTAATAATCCAGCAAAAATCAGTAATGAATCTAATCAGGTAATTCTGCTGCACCAATATATGTATTGATTTTAGAGACAAATAATTATAATAACTTCAGTATTTACTCTGTACACAAAATCATATTTATATTTATAAGTCATGAATGATTATATATGCCTACACAAAATCTGTAAGCTTAAGAATATATTAATAGTGCAGATACATTGAAAATGATTTATCTGATTTTGTGTACTATAAGCAAATGTTTACTCCCATTGAAAAGCTGCATAGTTTCAGTAATCATGGGTAGGGCTCAAATAAATGTTACCTAATTATATGTGTTGACACTTAACAAGTAGCTCGTTTCTTTTTCTAGTTTTTGACCCAAGTATAGAAGACTGTAAGGAGTATAGGGAACAGCATACATCATATCATGATTTGGTAAGATTTATATGGGTACAATGAAACCTGTTTATACAATCTGAAGCTCTGGCATTTCTTCAGATCAACATTTGGTTGAAACTTTTCTTTGTAAACATGGTAAATATAAGTAAATGAAAATGATATTTACAGTGTCTGAAAGGATAGTGCTGGAAAGACCAGGAAAAATAATCAATATTTGTATTGTTCAAGGGCTACATTAAAGAGAAGAATTGGGAAATAACTTTTTTTTTAAACAACTGGAGGTGTTGTATAGTACAGCCAGTAAAAATTGGCTGTGCTTTCAAATAGATAATGAAATTATAAGACGTCTTGCAGTTTTCAATAAGACGTCTACCCATAAAGCATTGACAAGAGGTGAACATAAATCAGTGAAATTTGGGTCTGCAACAATGAGGAATGGCCCCCCGCCCCCCAAAAAAAAAAATTAAACAAAAAAAGTTTAATAAATAAAAATAATTTAAACTAGAAAAAAAAGGATATACATCTGAATATAAGAATGTTTCTACATGAAAAATACATGTTCCAGTCTACAACTGTCATTTGTGTTTTTATAAAATGTGTGCAGTATCATGTGTTTACTAAAAGATATATACATGTAAATGGGATGAATTGATTATGATACATGCACTTTAAGGTTTTTTCTGTTTGAGAGAAATTAAGAAAATTTCTGTTTGTTTTTCAGATCAACACATTATTAGATGGCTTTAGGAAGGATACCAAACTGTCACATGAAGATATCATCAATGCATTTAAAGAAATGAATGCCAAAGATGATCTTAAAGAAATATTTCAGGTGCTTTATGTTTTGTTTATTGGTAATATTTATTGTTTTATTATAAGCTTTCTCAAAGTTGGGCCTGGTGAGCTATTCCCATCACTTGGGGTCTTTTGACTGTTAAATAAGCGGAATAAGATCTCTGCCCTAAGTCAATATTGTCCAAATACTCCTTAAAATTAGTTATTGACTTATTTCATAGATCTTATTTGTACATATTGTTCTGCTGATAATTTTTGGTGGAAGAAAGACTTTCAGGTCTTCTGAAATCCAATACTGCTGAATGTAGAATGTTTCCAGGAGTGTTTACATATCCTTTTCTGTGTTTTACAATTTTATAATTTCTATACCTCATCAAGACACTGATTTGAAGACATGATCGGTAACAAGTTTGTAAAATACCGTCTGCATCATTTTATGAAACAAAGACAGAGAAACAAATGTATACTTAACTGAATTCGTGCTTGTATAGGTTTTTTTACTCCAAAATTAAAATTGCCAGGCAGGGGTGCGGATTATAGAGTACGATGATCAAGAAATAAGAGAAAAACTCAATTTCCTGAGGTTGTTAAGGTTCAGCCATGTTTGTTATTGAAATTGTAGAGTGCGCCCTTATTATTTTCAAAACTAACAATTTACCTAATCCATATTGATTTGCAATTTTAATTCAAAATCCAATATATAATCAGATAAATTATATCAAAATTAAGTGCTTCAATACAAATTTCTTGTTTCTTTTCATAGCATTGCATAACATAAACTGGGATCCGCTTGTATTAAACGGAATGAAAAAAGTGTATAAGTCAACTGGAAACCAGCTTTTGCATAAAGATGTATAAACTACAAAATGTAATTGTTTATTCATCCGTTTTGGTGTTACATCCTGATCATGTGTTTTGTTTTAGCTAAGATCCTTCAAACATTAAATATAATGTCATGGATATATTTAATAATATTTTACTAAAGGAATAAATTGTTTTACTTTCAAAGTCGTATTCTAGTGATATCTATTAAGTATTGATTTTCCTCACTTTCGCACTATATTTATTTTCAATTTATATCATGCTAATCATACTTCTGCTAAGATTAAACACAACTTTCCCAATTGTTTATTTGTGATTCTGACTTGTTTTAACACTCATGATGTGTTCTACAAGCATTTTCAACTTCTACTTGATGATGGAAAACAGACTTTTCCATGAAAATACCGCAAACGATCACACACGATTTGAAATTACCAGAGTTTCATAAGTAGTTTTCAACTAGTTACAAAAAGTTTTTTTCCCCGAATTCTCGTGGCGAAAAGGGAGGTGCAGCCTTTACTTTTTATACTTTCTAGAAAGGAGCATATGAATTTTATTTATAGAAGCGGAATGTTATCAGTCCTAGGGAACCAGCAATTACCTTTAGGGATCAACAGTCCATGCTTAGCTCTCATGATACAGTAGGACCTGGGACATACTCAGTCCAGATAATTATATGAGAAAAGTTTGAAATGTCTGACATATGTTGTTACAATGTCAGTCCAATTGTCTAACTCAAGGAAATTAAATTTTTATTAAAATTTTACAGGTCCTGACTTGGGACAAGCAAATATGGAAAATGACTGGGTTTTAAATGTTAACAAGTGCTCAAAACCTAACCCCTGATCAGGGACAATTGTGTAACAGCACAACATAAGAACAAACATAAAAGAATCAGTTAATGAAGGATTTTGAACCAATTTCAAATATGATAACTACAACAATAACAGTTCATGATAGATTGTTGGTTTAGTGTTGCTCAAATTTAAGTTTCGGAGGAAACTTAGATGTCAATACCTGCCAACTTTCAAAATTCACATTGGATATACTGTGGATTCATTATTATTCATGGGATACCAACTTTCGTGGATTTCGTGAGTAATGGTGAACAACGAGTTCGAATGTTCAAGGTAGTGTAAATCTTCTAAACCACAAACCAAGTTTCCACAAAAGAACAATTGTTCCTGAAGCCACGAATATTGGAACCCACGAAAATAAGGGAATTCACAGTATTTAGCACTTTTTAAAGTATGTTTATATTGAAACAAAAAAACAAATAGCTGTGAACAACTATACCAATTCATGATTGATTGATTGATGTTGGTGTTAAACCCAACTTTCAACACACTTTACTAAAATCATGGTGGCCAGTTTTTATTGACAAAGGAAGCCAGAATACCTTAAGTGAATAGCCACCTTCAACAGAAACTTTCAAGTGAATCCTAATCAATTCCTGGTATATTTGCTTCCCTCAAGTTGAACATACTGAGATGCAATGTATGGAATTATAGAAAATTAAATTTGAATCAACAGTATTAGGAGACTTTTATGTTTAGTTAAATCTGTTTTGGTGGAGACATGTGAAAATATATTATTTTTGGAAGAAAAAAATATGACGAAAGCAACAATGGCACATACATGTAGCAAGCTGGGTTGGTGTAGTCTTCTTTCATTGTAATTCAAGTTATCCTTTCATGTATCTTCTTCCACCTCAGAGCTATTGTGCCTTTGATTGCTGTTTTCGGTTTCTATCCACAATAAGTTTTGCAAAAACACCAAAAATGGGTAAAAATGGTCATTTGATAGCCTGTCTGATACATCTATTGATTGTAACAACCTTTTTGTAGCAGTCTGTGATATGTATATCCAAGAAATTTTTGTTAGTTTTTGAGTGCTTCTGTATCAATTAAGAAATAATTAAGTATAACGAGAAAATATATATAATTTAGATAATTATTTTTGTAGGTGATATTTGAAATGGTTTTAGCTATGGATGATTTTGGTATGTTTGTTAGAATAATGACTTTAAAAAATATTGAGCTCCAAGAGCAGGTATTAAGAATGATGGCTAAAACTACAGGTAGTATACCAGACAGTTTTACAACCGCTCCTCCCAAGAAAGCAAAAACTGCAGAAGAGGCAGAGGAAGAACTCCTGGCTAAAGTTATGGAGTAAGTAACATTCAAAGATTTTATTCCAAACCCTTTATGTGTCAATCAGGGTAATCATGATGATCTTAACAATGTTTGTTAACCCTAAAAAGGTTCAGAGTAAAATTAAAAATGGTGAACTTAAAAATAGATATTGAAGCGCATTACAACTCACCCCTAACTTCACCAATTTATGGTCATGGGCCAATATCATGAATTAAGATGTTCCACCTTCATAGCTTTGCATATTTTAGTTCAACTATTTTAGACTTGTAGAATGATTGTAAGGTAAACATGTCTGACATCTGAACAACAACATTTTATGATAGATAATGGTACTGCATCAGGATTATGGAAAAATAATGGTTGGTCCTTGATCTGAGAGATGCAGGCACTTGAATAACTATAATATTGATGATAAAGGATGGCACTTAATTTTTTGTGAAGTGTATGGGAAGAAATGAATAAAAAAAACTGTGGGGGGGGATGGAATTGCCTGTCTCAAATGAATGGATTGATCTTTGTTAAAATAACTTATGACCTGCTTCATTTTTCATACAGGCAGTCAAAAAAAGAATATGAAATGGAAGAAAAGAAGAGAAAAACTATGGAAAAAGAGGAATTGGCAAATGTTATGGTATTAGAACAGAACAGATTACAAAATGAAAAAGCAAAAGAACATAAAAAATATGAACAGGTAAAGAATTTGGAAATTCATTATCATTTAAAAAAAACTTGTAGCCCAGTATTCTGTCATGTACATTACTTTATATCCTGTTTAGGAACAAAAATATTCTCAAAGTCATATTTTAAAAAATCATGAACCCACTTACTAATGATAGTCAATAAGATGAGTATTTTCTTCATCTTTGGGAGGCAGTTTATTAGGCACTCCTCCATATGACACCTTGAGTGTCCACATATAAGCACACATGCAGTGTTTGAACAAAAGAATCAAAGTGAACCTGGCTGTAAAGGACCAAGCCACTTGAAAAAATATGCATTTAACAATATCAAAAGCAGTACATGTATCATTCCCTCTTAAAAAGGCAGTTCAGTTTATGAAAATTTGAATTATATTCAAAAGTGAAGTGAAATTCATAGATTCAATTGATTAAGAATATTAAAAATTATATCTATTTATATCTATATTCAGATATTCCTGATTCAAATATTTTATGAATAACTTCCATTCATTATAATTAGATCTTTGACTATGAGATCAAGTGATTACCCGTTGAAGATATTTGTTATTTCCAGGCAATTCAAGAATTATCTCAGGGATCAACACCAACCAAACCTGTCCAAGATAAATTGATTGCCTTAAGTATATCTCAACCAAAACCACAGGCATCACAGCCAACACAACCACAACCTGTGGCACAACCTGTGGTCAGCAAGCCACCACCAGCAAAACCAGTAAAGCAAACAGACTTGAAAGCAGCTGTGAGAATTATGTACATTTTTAGCACAAAGGGCAAATATGAGATATTGCCATTACTTAGTGTTTGTCATCTGTCATCTAGCTTTTTCAATGAATCTTCTCCTCTGAAACTGCCGAAATAAACCAAACTTGATCACAAATATCCTTTGGATGTCATTTAAAAACAAGAATGTGTCCATAGTACACGTATGCCTCACTCGCACTATCATTTTCTATGTTCAGTGGACCGTGAAATTGGGGTCAAAACTCTAATTTGGCATTTAAATGAGAAAGATCATATCATAGAGAACATGTGTACTAAGTTTAAAGTTGATTGGATTTCAACTTCTTAAAAACTACCTTGACCAAAAACTTTAACCTGAAGTGGGACAGACGAACGAACGGACGCACAGACCGAAAAACATAATGCCCATTAATGGGGCATAAAAATATGTCTGATGTCTGATTTAAAAAACAAATGACTGAAATGAAATTCCTGATTTTGTTCAATTTAAAAGTTTTCATTTACCAAGATCAAACTTTTTTTATGCCTTCTTTTTATCAGTCATATTACAACACTTTTACAAGCCTGAATTCTAAAGTTTGCATGAACAATTTTCCAAATTTTGCGAGAAATTTACCTGTGGAAAAGTTTGAGCGAATCAATTAAATTTTCTGATACAAAAATTATAAAACATTCGTCAACTGAGATATAAAAATAGTTTAAACACGCCTAGGATTTATGATTGCCAGTTCTTCCAGCCGAGAAAGTTTATGGCAGTTTTTAAGATTATTTCATGTCAAATGCTACTGAAAATGGAAAATATGTCACCAGTGAGTCTATAATACTGCCAAAAAATGTGAAAGACTGTTTCAAATGAAAGCATAAAAGAGATTTAATACTGTGTTTTATTCTAGAATATGGTTTTTATACACAAAATGTTCATTTCCACGAAAGACAAACTAATTTTTTCAAAGCTTTGCTTTTTAGCTCACCTGGCCGAAAGGCCTAGTGAGCTTTTCTCATCACTTTGAATTCGTCCTCTTTTACAAAAATCTTCTCCTCTGAAACTACTGGGCCAAATTTAATCAAAAGTTTTAATAGATAGACAGAAACTTTAAGAATCAAAAATGATCAGCAAGACATGATCTACAAATAAGTCATCATGACCAAAATGGTCAGAAGACTCCTTATTAGAGTTATTGCCTTTAAATAACTACTTTTACCATTTTTTTGCGTTTTTGCCTAATATCTTTGAAACTGTAACAGATAGATAGAAACAATACTAAGCAAAAATGAACAACAAGACAAGATCTACAAATAAGCCAACATGACCAAAATCTTAAGTCGAACCCTATTGAAGTTATTGCCCTTTAATGATGATTTTTCCGATTATTGCCTATTATCTTCAAAACCGTAACAGATATATAAAAACTTTGAATAGCACAAATGATCAACAAGACAAGATCTAGAAATGAGCCCTAATGGCCGAAATCTTCAGTCAACTTATTTTGGAGTTATTGCCTTTTAATGATAATTTAAAAAAAAAATTTGCATTTTTTGCCTGTTATCTTGAAAACTATAATAGATAAATAGAAACTTTAAAAAGGAAAAAAAAACAGCAGGATAAGGTCTACAAATATGTCAACATTACTGAAGTTGTCAATTAACTCTTAATAGAGTTGTTCCCCTTAAATGCTGATTTTTACTAAAAAGTGGCCATTGTTGAAGATGCAGGTGAGCGACTAGTTATTTTTTGTATAAACGAAGAAAGTCTTCTTTGATTATATAAATGATCTATCAATTTAATTAATTTTTAACAAAAAATTATAAAGCTCAGGATAAAAACTCAAGTAAAATACAGTAAAATTTGTGCAAACGTAAAACCTGTAATAATTCAAAATTGTGCAAATGTAGGTCCCCCATGGTGAATATAATATCATTTATTCTTGTTATGTTTTTAATTTGTTAATTCTAGTCATTTTAATGCAGTATCACACGACTTGATATGTTTTAAATTTTATAATTCTTGTCATTTTAGCCAACCGTTATTGTTACACCTAGTCAGAGAGATAATGTGTCCAGTTCAGAAGCTGCTGCTAACTGGTTAGCACAAGCTAAAACAGATATACCAACTAGTCCCAATGCTGCGAACTTAAATGCAGCTCATGTAAGTTTTGGTTACCATGCATTTTGAAATAATTATCCATTTTGTGGTTTAATGTTTCATCTAAAAAGGAGAAGTGAATTTTTTAGTATCTTTTGATGTTTTACACCCAGAAAAAAAAACACGAAAATTGTGATCTGAAATGGAGATCCTTGTGAATATTAATGTGTGGCAGTACTTTTAAAAACAGGGATATCCAAGAAAACATGTAGCTTGATGGTAGTGTAACTTAAAGTACTAAAAAAGAAATATCCACTTCTGTATACATGTAGCTATGTGATAGTTTAACTTAAAGTATTTTAACAGGGATATCTGCTTGTATATATGTAAGACTCAGATCAACATCCGGTCTCTTATCGACATCCGTTCCTCAAATCGACGTCCAAATCTGACATCATATTAAAAAAAGATTCCAAATTGACGGCCAATTCATGCCCCTCTAATCGACGTCTTTCTTCTTGCTATCAAATCGACGTCCAAAGTCCTTTTTACGAACTTGCCGCAATGACATCACAACTTTATTAATTGGTGGGTTTAACCTAAAACTCAAAAAGTTGTTGAAAAATATATAAGATTTTAAATCTTACAAAGTCTAAATGAAAATACTTTTCAACAATTGGCTGTACTTTTTATTTCTGTTTATTGTTTAAGACAGTGTATATTGCCCTCTAGATGTCACTCGATTATCTTTGTTGTTGGGTTGTTGTCTCCTTGTAGTATATCCACATTTATATGAATATGAAAGGACTACAACAACATAGATCGTTAGGACTCCATTCACTAAAATATTCAAAATGTGCATGTACATGTAATATGACGTCGGTGGTTGTCTTATTATCATTTTCTGATGTTTGTCCTTTTATTTTGATAAAAGATATAAGAAAACAATTAGTTTTTTTAAGCAGCTGTACACCAAGACAAAACTATACAGATTATATAAAAAGATCAAACTAAAATAAACAATTGAATGATATTGGATATCGACTCTGATAGCGGACGTTGTTTTGGTTATACATAACGATAGCGGATGTCGATTAAAGGGTAAAAATATTGGACACTTATTTGAGAATGTGACGTCACACTGGACATCGATTACAGGAACAGACGACTATTAGAGACTGGACGTTGATCTGAGTCTAACATATACATGTAGTTTTTTTGCAGTTTAACTAATTTGATTAGATATACTGTCTTTTGGTGTGTATAAAACGCACTCATGCATAGTATGCACCCCCTTTTTTACCCTTCAAACTTAAGAAAAAAGGTTCTTCTTATGCTTAACAAGCAAGATCTTTCTGAAAAAATCCCAACTTGAAACTTAGTAAAGTGCGTCCATTGAAAAGTGATTTCTTTTTCGGAGACAAATTGAATTCCAGTCCTGGTTGATTACAGGATAATGAAAATATTGTTGTAGATTAAATAATTTAGCAAACGATGTTTGATTCTTTATTGTTCCCACGGATGTGTTTGATTGAGAACAACAGGAAGTGTTAACTGGGAAGTTGTTTAAATGCATATCGCAGTCAGTGAATCTTGTACTGAATTCGAAATCATTATGAATATTCTTAATTACACTATAAATAAATAAATTGTAATATTTATGTTGATAAATTATTGCTGAAATTAATATTAAATGTGTTTAAAATCATGACTTTGCAACCCTTAAAAGTCACATGACATGTGAAGTAAAAAAAACAATGGCCGCTATCATCAAACGAGCGTGTTTCATTCAATTTTCATACGTTTACCTTCTGTATTCCTTGTTAGAACACATATATAAAGTAAGTTATAAACTCTGGGTAACACCTACACTAATTTGGTCATTGACAGGATCTCTAAATTTGGACATGATCAAATGCAACCACAAGGTGGCAAAGAAGAACACAAGAAAACACAAAAACAACTACTTAAGCATTTAAATGATTTTTATTTGCATATAACATTACAAATCAGATACAAAAAGGTACAAATATACATGTAAAACAAAACAACGATCTCATTTATGCTACGAAAGTATTTTCCTCCAGACCACCTGGTTTCTTGGTCGGAAAGAACAGTGTAGCCATACATAATACGCACCTCCCTTTTCAGAAATCATTCCTAGGGTAAAAACCTGCGTACTATACACACTTTAAGACGGTAATGGGCTTCATTCACAAGTCTGTGCTTATATTTTAAAAATTAAACTAAGTGACAGTTTATTTGAACCTTTTAGGCTGCTTTATCTAAACTAAGTCCTGATGAATTAAAGAAAAGACAGGAATATTTAAAACAGCAAAGAGACAAACTGGTAGCAATGAAAAAGAAAGAAAGAGAAAAGCAGCTTTTAGATGCAGAACAAACACAGCCACAAAGACCTGTATCAGCAAGAAATGCAAGATCAGCGTTACAAGGGGAGCAACAAAAGAAGGTTGATCCAGAAGAGGAGAAAAAATTAGCAATGAGAAAAGCTATAGCCAATAGACTAAAATCAGAGCTTTTAGGAAATAATTAATGCTTGTTTTCTGAACCATTTTAAATGGTAATTAATGTTGTGGTATTATTATATGTAATATTCTGTTTGTGAAGTGCTGTTCCATGCTATTACCGTCCAATGGGTAAAATGTACTTTTAAGTTTATATACTTTTGTGAAATACAATTATTTGAATGAATTGAAACCTAGATTATGCTATATGTAATCCCTTTTATTTTAACTCATTTAAATCTAGTGACATTAGACTAACAAACTTTCACTGTATAAGTTAAATTGAATTCAGTGGAAAAGGGTGTCATATTTGGAGCCAATAGGCTAAATTCAACAAAATGGTGAAATCACACAAAATCTTGAAAATTTGACTCCTACATGTAAAGAAATAATATATCGCACAATCATCATAAAAAAAAGGTATTTATAAGGGAAGAGTATCTTATATTTTTCTATTTGCTTGCAAAAAGTATTTTGGTGATACTTGTGATCCATGATAATTTAGCAAAAACATTTCTGAAGTTTACTAATTTTGCTAATTTCCTGAAAATTGTAACTTTGATGATAAAATTAAATTATTAAGATAAATACTTAAAAATGTTAAATAATTTTTCTTTTATGGTTAAAATATGAAAACTTTATTAATTAATGGCATTTAAATGTATGAATGATTGATTCTCATAGCCTTTCCTCTGAAAGTCTAAAAAAATTACTAGTAATGGTAGTACATGATTTTTTTATATTTGGAGAATTTACATGGCAAAAAAAAACCCCAAAAAACCTTTCCTGTATTAAAGAAGAATGTAATTTGTAAAATTAAACTCAGGTCCAGAAATTCACTCTTCAATATCAGTATAGGTCAGTAAGAGAAAAGTGTATGTATGTTGAAATAAGACAACAAGTTATATTTGTATTCTTCATCACTTCAATTCCAACAATTAAATACTCAAATCATGAAAAGCAATTGTTTGAAATGCTATGCAAACTTACATACAAAGAATAAAGATTTTGGTATTGAATTAGTTCTCGTGCTCATAATTAGTTGAAATTTTACTGATTTTTTCCAATCAAAAGAAAATTAAGTAACTATGTTCATATTAGGCAATAATATCATTTTGAATTAAATGTTTATCACTATTCTGTTTATTTTCATAATTTAAATGAAGATGGTACTTTTTATTCAGCTTGTATTAGCTGCAAAATATTCTGTTTTCCATTGTTAACTTGGGAATAAGATGTTCAAAATTAGGTCCGTCCATCCAGATAATATAAAGATAATTCTCACAATGAGTGTTGAATAAAACTATGTAATTGTGAGACACACAAGATAATGAAATGATAAAACTAAAAATCCCACAAATGAATATTTAAAAGATGATTGACAAATACATCTTGAATAACTATTTTTATATAATTTTATTCTAGATAGACAAACATATCAGAGAGAATGTCCTATGAATGGTATTTTCAAGTTATGTAAAATGTTAGAAAAACTAACTTCCACAGTATGGTGTGATAACATTCCATTTGTATCGTAATTGTTCTTCACAATTTTAATCTCATTTTTCCTTCATTCATTCTATCTTTAATTTAAATGCTCTTAAATATGTTGCTACTTATTATGTAAATCATATTGCACATTTTTCTATTCTAAATTGCCATAGATCATGTGATTATATATGTATTATTTTTATACTTTATTTGTTAGTATGTTTTTTGTGTTAAGTGCTATAAATCAAACTTTTGTGTTAATTCTGCATGTTATTATATTATCATGTGTCTAACATTATGGTTGAAGCTAAAAAAATATCCCTTTATCCTTTTAAGGGATAAAAAAATTGATAGACGTCTTGAAAAATTTCAGTTTAAAAATGGTGAGTTAGTAGGAATATTTCTATAGCTATTGATCATGAACTGTAAGCCATCAAGTTACAAATAAATTCATGACAAAAGTCATCCATTATATTATGAAAACTTTATGAATTTATCAAAACATTTTCTCAAACAATTAATTTGTAACAGCTTTTTTGATTGGACATCATTTCCATGATTTACCTGCTTGATTCCTCTGTACAATGGCAGAAGATGTGTCTGTTAATGTACCGATTTATTTAAAAATCTTGATTTAGTAATTGCATTTGAATAGGAATTTACACAATGTATTTTATACTTGGACACATCCATCATAGATGTTAGTGTTCAAAATATCAGTTTTCAATTTAAAATTGTGAAATCAATGATTGATGTTGTATTATAAAAAAATGCAATACATGTACAATTATTCCTTAATTAGAAGCAGCTAGAAAAGAAAAGTGAATAGATACCAATTAGTATCATACCTGTGATTGGTTTTTAAGAAGTCTATTTATTTAAAATAGTGGATAGCACATATATACAAGTCCTGTACAAATGAATAATATCAAATAAAAATAAATCAAGTACTTGTGCAATATAAACATTTTCTGTAAATAGATGCAATACCTCAAATCTCAAGAAAATATGGAGGGAGTGTATCATGAAGTTTTTCTTTTCTTAGTTTTGACAGTAGCATTATTGTATCATTCTAACAAGATTTATTTCTGTACATGTAGTATCTATATTTCATAACCTCTTACTTGGTGCTACTGGAATCATTGTGCAGTTTTACTTTTGCCTCCTTTTGTAAATTAAGGGTTAGGACACTAATGTTTGTGAATATTGACCTATGTTGATTGCACAAGTTTGAAAGTGCAAGTTATATTCTGCTAAAGATAATTAATTGATATTCACCATTATTTTATAGTTGTAGGGCAAAACTTTAAAAAAAAATTACAAATGTGTATTATATTTTAGATTTGATATGGCATAGTTCATATTGGGCCTTCCTGTTCCTTCTCGTGGCAAATTTAAGGCACTGTGTCTTTGATAAAGAATATTTCTAAAATGAATTTTTTCCTCGTTTTAATATTCGTCCATTCATAAATAGCATTTCCTAAACCAGTGAAATTTAAGTGAACCTTTTAGTTTGAATATTCATCCATTCATCATATAGCATTTCCTAAACCAGTAAAAAGTTAATCTGTACAAGGGCATTATGCACTTCTGTTTATTTTTTATAACAATGAATTTTGGTTTATTTAGAGATCTATGATTGGTGTTAAATATAGGCATTGAGTTTAAAATAAAAGGTTATGCCCTACCTACAATAATATAGGGGCATTATGTTTTGAAGTCTGTGCATCCATCCATTTGTGTGTCCCTCTGTTAGTTTTTCCATCCATCCCTCCCATATCAGGTTTTAAGTTTTGTTTAAGGTCGGTTAAAGATTTTGTTTAGGGTATTTATTGGTCACATCAGCTTGAAACTTGATTATGAAATGAACAGTTAGATATATACGGTGGACATTATTATTCTTGAGATACCAAATTGTGTGGGTATAGGTAAACCACATAATTTGAATGTACAACGAAGTACAATTTATTTTATAGACTTCTATGCATACTTTAACAAATCCATGAAAAACACTTTTTTCCTCAACCCATGAAAATTGGTCTCCACTAAAATAAATGAATCTACAGTATGCCAAATAAGGGTTTGACCAGATTTCACTATCACTGATAAGCATTGGGTCCATTCTCAATTACTTAAAGTAAAAGGTTAAACACATTTGATCTCTATAAATGTTGAAGATGAACATGCATGAGTGATATGGGTCACACTTCTTGGATCCATTTCGTATGGTTCAGCTTTTGTGATTGTCAGTTTCTGAATTGTTATACATGTGTATATTTTTATAGATCTAGTATCTAATGTCAGTGTACTGATTGCAAGATCCTTTGTGAGTTTGATATTTATATTTAACTTTCACTTGCCAACCTTAAAATGTATATTTTTAGTCATAATCATTATGCAGGAGACATTTCTATGTATCCACTTCTTTAATACATTTGTTTGTTATAATCATGATTATGCTTTGTTATAATCATATAATCATTTGATGTACATATCTAATAATGTCAGTAATGTCTATATTTACTATTGATTTTGTTAGATTCTCACCAATTGTTTCCGTCCTTAGTGATTATCTACTTAAAGAAATACACATATCAATTGTTTTCTTTCTTTATTATGTAACACCATTGTTTTTTATGTGAGGATTTTACACAGACGTTGAAAGGCTTTTACAACCAATTAATTTGTAAATAAATGAAGAAGTGCTATTATAATATTAGTTACTTTAATTTTATTAGCCATTTCATTACCAAACTTAGTTTACATAAAATAATACAAGATTTTCAAAGATAAAATTATAATGATTCATTCTTTTGAATTGAAGGTAGAAAACTAGACATAAGTAATTTTACTAAACCATTTATAGTATTATCCAAGGTAAAAAAAAATAAAAGAAGCACACTGGACATTGTTTCCAATCATGTTTTTTTGTCTTGCTTGGACGAAGTCAACAATTTGTTACAGATTGTGGTTAGGTCATCTTAAAGCAGGCGGAAACCCAGTTGAAATAGAACAAAAAAATCAAAGCTCTTTGTTAGAGAAGGCGATAAATGCTTACTGTAATGTTTACTATAGTAACAAAATTTTTAAAAGTTAATAGAAACAAATAAAATGACAGTTTTCGGCTAAATTACGAAGTATTTTATCATAAAAACACAATTTGCATAAGTTTTCAATTCATCTATTACATAATAAGGCAGAACAATTAGATATCAAGTCGACGACATGGGTGTCTATTCAGTTGGATCTAAAAAATGCATAACCTCCGATTTTTTATTTTTTTTTACCACGGACGGAGAACATATCAATCTATTTGTTCCTTAATTTTCGTTTCTGCCCTTCCATTATTTAACTCAAGAAAAAATTAAAAAAAAAGGGTAACAATTGCATCGAAAAGATAAAATTGAGTGCACCTTTTTATGTTAGGCCGTGTTTGAGTTAAATATTTTGTCTTGAAAACGTATAAAGCAAGAGTATTTGATACATCATCTCGCTTCAGATTCTATTATTTTTATATATCAAGGCTACAGGTTGACTTTATAACATCGAAAGTTCACAGTACTAAAAAATTAAATATATGGGTCAAGTGAAATACCTTTTTAATGAATCACAAAAGCAGAGTAGGTGTGTTCGAATAGTAAATTTTTACTAAAAGTACTTGACGACTGACTTTTAAGTTGGATCTTAAAAATGCATATCTTCGAAAAACTTCATTAATTGTGAATGATAATTAGGGTTTATAGTCTTCAACCACTGAAAATATTTAGTCTGCCCTTCCACGAAATATTTAATAAGAAATTTTTTTAAGTGTTTATGAATTTCCGAAAATTCGACCTGACAACCGATCCGACAATAGTTTTAAGTTGACTGAATGCAGACAAGTGCTTTAACTGATGCTCATTAGCTAGTAGATACATTTGTCTTTTAAAATACACCTGGCATATAAGGATCGTAATGGTGCTATGTGGATAAATTTATCGGTTTTCAAGAGCTAAATTGGAAGCGCGTCATCCCTACAATGGCTTCCATTTTTACGATTGTAAAAATGAACTGGCGTAATGGGGAGATAATTTTGACGAAGTAGAATCCTGACTGAAAGGGACATAAGCCGTCAAATTCATGTTCACCTATTTGACCCAATTTTTCATAATTTAATTATAACATACTAAAATGCATATCCACATTACAAAAAGTCCAAAAGAAACAATCAACAATGCATGGGCTCGTTATAATGTACCGGCATTTCATGCGTAATTTAGACCAGATGCCATCTAATTAACCATTGAGATAACCTCCGAAGACCGCTGACGATTATAATAACCTGATATAAACATAAATATAAATAAGTAACGGTGGTCAAGTATTGAGATTGGATGGTGAAAGACCTGGTATAGGATCGTGAAGGAAATCTTATCGAGAGGACACATGCAAGGTCAATAAAAAATGTAAATTTGAGGAGTTATAATGACAAATTTCGGAAAAATAAAACTATCTGTCAAAATGGTTCAATATTATGATCAGTATCGTAAACAAACATGATTTTTTTCATATTTTCAATGCATAAACTATATTTTCTTAAAATATCGTTCCATATTACTGTTATAAATGGTTCATAAAGTGTTTTTGTTTTAGTTTAATCAGAAATTTAGAAAAAAAAAGGAATATTTGTAAAATTTTGATATTTCGGATCGTGAAAGATCAGGTACTGCTTTTTGATGATCGTGAAAGATCTGTTGCCACTCATTCGTTATTGCAAAATTCCACGAAAACGATCAAATCATTCTTGAAAGGGGTGATGTTATATAGATACAATGGATAAGCGTTGATTCTTGAAACCATGAGCCTGGAGGGCGAATGGTTTGTTTTTCATGAATCAACGCTTATCCATTGTATCTATAGCTTAAACTATGGTGTTAATGTCTTTTCAAAATTAAAGCCTATTCTTAATTAGAAGGTATTGTAAGTGAGTTTAAATAACCTTGTTATCGTGTCCATCGATGCATTAATAAATCTAATATCACAATTAAATGGTTGAAAAAATACAAATATAACACAATACGTCTGCCTTTAAAGATCTTCATATTATCAGGCATCTGAATGGTATATATTTTTACAAAATAAGACATATTCGAACTTATTTCTAATAAAATTGAGAATGGAAATGGGGAATGTGTCAAAGAGACAACAACCCGACCAAAGAGCATACATAAAGTATAAATAATAAGTATGTTACAGAAATTTTTAGCATGAAGCCTAATTCTAGGCACATCACGATTTTCTCGCATAGGAATATGCGAATAAACATTTGTAAAATTATGTAGTAAAACAGATTTAATCATACTGTATTAATTTTATAAAACAAATAAAGGCAACAGTAGTATACCGCTGTTCGAAACTCATAAATCGATAGAGATAAAAACAAAAACAGACAAATAGAATGTTATCATTTTCGTTTCAAATATGTGAAATAGCCAATATAATAATCCAAAAATAAACGGTAAAACTCGCTATTATTACAAAAATATCCATTATAACATACAAAACAAGAAAAAAAAAACAGAAAAAAAAAACCAGGAAAACAAGAGAATAGGGACAACAAAGAGAATACAGGGATTCGAACCTTAACCGACAAGTCCCTACCTTCAACTCATTGATCTTAACCATGTTAACCTCGCGGCTGCCAACTTATACTATACGTTTGCCTATTATGTATATATAAAGGTACAAGCCCTGTTTGTCCGTTGTACTGATGTATATCATATGATCATTTATATATATAATATAGACATTTAAATCGTAGCCTATTGGTAGCCGAGAGGTTTCGTCGATATGTTGATGTCAGTAACACATAACAGATTTCAAGGACGGGTTCGTTTCCCAGTAAAGGCATATAGAAATTACAAAAATTAAAGGTAAGTTTTTAAATTGATTCCATTAGTGAGCAGAAATCAGTAAATTAGCTAATTCAAACTTAATGAAATTAGGCACACAAAGGAAACAATTGAATATAATTTGGTGAGTCCATTTCAGCGACGGATTTAGGAAGCGTTAATTTTGGAAAAAGAATCCACGGTAAATGAATAGGCTGACGTCACGACAATGGTTTAAATGATAATTTATATTTGTAATTGGTAAAGTGAAAGATTGAATTTGCATGACTTATAATTCTGCTTCACTTTTGTTTGTGAATAGGGCTTTGATGGTTCAATGCCATTGGATCTGATGATTTGATAATACCACACCAACTAGTTGCCTTATAATAATATTACACAGTCTATCCGTCCTGCATAAGTTTTATGTCGTATGAAAAGTTTCAGATTGTCTCATCTGATTTCCATTAAATTTTATGTAAAGTCATATCTATAAAACAAAGATCCTTGTTGATTCAGTTTGTAAAAATTGGAAAAAAAGCATTGTTTAAAAAAACGCTGGAAAACAACTGTCATGTTCCTGGCATGGAACAGGCTTTTTCCTAAGAAAATGGTGGGTTAAACCTGGTTTTCTAGCTAGCTAAAACACCCACTTTTATGACAGTTTTATGTTCTGTAATATTGCAAAATTGGGTGAGCAACCCAAACAGACATAGTTGGTTAACGTTGCCATTACTGGGATCCAGCAGCACACTTACAATTAAATCAAAAAAAAGATGCCAACAAAAAAAAAGATTTTGTAGTTGATAATGTAGTCAGCATTGTCGAGCATAACGACATACACTTTCCCAATAAAATATAAAATAAGTAAAATATAAATACAAAGGTACTATACAAAATAAAAACAACACTACGAAAACCTCATGTGCCGGAATCGCATCTCTGGACTCACTCACATAAGGAACGCCAAAAGCCAAAAACCTGAAAGCTGGATGCACATATACCAAACCACGTCAAGAGTCATACGACCAAATGGAACATACTAGTACAAAGACAAATAAAGTTAAAACAGTAGATAAAATTCTACACAGAGTCAGCAGCACCTAGAATCTATAACTCAATACCATCCTGTTTCATTTGTGAAGTAGACACTGAATATTTATCTACTAGGTCTTTGGTACTTTCCAATAACTTTTTGAGAAAAAGGACGAGGCATTCTTTAAAAAACCCTGGCTCATTAATTTTTTGCTCAGACACTGATGACGTTTTACAAATTTTTAGAAGCAGCTGCAAGCTTTTGAATATCGTATGAATTGAGAAATGTATAATCCATACGCGGATGAAGTTGGTTAATTGCTGCCAAAGTGAGGAAAAATAATTTCAGATTTGAAATCATGAAATCATCAAGTTTGTCATAGATTCAGGTGACCTCTGTAATCAAATTTGGGGTATCTATGTCTAAATATAAGGCTTAGAAAGCTGTGCATGTGGTGTTTGTAATCTCTACTTCAGGACCATTACTGGGACCCAATCAGAAAAGCTTGTATTGGTAATGGAAAGAACATCTTCAATATACCTGTATGTAAAATTAAATGATATAGCTTCTTTGATCTAACCTTTACCAAAAAAAAAACGTACACATTAAGATATTTCCAGATGAAGACCACCAGACCCCCCCGCCCCCCTCTGGCTTCACACATTCATGGATGCATTTAGCATTATAAATACAAAGATATTTACTCTTTGACAATGTGTGCTCTTGGAGGTCTTATTATCTTGGATTCCTAGTTAGCACTGCCTCTTATTTAAAATGAAAACAGTTCTAAATATTGGTCTATATGTATTGTTTTTCGTTCATTATTTTGTACATGAATTAGGCCGTTAGTTTTCTCATTTGAATTGTTTTACATTTGTCATTTTGGGGCCTTTTATAGCTGACTATGTGGTATGGGCTTTGCTCATTGTTGAAAGCTGTACAGTGACCTATAGTTGTTAATTTCTGTGTCATTTGGTCGCTTGTGGAGAGTTCTCATTGGCAATCATACCACATCTTTTTATATGTATATATATATTTCACCCCAAAAAAAGCATTAATTTATGTTCTTAGTAAGTGATTACACGCTTCAACCAATTACAAATATATCAATTTGTAAAAGAAATGTTTTCTGATCATTAAGCCTGGTCACGCCTTGTCTTTCACGATCAACATTATGTTTTGCCTGATCTTTCATGATCAATTTTAATTAAAAATCAACAAAATTATACTTTTTTTTTAAATAATATGATTGTTTTCAAGTAATAACATAATTTTATTTACTGGACCATCTGACACACTAAAGATTAAGTTTCAAATATATCAAGATATATATTGTAATGTGACCATTATAGATACAAAACATGATTTTTCTTAACAATTCTCGTTAGATCATGTGTCGCCTTTTGTGTTTTCTTAAAAAGTACTGCATTTTATCTTTAAAGTAGTGCACAGTATTATTTAGGAAGTTGAATTCTTTTGACAGACATAATTTTTTTTTTCGGATTTGTTCCATCTTTTGAAAATACAGCAGATTTTTCACAGATTTTAAAGTAGAATTACATTTAATTGCATTCATGATCCAATACCAGATCATTCACGATCCAATCGCAATGCTTGACCACCGTTAAGTTATTCTTTCACGATCATATTTCTCGATATACCGAATGACACCCAAGTTCTTTATAAATGAATGAATATGGTGACCACCACATGCTTAATATATGCACAAAAAGATCAAAGTAAAGGTTTCATGAATAGGGATTTAGTTGAGGTAAATTATTGACTTGCAAGTCAGTAATACATTTTTTGTTGAATTCGTATAGCTATTAATGCTCCTTTAAAAGGAACCACTTATGATAATTTAATTTATTTTGTATGCAGTTTTTAGAAGTGGCATCTCATTTCCATGAAATTTATTTTGCTGCCCTGCATCCTCATTCATGGTTCATTGACTTTTAAAGTTTACATGATACTTGCAGTTTACAGTTAAAGTGTTGTCAGTTTATTTATTTCCTTAGCTTTCATAACTAAAAGCAGTAAAGCCAATAATTTAGCATCCAAGGGATCTGTTATTATCTGTTACTTTCATATTATAGTGGGAATCCTGCTTCCCATGATCCACCAACTTGTCATATAACTGTATGACACAGATTCCAGTGCACACAACACATGGTTTTTGAATAAGCATCCAGTACACTAAAGACAAAACAGTTGGTAAAATATCTTTATGGACCAAAACCAAGTAGAATAGGCAAAACCTCATACTGTCTGCTTTGTCTGGTAAGACATCATCTTTTGTCAATTGTACCAGCTTTGTCTCGGGTTTCAAATAAAGATCTATTTTATAAATGAACACTACCTTGTATACAACACAATGCAGGACAGTTTTGTCAAGTTGTTCAGATATCACATATTCCAAAATACATGTATTGTGAAATATTTTTACTCATGGTTCATGATTTAACACTAAACAGACCTACTTAAGTAATACATTTCATTGGGTATTCAAATTGACAGTTTTGATTTATCACCATTTCCTAAAATTTGTTACTTGAAGGACAGAAAAATGAAAAAAATTATTTGTTTTGTGTTGTCTTATTATACCTTGTAACATAAGGTATCTGCATACAGAGGCATTTACCATATGTACAGTCTTCCTGGAAGTTTAGACATCTTATGTTGCATTGTTGTGAACTTATGATTCAAGTCAATGTAGGACAAATAGATAAGTCACAATATACCTCTATCTGGACAATGACCAATTAATGAGTAAGATTGTTTGCGCAGTTCCATTTTTTGTGGAATGTATGGTTTAAAAGTGATAGTGCACAGTCTGATACAACAGCACTGCAAAATAAAACTGAAGGAACCACATTTTTTTATGAGCACAAATTTTTTTATGGGGGGGGGGGGGAGGGGGGTCAACTTTTTTTCCCCAAGATTTAAGAAATTATCCATTTTCCCCCAAAAAAATTGGGGGTCACAATTTATTTTGCTAATTCTTTGTATATAGTCTGAAAACAGATTTACTTACTATTGCACAACAGCACAGTGTATTGCACAACAGCAAGAAATCTTCAATTGAATATAAATTCAAATCATATAACCAACTTCAAGTTCTTTGAATACATTTATTCTGTGTCAGAAACCTATAATATGTCAAAAACTTAATTACAATCCAAATTCAGACCTGTATCAAGCTTGAATATTGTGTCCAGTTTTGCCCCAACTGTTCAGGGTTGGACCTCTGCGGTCCTATCCACATTTATTGCTACCAGCATAGGGAAGATAGTCTCAAATAATAATAAAAAAAAGACTTGAAGCCTATCATTTATCTGCGAAAGTCGCAGTATGCAAGACATAAAGATAAATATCTGGTTGTTGCAGATCAACTACCGGTATTTGTATAAAGCTTTATTTTTCAGAAGGTCGAAGACCTGGATGCTTCATACCTTGTATGCAGATACCTTATGTTACGAAGTTTCTGCCTGTCATATGTCCATTGTCCTTGGCCTCATTTTCATGGTTCATTGACTGCTTGAAAAAAAAAAAAGTTTTTGTCATATGAATTTCTCACTTATGAGTAATGGGATAACTATATTTGGTATATGAGTTCCTTGCAATGTCTACATGTCAATTCGACAGGGTTCACCGGACCTTGACCTCGTCTTACCGTACATACAGGATTTATAACATACATGTACATGTTAATTTCTGTGTCATTTAGTCTCTTGTGGAGAGTTGTCTCCTTGGCAATCATACCACATCTTCTTATTTTTATATGTACCTCTCTTAAATTCTTTGTTGATAATTTAGAAATTATCAAGAACTACCTCAGGCAAAGCTTACCTTCTATGGTTTTGGCTATTCTTTTTAGGTCCGTTTTGATCATATTACATTAGCTCCCCTAGTATTCAAACATCCTTTGCTTTTAAATTCATGGGTACAGAAGATCCAGAAAAATGCTTCAGATGCAACATAAAGTGTAATTTTCAATTTCTAACACTAGGTAAATAGCACTGTTCCCTGAGGATTTTATCAGCTCAGTTGTCAATGTTCTAGTATGTACATAGCTCCTGAAGTATTCAAGTATTTTTAAAACATCATTGGCTTTTAAATTTTTTGGTGTGAGCATTCCTGATGAAGGTAAATACAGAAAAGTGCTTCTGGCACACCAAATTTATAAAAGTGTTCATTCCATTCACTCACTATTACATCTACTTTGATAGTTATATATTAACACTACATGTGTTACAATGTACATTAACATTAATAAATTCTATGATATTTGATTACATTTTTATTATAAAGATAACATTTTTTTCTTTGTCTTCATAACATATAGTATCAATGCATTGAGTAATTTCCTCTGTTTGTCATCTTGAAGTCTATTAGCAGTTTTTAAATACTACAATCTTCACAGACTGTGCCACTTTATATTCTAGTTCATTAATATAACAGTGGTTTGATATCACAGATTACTTCCTTCTATTACCACTTTCAAAAGTTCATTTCTTTTCTTTCTTCTTCTTTTTCTTTTTTGAATGTTTAACTGGCGTATCATCTGTCTGGCTGTCTCTCTTCCTTTTTCTGGATAATCCAGATGTTTCTGGCTCTTCGTCATCTATTCAAACAATGATAAAATCACTTAATTAGTACCAAAACTTTCACAATTTTTTTTTATCAGAGCATCCACTAATAAAGAAACAATACAAAAATTACCTCTGAGATATCTACTAACACTATTCACCATAGATGTTTATTGGTGAAGTATTTTTTCTGTTATAAAGTTTACATTCATAAGGTCATACAAAATGATCTGAGGCTTCTTTTATTAAAATTAATCAGCTTGTATTCTAGACCTTACACTATGGATTGCTATCACAATATTTTGTTGTGTTATGTCCCTTTTGTCTTGTGTTTGTCATCCTCTTGCATCATGGTCTTAATACAAAACATTCTTTTGCGTAAGTTCATCTTGAAAACAAATACTTACAAAATGTTACATCTTTTATAAATCAAGGGGAGATCAGCTTCGGTAAGATTCCAGTCTAAAACTAACTGGAGGTCGAATTCAATAAAAACTTGGATCTTAAATATTAACAGCTTGCAAAATATATGTACTCATTTCTTAATTTTTCCTCAATAACCTTTGGATTGTCTTTGTTAACTATCATGAGTAATTTATAGCCAACATAATTAAAGTTTAAATGGACAGTAAGCAAATATCAAACAAAGAAAAATACATAACTGTGCTGTTATTTGTATATATTTGTAGCTATTTAAATTTTGTTTATCATATGCAATAACACAGATAGATATCTAATTGTTTCTGAAATGATGTATATTGGCGATGTATCTAGTAGACCACAATAAAACTTATAAAAGAAGAAATTACCTATAACTATAGGTTTATCTTTATTTTCTTTTGGTGTAACATGCTCTTGTATTTTATCCTTTGCAGCCTGCCACAGAGAACTCTTAACAAATCGTTTAGCTGCTCCCTTATCCAGTTTTGGAGCCTTTGCTTTGTCCTGGATGTCTTTTACCCTATTCATGTAACTTCTTATTCTATCCTGTAAAATTAAGAAAGATAATACATCGTAATTATTTTTGTAATATACATTGTCAACTATTAAATCTTTCAAACCTGATCTTTTATGGTTTCAATTCTTTAAAATAAGGGAGAATTCTCAAATAAACAATCTAACAAAAGTATACATGCTGCATGTCTCAACTGGCTAATTAATCATGATTGAATTCATGTTGAGTGTCTTTAAGAGAAAGGTTTCACTTCAAGTATCACAGAAATTTAATATTATCAATGATCCATAAAAATGAGGTCACGGTCAGGTGCACCTTTCCAAACAGACATGTACAATCTTAAATAACTCCAGACACCAAAAATAGTTGACCAAGTACTCATAGTATCTAAGATACAGACTTAAAGTTGATCAATGAACCATGAAAATGAGACCAGGGTTAGATTAGCCCTCCCGGACAGACATGTACATGAACACCTTACAATCATTCCATAAACGAAATTTCATTTGAATATGTTATCAATAAGATATATTTGAAACAAAATTGAATGTATTAATGACATTGATAATCTACAACAAAGTTTTATCATATTGTTCATACAAATTGATCATCTTATGAGAGGTTTACATTGCATAAATAAACATTCACATCTTTGATTTAAAAAATACTTCATTTTATCATGCAATATTGCCTAATTGGTAATTTATTGCCTAATGTTAACTTTACTTCATATTACCCTTGCAGATTTCAATACAACATTATTACACTTTCTTGTCATTGTACAATTGTTGTAATTTATCAAGCTCTTTGTAATATATATATATATAAAACTTACGAGTTCCTGTTTCACAGCATGTTCTTTTGGATTTATACCACATACATTGAGGTACACTGCAAGAGAAACATATCAATACACAAGCATTTTGATAATGCTGACATATGATTGTTTTACTTACAAATATGGGTGACAGTTTAATTGTGAGAAAAACTATTCATTGACAACAATAAATCCACTTTTTGGTAATACTTTATAACAGTTTTTATATTATATACTTTTAAACAAAACCACAAAAAATGAGAGAAAATCCTGCACCCGGAGACGGGTTTCAGCTGGCCCCTAAACAAAAATGTGTACTAGTTCAATGAAAATGGACATCACACTAAACTCCAAAACTATAAATGAACTCAAATAGTGCATGGTTCGAATTGGCATATATATCCGCAGACTTAACAAAGGGTATTAGTCAATCGAGGTCCAGCTTAGTTATTTGATAAACACGTTTTCCAATACCGGATATTTACTAGACGACGATAGAACGCGAAACGAAGACACGAAGACAGTTGTGCAAAATCCTTGTATTTTTATCTAGCATTATTGAGTTTAATCAGTTCTTTCCAAGTTATTTCTTGGGGAAAATACTTGAGATGAATGTAAGATATTGGTATAAATGACAATTTTTTCTGTTTTGGATGAATTCGGACGCATTATTAAAAAATAAATACCACACTGTGCACATGCGCACACTTCTAATATTTCAATCAACGTGGTTCTGTCTGTTAAACTTTTTTACCACCTTTGTAAATTATAATCTGATAGTTTTAAATACGTTTTTCTGATAGTCTAAAATGCTAAATCTGTTTTGCTAAAAAGTAGTTAGATTTAAACCAGGAATGTTTTTAATCTTAATAAAAAATAAAATGCTTCGCTGGGCGCAGCTTGATACGACCGCAGAGGTCGAACCCTGAACAGTTGGGGCAAGTATGGACACAACATTCAAGCTTGATACAGCTCTGAATTTGGATTGTGATTAAATATTTGACACAGCATAGGTTTCTGACACAGAAAGAATGTGGTCTAAGAACTTCAATTTTTTTAATTTACCTATTATGGTCCAATGTCCAAAATCAAAATACATGGTTAGATTCAGCATATCAAAGAACCCCATATATTCAATTTTTGTTGAAATCAAACAAAGTTTAATTTTGGACCCCAACTTGGACAAACTTGAAAACTGGTCCCATAATCAAAAATCTAAACACATGTTTAGATTCAGCATATCAAAGTACCCGAAGAATTCAATTTTTGTTAAAATCAAACTAAGTTTAATTTTGGACCCTTTGGACCTTAATGTAGACAAATTTAAAAAACGGGACCCAAAATTAAAAATCTAAAAACACGGTTAGATTTGGCATATCAAAGAACCCCAATTATTCAATTTTTGATGAAATCAAACAAAGTTTAATTTTGGACCCTTTTGACCTCAATATAAACCAATTTGATAGCGGGCCCACAAATAAAAAATCTAAATACATGGTAAGATTCAGCATATCAAAGAACCCCTTATATTCAATTTTTGTTGAAATCAAACAAAGTTTAATTTTGGACCCCAATTTGGACCAACTTGAAAACTGGGCCAAAAATCTAAAATCTAAATACATGTTTAGATTCAGCATATCAAAGAACCCCATATATTCAATTTTTGTTGAAATCAAACAAAGTTTAATTTTGGACCCCAACTTGGACCAACTTGAAAACTGGTCCCATAATCAAAAATCTAAACACATGTTTAGATTCAGCATATCAAAGAACCCCAAAAATTCAATTTTTGTTAAAATCAAACTAAGTTTAATTTTGGACCCTTTGGACCTTAATGTAGACCAATTTAAAAAACAGGACACAAAATTAAAAATCTAAATACACAGTTAGATTTGGCATATCAAAGAACCCCAATAATTAAATTTTTGATGAAATCAAACAAAGTTTAATTTTGGACCCTTTTGACCTCAATATGAACCAATTTGATAGCGGGCCCACAAATAAAAAATCTAAATACATGGTAAGATTCAGCATATCAAAGAACCCCATATATTCAATTTTTGTTGAAATCAAACAAAATTTAATTTTGGAACCCAATTTGGACCAACTTGAAAACTGGGCCAAAAATCTAAAATCTAAATACATGTTTAGATTCAGCATATCAAAGAACCCCATATATTCAATTTTTGTTGAAATCAAACAAAGTTTAATTTTGGACCCCAACTTGGACCAACTTGAAAACTGGGCCCATAATCAAAAATCTAAACACATGTTTAGATTCAGCATATCAAAGAACCCCAAGAATTCATTTTTTGTTAAAATCAAACTAAGTTTAATTTTGGACCCTTTGGACCTTAATGTAGACCAATTTAAAAAACGGGACCCAAAATTAAAAATCTAAATACACGGTTAGATTCGGCATATCAAAGAACCCCAATAATTCAATTTTTGATGAAATCAAACAAAGTTAAATTTTGGACCCTTTGGACCTCAATGTGGACCAATTTAAAAACGGGGCCCAAAATCCAAAAACTTAATACACGGTTAGATTCAGCATATTAAAGAACCCCAAGAATTCAAGAATAAAACCCCATTGAAATTGATCAAGAAATAAGCAATTTATACGAAGTATCTTCTTTTGCACAATACTGTGCAATTGAATATTTCTTGCTATTGCGCAATACTGTACAATTGACAATTTCTTGCTATTGCGCAATATTGTGCTATTGGATATTTCTTGCTATTGCGCAATACTGTGCAATTGAAGATTTCTTGCTATTGCGCAATACTGCGCAATTGAAGATTTCTTGCTATTGTGCAATACTGTGCAATTGAAAATTTCTTGCTATTGCACAATACTTATTATATAATAATTTACACATCCTGTTTGGTGTGTATCTCCTACCATATCATTATTATTTGCTTTTAAATATAAATCAGAAATAACCAACTTAAAATGGAAAATTTTAAAAGAAAAAAAAAGGAAAAAAAGAAAACCCCCCCCCCCCCCCCCCCAAATTTTTTGAACCCCCTTATGATTCATCACCCCCAAACTCAATCCCAGCCTTCCCTTTGTGGTATGGTACCTTGCAGTACAATTTCAGAGAGATCCATACACTTGAACACAAGTTATTGTCTGGAAACTAGAAAAATGCTTATTTTTGGCCCCTTTTTGGCCCCCAATTCCTAAACGTTTCGGGCAATTACCCCCAAACTCAATTCCAGCTTTCCCTTTGTGATATGGAACCATGTAGTACAATTTCAGAAATATCCAAACACTTACACACAAGTTATTGCCATGAAACTAGAAAAATGCTTGTTTTTTGCCCCTTTTTTGGCCCCTAATTCCTAAAATTTTGAGGCAATTACCCCCAAAATCAATTACAGCCTTCCCTTTGTGATATGGAACCTTGTGGTACAATGTCAGAGAGATCCATACACTTACACACAAGTTATTGTCTGAAAGTTACAAAAATGCTTATTTTTGGCCCCTTTTTGGCCCCTAATTCCTTAACTGTTGGTACCATAACCCCCAAAATCAATCCCAACCTTCCTTTCGTGGTATTGAACCTTATGGTGAAATTTCATGGAGATCCATTCACTTAAACTAAAGTTAGAGTGCGAAAACCAATGTGTCTTCGGACGACGCCGGACGACGACGCCAACGTCATACCAATATACGACCAAAAAATTTTTAATTTTTGCGGTCGTATAAAAATAGCTTCCAAAAAGATCGATTTATGACAATGATGTCCGGTAGAAATAGTTTACCATGACACAGGTGATCACAGGTAAATCTCACCTGTTAGACACTTAATTAACCTTGATTGTAATGAGAGGGGATTATAGTAGGGCCTGTTTATAGAATACTGTCACTTTTATGACTGGAAAAGTGTGTCTGTTTAAGGCACAAGGTCAAGTCAAAATGGTTGGTTTTTCTGAATTACATGAACATTGAAATGACAAACCCACGTAGGGTGTTCATTTCATGTTTGGCCCAGTCGGACAATGTCCGATAAATTTATATTTGTCCGGTAAATATGACCATTTTGGAAGCCTTGGACTCTATACTCTCAATTCTGTTTACATGCAACCTGATTTTAAACCTCCATTGTATTTACCATTTTTCAGTCTTATTCACTAACAAAACTCATCCTAAATGGAATTAAGACCTCACAGAATTTTGTTTAATTATCATAATTCTTACTGTCATCTAATGTTCATGTAAAATGTTAACACTTACTCCAGAACAATGAGTTGATGGTATATGCTCCTGTCAAATCAAGTTTTGCTTTGTCTAATGGTGTCATCTGAAAGATATAAAAGTACACTATTAAGAATAAACTACAATGAATGCAGAGTATTAAATCAACAATTAATTAAGAAATTTCTGAGTGCATTTATAATACGATTGTGAAATTAAAATATATTGGATTTCAGGGAATGCTGCTTGCCATAATGCTGTCAAAATGTAAAATGCAAGTTTTTATTTTGATAGACCTATGCTGTCCCATTTTTTAGCATTAATTGAAACATTCCAAAATTTCTGAATTTACAGTACATGTACATGTATATAATTATATTACATATATTACAAGTTGATTGAACTTTTAGACAATGTAAGCAAGATTTGTATCCAAATCACAATGGATATTTCATTGTGTTTTATCTTACGGTCTTTCATATTTTAAAGTTAACAGTTATAAAATTAAATTTGGTGGACAGTATTAAAAGTTTCAAGTTCGACATAAACTTTTAAGTCAACAGTTGTATCCATATTTCAAACTGTATTTTTTCATTTGGCATGTTTGAAGAAGAATTTATTTACATATTCATCTTGTTCATGTTGTTCAAAGGCAAATCAAATATATAAATAATAATACAAAACATACATGTGTAATATATTTAGGTGTGTTTGGTGGACTGGTATTACCATAATGTTTTGTGATTTTGCTTTCTCCCCACAAATTTCATATAATATAGCATCCTGGGAAAAAGAGAATTTTTAAATACCATTTTGTTTCAAGCAAATTATTGCATCACATCCATATAATATAATCTATACATGAAGCATTTCAGAAAGTATCAAATCACATTGGGTCAAGTAGGATGAATGGTACTGTAGTTCCATCGGAAGAACAGAGAAGTACAAATGTAATTCGGTTTAACTTATGAAGTAAATCAGTTTATATGTACATAAGTTGACAGACTAAAAGGTCGACAGGTTGACATTAGAAAGGTCGACAAATGTTAAAGTCGACAGGTTGACAAGTGTTAAGGTCGACAGGTCGACATGTTGAAAGGTCGACAGGTTGACAAGTGTTTAGGTCGACAGGTTGACAAGTGTCATGGTTAACAGGTTGACAGGTTTAATTTAACAGTTCAGTTTTTTAACCTTTTTATTATGTCTTGACTTATAACTGTCTACCTGTCGACCTGTTAACCACTATTAAAGTTTTCATTTCTCCCCATCATATTGTCAACCAGTCGACCTGTCTGCCAGTCACCAATAATACTATTTTACACTAGATAAATTCTTTCAAATTGTCAACCAGTCAACTTGTCAACCATAACTTCAATTTTCACTATATTAAATTTTCAACTTGTCAACTTGTCTACCTGTCGACCTGTTGACCAGTCAACCATAAAAGTATTTACATTTTTAACATTGTCAACTTGTCAACTTGTCAACCTGTCAACCAGTCACCCATAAAAATATTTGCATTTTTAACACATTGTCAACCTGTCGACATGTCAACCTGCCTACCAGTCATTTATTTTTTTCATTGTATAATTTGAATACATTTACTGCCCATGAATACATACGTGTATAAATTTATTATAAAAGCCGGAACTATAGTACCGTATATCCTACTTGAGCCATCACATTACCATGGCAGGATACTAAAAGGCGAGAACAGTTTTAAAATAATAAAACATTTAGAGAAAATTGTTAATTTATAAATTTATGCCATATCAAGCATGTTAAGTAAAATGGCTCACATAAATTTTTGAGTGATAGTTATCTGTAATTCCTGTAGGGATTAGATGAAGATGTGTCGGTCTCTGAGGGTGGCCAAATAAGAAAATTGCTCTAAACACAGAATCCCAAGAGGGATAAATTTCTCCATTTGAAGGGTTTTACTTCAACCTGATAAATCTGTTCAGAAAACTAATTTTCTGAAAAGACAACGGCGCTTTCTGGTTTCATTGTTTTATATATAACTTGGCCATAGTCTGGCATAGTGCATAGCCATAGGACATCTGTCATGGATTAAACATGTACAATTCACCTTTTCGTTTAGCTCATTTTGGGGAACATCGACTAGATACTTCAAGGTCTTTTCTACCTCTGTGAGTGAAAGATCAAAAGCTGTAAGCCTTTCTTTCATCTCCTTTGGTATTCCACTGCTATCCATGCCTGATTTGTAAATCTTTAGAGTTATCTTTTCTTGAATAAAACATAAATAAATACCAATGACGGATTAATCAAGATACATATTTCCGAAACTTAAGACACAGTAGTAAGTAAAACTCGGCATATTGACAAACATCCTTCTTCTTTAAGTTTTCCAGTTTTCCATCTAATAAAGATGATTAATAACTGGTGCATACGTGGCCTATTTATTTAAACAAGTTAATATTTTAGTTATATACAAAAACTGTGCGTAGTGATTAGTAAAACTATGTACAGGAGATGAAGATATTTAAATGAGAGTGCATATGTAAGCTGCTCTCTGAAAGAGTCGACTGTTTGTGAATTAACAACTGTAGTTGGTAATAGATTCCATTGCGTTATTGTGTATGGGGAAAATGAAAATCTGTACGAGTCTTTGGATGTATAAATATGTCTAGGTGTGAGAATGATGTTTTCTGGTTCTTGAGTCTGATGGGATCAGAATTGTGCTAGATGGTATAGCAACAAGATGATGTGTGATCTTGTACATCATAACCAGGCGTGCACGTAATCTGCGTTTCGTTAATTGTGACCAGTTGAGTGTATTGAGCATGTTTGATACATTGCTAGTGTTATATGATACCTGTTGCAGGCATACCGAGCAGCTCTCCTTTGAACCATCTCTATCTTCGAGATAGATTCTTAAGTGTGGGGGTCCCAAACCGAGCAAGAGTACTCGAGTTTGGGACGGACAAGTGCTTGGTATGCCTGGCTCTTAATGTTTTGATTAGATGTTTTCAGGTTTCTTCGAAGGAAGCCGAGTGTTTTGTTTGCTTTCGAGATATTGTCATCTATATGTTTGTCCCATTTTAGGTTTGATTGTAGTGTGATGCCTAAGTACTTAGCAGATGTAACAGTTTCTTAAATATGATTGTGAAGAGTGTAATTATGTTGTAAAGGCTGACGTTTACTTGTGACAGAGAGAACATTACACTTGTCTGGGTGGAAGGCCATCAGCCAGTCCACTTCCCATTTCGCAGCTGCATCAAGATCAGCTTGTGGAACCCCAGATTATTATTATAAGATCTGTTTGTGTATTTGAATTGTTTGTGGATTGAAGTTCTTGGATGAAGGAGAGAAGTTGTGTTTCGCAAGATCGAGAGTGCCGAAAGCCATGTTGGAGGTCGTACAAGATGTTATTTGATTCAAGATGTTTCATAATATGTGATGTTACTATGTGCTCCATTAACTTGCAGCAAATACAAGTTAATTAGATAGGTCTTTAATTGACCGGTTTATGTTTATCCCCCTTTTTATATGCTGGTGCGACTCTAGCATGTTTCTAAACATACTACAACATAAGCTCTAATGAGCTTTTCATCGAATATAAAAACATGTGCAATAACAAATAAAAAAACCACATTTAACTCTAGCATATACATATATCTTGCTAATACTAAAAACATATATATGAAACACTACCTCTTTCTAAATTATTAACATCAATTTTATCAGCAATCAAAGCCGGGCTTCAAAGTTATTGTGAAACTACCTACTAGTATTTTAGAGGTGGCGTGAATCAGATGTGGATACTAAAAAAATCCAAGGATCTTTTAGAGTACATACAATACAAGACTCTTTCATCTTGCAATAGTATTAAAACATTGACTTTTCTATACTTTACACAAGTATTCCCCAGTCCAAACTAAAAGACATATTGAAAGAGTTGGTCCTGCTTTGTGCCCTAAAAAAGAATGGCCAACGTAGATACAAGTATCTTGTCTTAGAGAGGAATAAATCCTACTTTGTAAAACATAACTCTGATTCTAACAAAAAAATTTCTGAATCTGACATTATCAAGATGCTTGATTTCTTGATTGACAACATATTTGTTACGTTTGAAGGACGTGTTTTTTCAACAAACAATCGGCATTCCCATGGAGACAAACTGTGCCCCTCTTATTGCCGAATTGGTCCTTTATTCATATGAGGCTGATTTCGTACAGAAACTTCTTAGGGAGAAAGAAAAGAAGTTAGCAATATCCTTTAACTTTACTTTCCGCTTTATAGATGATGTTCTCTCAATGAATAATTCACAATTTGGTGACTATGTTGAACGCATCTATCCGATCGAACTTGAGATAAAGGATACAATAGATACAGTTAAGTCTGCCTTATATTGAGGGTCGGTTGAAAACAAAACTTTACGACAAAAGAAATGATTTCAACTTCCCAATTGTGAACTTTCCATTTCTATGTAGCAACATTCCAGCAGCGACTGCGTTCGGAGTATATATCTCCCAGTTGATACGATATTCCAGGGATTGTATTTCCTATCATGATTTCCTTGATAGAGGGTTGCTGCTCACAGGGATGTTATTAAACAAAGAGTTCCAAGTGGTGAAGTTGAAATCATCCCATCGTAAGTTTTACGGACGCCATCACGAATTGGTTGACCGTTATGGAATATCCGTTTCACTGATGACAGCGGATATGTTCCTTATGTCGTAACCACAATCCCGTCCCCCTTTTCCTGAATGTGACCAATTGAATTAGACTTTTACCTGGTTTGTACTAACATGAGCAAGACGACGAGTGCCATATGCGGAGCAGGATCTGCTTACCCTTCCGGAGCACCTGCGATCTCCCCCAGTTTTTGGTGGGGTTCGTGTTGCTCAGTCTTTAGTTTTCTATGTTGTGTATTGTGTACTATTGTTTGTCTTTTGGTCTTTTTCTTTTTTAGCCATGACGTTGTCAGTTTATTTTCGACTTTGAATGTCCCTTTAGTATCTTTCGCCTCTTTTTTAAAAATATATCTGTTTGAAAAAAAATAGAATACGTTAACTGGTAATATTTCAGTCTTTAATTGTTGGAAATTTATAGTCTGCTCTTTAGTTAGACTAAATATGTCTTACAAGATTTTTTTAATGTTTTTAAATTTCGATTGTTTGTCTGTTTGTCCTTTTCTCTTTTAGCTATTGCGGTGTCAGTTTATTTTCGACTTATGAGTTTGAATGTCCCTCTGGTATCTTTCGCCTTTCTTTTTTAACGGATAGTTTGAGAAGTCAAATCAAGCTGTGATTAATTTCCGCTCTAGATAAGCAGATTCAGTAGCAATTAAGTTATGTTAGAATTTTTTTGTGACCTGGACAGGGGCACGTGCCTCCTGTGCCCCCGGTCATTCCGCCACTGAGAATGCTGGAGTTTCTGATTGACAATATATCTGTTGAAATTGGGGGTATAGTTTTCCAGCAGGTTGTCGCCTATGGGAACCAACTGTGCGCCTTTCCTTAGTCGACCTTTTCTTATTTTCATATAAATCGGAGTTCCTTCAGACACACATGAGAAACAAGAAGATCAAAGAAGCTAGATCATTTAATATCACATACAGGTATATTGATGATGTTCTTTCCATTAACAATCCAAACTTTTCTGATTGGGTTCCATTAGTATATTCTCCTGAACTAGAAATAAAAGAAGCCACAGATACAGTTTCCTCCGCCTCATTTTTAGACACATACCTCAAATTTGATTAATTACATAGTCATCACAGTACCAGAATCTATGACAAACGAGACGATTTCAATTTTGAAATTATCACAACATTCCTCAGCTTAGCAGCAATATTCCAACTTCACCCGCGTATGGATTATACATTTCCTGCGATATACGAGAGCTTTCAGCTGCTATTCAGACTTTGTAAGACGTCACCGGTGTCTGAGAAAAAAATTAATGAGCCAGGGTTTTGTCAAAGGGTGATTTCATAAAAAGAATGCTACACGTAGATGCCAGTTTCTTCTTCTGGGTTGAAAAGAATCCCACTTTGTAAGAAAAAAAATGACACTGATTTCAATACCAAATACACGAAAGACGAAATTATCAAAAAGCTGGACATGTATATGATCTGCAACATATTTATTGAGTTTAATGGATTGATATTTAATAAATTCGAACATTGATTTTTTAACGTGATTCTTGTTGAGCTTATACTTGTGTGGTATCATATGTCTTTGTTAACCTCCGTTAGCAGATAGATGGGGGGGGGGGAAACATTACCAAAAAACTCCCAAACTAACACAATAGACAAGTTCATGTGTGAACTAATGAAAAAGTCAACTGTTTTATATAGTAGTTCGCACCAGAAGTTACCTCAAATTTTGCATACGTAGTCACAGAAAGAGATAGCGCGAATATATATATATCAGTGAATAATTTATCATTACATAAAAAAACAACATAATAACACATTCGACATGTTATGAGAGAACTAATAAAAAAGTAAACTGTTGAAAGTTTTAAATTTCCTTGAAGGATTCGTAATTCGTGGCAATAACAGATGTTGTCAGCTTGAAAGGGAGAACTACTATCAATGTCAAATAATAATGCCCCTTTGATGCTATATGGAAGTTCATTATTAAATAGTTGAGAAAGAAACGAGATATAACCTGACAGACAAAGCAACTCCTTGACGAACACCGCACCGTGGTTAAATTTAAAAAATGAAGAAAATTTTCTACCAGATACATTTCGAATAATGGCGCTCGATAAATCTGTGTACATATTATCCAATAGTAGAGAAGCCTTAGTTTTCCGGTAGCACCATATTCAAAAAGTTCAATGCGTAATCCACCAGGAGGTACTGTGTCGCAAGTATTAGTGCTGTAAAGAAAAACAACAGAAAAACTAAATTGCTGTCCCGTTCCTTTCTATGTGATGAATAGTAACTTGTTGGAGGTTGAATCATGGAATTGTGCATTTAAACTAGTCAGACAGGAGGTTTTGGTAAGCTTCCTTATTTCAAAAGAAATAATTAAGTGTTTATTCTTCGTTGAGCTTATACTTGTGTGGTATTAATTATTCTTGTTGGACTTCTACTTGTGTGGACAGGTATTGTTTCATGATACTTGTTGAGTTTTTGCTTGTTTGTTATTGTCTATTCTTGTTGGGCTTAATATTTAATTATACTTGTGTGTTATTCACTTATTGTTTTATTTTGTTGAGCTTCCACTGGTGTGTTATTGTCTATTCTTGTTCGGCTTAATAGTGGTAC